TAATTTTTTCTTTAAGCGAATCTAAGTATAAATAAAATTTCCTTTCAGTAAATGAAATTTAATGCTAGATCGTTCAAATTGTCATTTAAGAGCTTAAAAATTCTTCATTTTAGCTATATTTAGAATTTATTCTAAGATTATTTGATTTAATACGGTATCTTCTTTACCTGTTCAGACTTAGATTTCGATTCAGATCCCAAACTGTTATTAACGGCCTCAAGTTGACGTTGATGATTTTTACTATGGAATGGAAAATATATCAATTATAAATCTATTTCCCGGAAGCTATTGCTATACTACAGCGCTTATTGGATATTAAACTGAACGTAATTGTTACTATATGTAGCCTGGTAAACTATCCATTAGAATATCATAACAGTACAGAAATTACCGTAATCCTTCCATTTCTTCTTCTTTTTCATGAATTCGTCGTTCAAATTCTTGTTTTAATTGCGACTGTTCCAGTTGCATGCGAAGAACTTTATTCTCTTCTTGTTCTAAACTAGCTTCGGCTTCTTCTAGCAACAGGGCTATCTCTTCTTTTTCAACTTCTAATTTTCGACGTACTTTTTCTATTTCGGCTGCATTTCGACCATCTGAATTCAATTGCTCCGATAAATCGCTCAACTCATCTATAAATTCAGAGTTAACAAATTAGTTAATTTATCATACTTAAAGTAGATGATATCTAGAATATGTAAGTCAATATAGTTCTAATTAAAATTTATATCGGAATGACTAGTTATAGCTCAAAAGAATATACTTTGCAATTGCTTATTCTCTCGGCGTAATCCGTCAACTAATTCGGCAGTTTCTTGATAGCTGCCTTTAACTCTAAATAACTACATTCAGAGATCAAGTTAAAGGTTGAGAAGATTAAAATGATAAAATTTACGAAATCCTATTGCTATCTCTTTCATTTAACAACAAGATATACCTCAGTGGATTGCTCTCTGTATTCACGTTGTGCATTCTCTAAATCAATAGTTAATGTATCGTGCTTATTCCTCCATTCAGCGGTCTGCGCATCAACTTTGCGTTGTTTTTTCTCCATAGCAGCACACTGGTTTTGAGCCTAGAATGATACATTGTCAAAATAAAATTAAAAATTAATTCCAAAATTTCTTCATTGTAGAGTTTTTAGGTATCATATCATGAGATACTTAGCGATCATTGTTCAATACATTTTTTTTAATTACAATCGAAATAACTCAACTATAGCTACCAAAATGTAGTACTTACCCTTTCTAAGTCAAGCAGTAAATCTTCCATTTCAGTAGATAAACGATTTTTAGATTTCTCTGCGCTTGAAAATTTCATTTGAAATTCATCAGCTAATTCTTCAGCGGAAGTTAATTTTGCTGTCAATTTACGCCTATGTATTTAAATAAAATGCAATTAAACACATCAGATTACCAAGAAACAGTTTAGAGTAAACATTACTATTATACACTATACCAGCAACGATTATAATGGACTATTTTATAATGAAATTTTTTATTAGTTATGTCATTAAATTGTAAATTCTTACTTGATATCTTCGAGTTCTTCCACTCGTTGCGCGCCATCAATTTCATACTTATTACGCCAAGTAGCTGCATCTGCATTTGCTTTTGTTAACTGACGTTGTAATTCAGCTTTACTTTCTTGTTCTTCATCAAGTAATTCTTGTGTTTGTTCTAGTTCAGCTTGTAAATTCTTAACGTTATTAGAAACACTAGATCGTGCCTATCAATTTACCGAAGATAAGACCAAAAATGTTATGGCATTATGGTATGGATTTTGTCCCACATTACTCTATCATAAGTCAAGAATCAACTCTATATATAGCATCAAATAATATTACCTGAGATTCATCTTCAAATTTACGTTTCAATTCTTCCAATTGGCTTTCAAGTCCTTTTTTAGCTTTCGTTAATGAATTAATTTTGGACTCGCCATCTTCCACTTGTTCAGATAATTCATTATTCTCAGCTTGCAAACGTTGCAGTGCTGCCTGTAAATCGGCGATAATTTTCTCCTGTTCATCAACCTAAAATTTAAATATTAGTTAATAATTAAACAAAAATGTAGAATCGAGTCGGATTTATTAACACAATGCTAGCGAGTACGATATAACAAGAAATGGAAAACAAACTTTCCTTTCAAGCATTACCTTAGCAGAGGCTTCATTATACTGTTCATCTAACTGCCTCAATTGCTTATCGCTGGAATTCTAATTAAGAAATGATTAGAAATGCAGATATTTATCAAATGGCAATATTTTTACGGTACGATTGGAAATACAGAAGCCAGGAATACAAACCTTCGCTTTAGTCAGTGATTCTAGGTTACTTTGTAATTCATCTAGATCACCAGAAAGATGTTGCTTTTCACTTTCTAACCTATAAAATTAAACAGTAGAAGACAGCAAAATGAAATGATTCAACGGGTAAGTTATTAACCGCTCTATGTTGACATTATAAGATGGGTTTTTAAGATTAAATGCAAGCATAATTATAATCTTATGCAATTGAAGGCAAAGGCCTTACTTGTTCTTAGCTCGCTGCAAAGTTTCAACTTGATTCTCTAATTCATCGATAATTTCATTGTGTTTCTTTTTCATACTGGCAACCTGACTTCCATGCTGCTTAGTACGACTTTCAATTTCAGATTGTAATCGATTAATTTCTGCCTCTCGTTTTTTAGTTAAATCAGTCTGTATAAGGATTAAAGCCGTCAGTAATCAATCAATATTTGGATTTAAAGCCTTAAAGCGAAGTACGATCATGTTTACTAGAACATTGTACTGCTATATGTAAACTTCATCCAAATTTACCTGGAGAACATGTGCTCCTCCTGCTTCATCTAATTTCTCATTCAGTTCATCAAGTTCTTGTAATAACTCAGCTTTTTGTTTCTCGATCTAATGATAACCAGTAATACTTTAATTAGGATAGCTCACGGCAAAATCTACGTCTACGATATCTTTCTAAATGATCTGAAATATTTTAGCAACTAGCGATCGTACTTTTAATTTTAGTACACGTTCGTTGTCGAATTCTTCTTCTAATTCGTCAATGCGAGACTAATAAGCAAGAATGAAATAATGTTTATTAGTGTAAATTTTACTGAGCGATTTATGCATCATATAAGTGATATCTGGAATACTGATGTCAATGTAATATTATTTACCTGAGCTTCGCGAAGCTTCTTCTGTAATGCTGCTACTGTAGTTCTTTCATCCTCCAAGCTTTGTCCAAGTTTGGAAATTTCATTATCTCTCCTAATAAATCCCAAAAATAAATCATCTTTAGCTCCAATAATAGTTAATGTCGTTATTTAACGATATACAGTAATTAATTATTATACTCGTAACTTGTAAAAAGATATAATATATTTCTAAATGTTAGCGAGAAAACTGTTTTAATGTTGTAATGCTCCACTAAAGTCGAACCTAATATAATGATACACAGTATATAACTGATCTAGCTATTTACGGATGATTGTTTTTATGCTATCCTCACAAGATCTTCAACTATCTACGTACAGTAACTAAAAAGTCAAAATGGGATGAAACTCTTATTTATATATAATAAAACGAATGCATTAGTGGCAACTTCCACTGATTTCACTCTAAATGTAGTAAAAATTGTCAAGCAAAACCACAACTAACTTGTGAATTGTTTCCTCAGCTAATTTAACGTTGCCTTCCATTTCATTTATCTTCTCATTTGCTACCTATTAATAAAAGAGTAAAATTTTATGGCTGTTAGTTCAAGCACCACATGATGATTTCATTCAGTAAACTTTTCATGTCACATTTTTACGAATACTGATCGTCATTTAGCGTAATAGATATACCTTAGCTTCAGATTCAAGCTTTCTCTTAGCTTTATCTAAATCTGATGTATGTTTCTTTTCGCTATCCAAATGCGATTGTAACTAAAAAGTGTTCGAAAATTTTATATCAAGTTGTTGTGATGTGCAAAGCTAATTGTTAATAGCGCATTTTATATCTTGATGTGGCATTTTTGACAAGTAAGATACCTCTTCCAGTGAAGTTTCTAACTTGTTCTTAACTTTAGTCAAATGGTTACTTTTATCTTCCTCAGCTTCTAACAAATTGCTCAATTCCTAATTTAATTTCAATTAATGGTTAAACGCTTTTTCTAGCTACAATAAAAATCATGAAATTTAATTGAAGTTGAACGATTGGATCTTACTAATTCTTTCTCTTCCAATGCTTTCTTATCTTTAGTCAAGGCGTCTACTGCTTCCTGACATTCATCTAGCTCCGTAGTTATTGATCGAAGAGCATCATCTTTAGCTTGTTTTTCTTGATCAGACTATAAGAATGAGTTTATTAATTAAGAAATTCGAAAAATACTTCAAAGTTGATATATGATAATACTGTAAATCAGATATATTTAGGCTTTCAGATGTAACCTTTTGCAACGCAGCCTCTATATCTTCTATGTCTGTACGTAGGTTTTCAACTTCAGCTTCTAGCTTACGCTTAACTTGTGATATTTGAGCGTTGTTGTCTTCTTCTTCTTCTAATTGGTCATTTAACTCTTGTATTTGACTTTCCATATCGTTCTTAATGCTTTCCAATTTGACAATTTTATCCTCAGCATCAGCGTAAGCATCTTGTTCCTATTAATAATATTGTCCAGAATTGCAATTTCATTGAGAATAAGTACAAGAATGAATCGTTTATATTTTAGTACAGTATTAACCACATTAAGCACAACATTGGACTTGTATTATTGCATCTTACCCTTTGTAAATCCATAAATAGCTGTTGCTTTTCTTCCACCAATTTTGTGTTTTGCTCCTCAAGATCTTTTCGGAGTGATTCTTCTTTTTGTGACTTATCCAAAGTTCGATTAAGCTATCGATAGCAACATTACGATTTTGATATTTAAATGTAAATTAAATATTATAGAGGATTTATTTATAATAAAATGTTTATTCTTGTAGTTAACTACAACGGCAGTAGAAGTAAAATTTAATTGCTAAAGATTAATTAAGATTGACGAAGTCAGGTTTCCTTCACTATAGTTCGGTCCTGCATTTACCTCTTCCTGCATGTGTTTTAGTTCTTCATCTGATCGTGCAACATTAAGTAATGGTTTAACCTAAAATAATGACGAAATATTGTAATAAGCAGACACTAAAGGCGATACCGATAGTCTTTCTGTACACAATTCCAGTCAGAGTAGATGTAAAAGTGATTACAATCGCAATAATATCTATACAGTACTTTAACTTTATATTTGTTCCAATTTGTACATACCTTGGTAAATAATCTCCACCATTGCCAATTACGCAGTACAATATATTTGCGAACGTTACGTTGAATGATTTGCAACCCAGATCTATGTGTCATTTGAAAGGAAGATTATAACCAAAAAAGGTCATAACTTACAATATTTCTCATATAGCCACTGTAGGCCTGTAAATTAGCCCATATATGTTCACTAGCTAACCTTTGCTCCTGCATTTTTTGGAAGGTTTTTCTCATCAGAAAACCTCTCATGCGCGCTTGAAATTTGGAAAGGATAGCGTATAATTTTTCATCACGAGATTCCTCAAGTCTTCCAATAACACCAGCACGGAAGAATACCTGATCATGGAAGTAAATAATAATTTTACTTCAATAACATTCGTGACAACTTTAAATTAGAATACAATGTCGAGTTAAAAATTATTCCATTTCCTAGTCCATTGAGCGTAAAAATAAAATAATTTTCGTGGAAAATAAAGTGACGCTATCAAGCTAACCTTAGTTGTTCCCATTCTAAATTCATTGGGCTCTAATTGAAGGGCATCAACAAGTTTAGCAGCTGCCTTTCGGCCATCCATAAACATTCCGGAAGGAATAGCACCTGGTGCCAGAATTGCATAGCTGTTGCATAGTGAAATAAACGAAATACCGAAATTCTATTAGTCTACCTACAGTATGTATTGAAGTGAATGATTGTGGGTGGGTATGCAGTATAAAAATTATAATTTACAATTACCGCTGTTTAAATTCGGAAAATATAATTCTATTTGGAAAACCTTTACGACAAATTCTTATGCCCTCTAGTACACCATTACAACGTAATTGATGTAGAACGAGATTTGCTTCAATGATTCCTGGCTTTTTCTTCTCATTTGGTATAATGCAACGTACGAAATGTGGCGTGGTATTTCGTAAATTGACCATCAATTTTTCCAGTTGTTCCTGTGAAATATTTTAGGAAATATTATCAGTTTATTGCGATTGAATTGCAATTATTTTTGTTTACTATGAATCAATTTCTGTCTAAAACACGCAAATAAAGCTATTTTTTGGCTTATTGGTTTAATAATCAGTGTCGAGAGACTCTGTTATGTTTTCAAATTTGAATTAGATCAGAATCAAACCTACCTTGTGGAGCTGGCTGACTGTCAAAAACTGACTACCCTTCTTTCGACTGCCTATATAAACAGACAATAAATTATAAATTTAAATTATCTAAGCATGGTTAAAAGGCATTTTTCCATGTGCAGTGGTATTAAGTTTGGATGGAGTGTACAAGTTGCTATAATTGCGTATGTCAGAATAGCATTTAACTAAAGTTAAAACCTAGTAACCCATATTAAACACAAGACTTCTTTTGTGTCGTAAACATAGATTAGGCTTTTTAGAATAAGAAAGCTTAATTTAGTCCTGCAATCTTCATTTACCTTCAGGCTGATGGTCTGCAAATAAACTAGCAATGATTGGATCTGTTGATTTTCTTAATAAATCAACAACGCTGTCGTTTAAAGGATCTTTATTCTTTTCTAACCATCCCATCACAGTGTATCCGACCTAGTTTTATGGGTTCATTAAGGACACTCAGTATATGGAAACTTCTCACTAAATTTTTTAAATTATCAGTACGTACTGTTCCAGCATAATGCTCGATTTCAAAGTGTGCCTTGTTTTTAGAAGACATTTTTGGAAGTTTAAATTTAGGCGATTTTCCGTCGTGATTTTTCTTCAATTTTTCAATAAATGTCTTATCAGAGGCTTTAGGATAGATACTTTCTTCGTCCAAAATTGATAAAATACCTAATTTCTAAAAGGCAATCCAAATAGATTTAATTCATATCCTAATATTACATGATATTGATTACTGTATTGTGAAAGTTATATCACAGAAATTACTTTTTCAATTAGATCAATACAGGGCTGTAGATCATGACCGAAATCGATAAATTCCCAATCAATATTTTCCTTTTTATACTCTTCTTGTTCCAGGATAAACATATGGTGATTGAAAAATTGCTGCAACTTCTCGTTAGTGTAGTTGATACTCAATTGCTCGAACAAATTTACCTGTATAGATTATGGGAAAAGTACTGTTTAGAATTGCTAACATTTACATTATGAAACTCTATACCATAATATTATTCAATGAAACCTGGAAAATCTCAAAACCAGCAATATCGAGTACTCCAATAAAATAATTCTTGCTGAACTGAAAGCAGTGATAGAAATGTTACTGATTAAAGCGATGTTTTCAATGCTGATAACTGTCAGATAGAAATTTCTTACTTTTGTTTCTAAAGTTTTATTGATGCGAGCAATTAACCACTTGAACATACGGTCATATAGAGATTTAGATAATGCGGCTACGGAAGAAACAACCTATAATTATAGCAAATATGACTTTCAGATTAATGCTGCTGATTAAACAATATAATGTAGGCAATATCAAATTTTATACATACCTGTTCATAATTTCTTCCCTGTTGTACGTATTCATGGCCCACACGAATTCTTGGCCTCAGCAAAGATCTCACAAGATCAGCAACTTGAATTCCAAGCAAGAATGCCACCTTTTCAGCATCTGATATGGAACAATAAATCATTAGGATAAGAGATTGCTTTTCAGGTTTTAATTTTATAAATTTTGCTTATATTTATGTGACGCAGGTAGACAATTAAGCAAGAGTGAGTGTCAATGGCAATCTAGAAACCTGCGGTATCAGGACATTCAGCCTGTTCTTCCCTTGGGCGTTGCTTGAATTTAACATTGCCAAAATGCAGAATAGCCATAACGACTTTAATAAGGAAGCCCCTCTCTTCATCTGTAAAGCGTAGAGTTTTCATAGAATCCTACAATTTTCCCAGAAATATTTTAAGATTCAAAATTATTGGATATCAATTTTATCAACTAATCTTACTAGCTGCAATATGATATCCAATTTTTTTTACAATAATTTGTCATAAAATATCAAGTAGTATTTAGTAAACTATAGATATGCTACGTACACATGTCGCATGCCATTCTTCTTCATCGTCAACTGCATCAATTCGCGCTACGCCTTCGCTTAAGAACTTGTAATCTTCAGGTTTACCCGTTACTAAATATTTTTCTGTAATACGGATATAGATATAATTAGTAGAAGATTATCAAGTAAATTGAATGCTTTCAGTATTTATCACAAGTGTTTAACCTTTCATCTGGTCATCTGCTGCAGTTAAAATTTGGTAGAAGACATGGTAATTTCGCTCTTCTGAAGTTTGTGAAACAACACGAGATTTCTCCAGTAGATCTATAATTAATAAATGAAATTTTTACTATATTATTTTTTGACCGTTACTAAAGACTTTAAATTGAAGGAGTTCTAGGTATCATTAATTGAATTTAGATAGTAGAAGTAATGGTTTTGGTAAAATTATATTTAAGTAGCTTTAAATCCATTCAACTAACATGATTCAACATCCGCTCCAGCAATTTTACCATGTAGGCCAAAATGTACTCGAATAAATTTACCCTTTCAATTACATCGAAAAGCATTCCATTAGATATAGTAAAGGAGGTGCAGTGATAATTATATGCATATAAATTGTATTTCTTATTTATGCAACTTTTAAGCAGGATATCTGATGCTTATACCCTTAAGTAATCCTTATAGATAATCAGAAATTAAGATGCTGCAAACCCTACTTACAAATCGTGAAGAATTGTTATTTCGGATTGTCTTTGCGTTACCGAAAGCTTCCATAAGGGGATTAGCTTGAACAATTTGATCTTCCAAGTTCTAGAACAAAAGTTCAAAGTAAATAAAATAATTTTAGTAACCCTCTCAACTAGAAGTAAACTGTAAAACCCGTTTAAATCTGTAGGTAGTTTAAAATCCAAATATAAGAAACTGGTTTAGGATAAGCAAGATAATGAGCCTAAGATCTACTTTATTCAATTTTTTAGTTTCCAGTAACATAGAAACTACCAGATAAATCAGTTAAATCTTTCTATAGGTTCCAGCAGTATACCGATTCCTTAAACTTCAATTTAGAAGTTGTTATAGTTAAAAAATTTTATTTTGTACCTGCTTCTTTTCAGATTTAGTTTCTCCAGTTCCGGCTACAGTCGCCACATACTGTATAACTTTCTTGGTATTTTCTGTTTTACCAGCACCTGATTCACCGCTGAGATAATTACAAACTAGCTTAGCATTTTTTTGCAATAATTTGAGGAATAAGAATTTAACTATGACCGTTGCTAGAAATTTTGAACGATTTTTTATAGCAAGTGCACATATCTACACTTTTAATAAGTCTGAAAGATCGTGCAAATGATTCTATCATTTTCACTTATACGTAAATAGTATTATAATTGTACGTGATGATAAAAGATACCAGTATATTATGAACGGACAGGATATTACATACGTTAAATTTATATATATATATTATAAACTGATGGAATATAAATGTTAATTGTTACGATTATATCAATTGATTAATAAAAGAATCATTACGATGCGATACGTACGTGATTAGGATGGATTGATTTTCTCGCTCTGTTTTAAGATTAAAATGGAAGCAAAACATGTGATTTTAAGTCAGCCATATTAACTTACGGTTCTTGTAATTGTAGTCTACCGTACTATTTACAGTATTAATAATTCAGCAAACTATCGAGATTTTGTGTCGTAAGCCCTAATTATCCTAACCTTGTAACATTTCATTGTACGCGTTGTCGGTAATGGAGAAAATGTGAGGTGGCATTTCAGCTCTTCTTTTGCCCTTGTACATTTCCACTACTTTATCGGTGTATATTGGAAGACGTCGGTAAGGATTGACAGCTACACAAAAGAGACCTGAATATGTCTGTAAATAGACGTAAGTATAGCCAATTAAATGACGTTGTAGAATTTTCAATAATAATTAAACTACTGTAATGTCTTCGTCGACCAAAATAAAACTCTTTCTAAAGTAACGATAAAAAAATCAATTTTAAAAAGTATCACTAGATCGGGATCAAAAACATATCGTGGTATTTCTCTAGTAAAAGAAGTTCAATGATGCATCTTATAAATAATGCTTAACGCTAGTAATTAGTGTAATGATGTTATAATGAAGTTATAATGGTATTGGTTAGGATTGAACAGACAATGATATTTAAAAAGTGTCTTTCATTTATATTTCAGTATGTGTAACGCATTAAAATTCGTAGTAGTAACGTTAGGATTAGTTTAGCCGTTTTTCCAATGGGCGAATAATTTACAACAATCCCAATCAATGATTGGCAATCATGATTAATCATGAAAATTTTCAATTTCCATCATAATTCGTCTGTCAAAAGGAAATGCTTTTCTATTACATAGCATTGAAAGTGAATAAGATCAGACGTATCGTCGGAACGATAATTAACAGAGTTAAAAATTTAGAGTAATAGTACGGCAGTAATCCGGTTCAATTATCCCAGACTTGTTAATAAGAAAGGTCTACGCAAAATTATGAATATTTTACAATCCAAGCTGAAGACAGATAATACCATAAGGTAATCTAAAAATTAATTCGATACCCTCTTGTACTGTAAGAAAGCATGAAAAAGCTTCAATTCATCATAATGCGTATAATATACATTAATTATTCTCTGCTCTTTTTTTAACCTAATAGGCTTTTGGAATAGAATTGAGATCAAGTGCTCTAGTTATTGAGTTATTGACTGTAATTTATACCAACATGTAAAGCTATTGACGATAATGTTACACCCTTACTAGTCTTAAATATTTTGTAAAGAACAGACGATTAAAGTAATTCTGATATTATTACATATTATTAACTAAATACAATTGTGTATTGGCCGATAGTACATTTATTACACTTAAACGTTTGAATCTCGAAATAAATAAGATATTTTGGACACTTTTACTGAAGCCAGTATTCAGTCTTTTATTGCACAGTATTACTATTTGAAGATATTTAGTAGATGGGATTGTTCAACTACCCCTTTACTTATTATTATGGGTCATTTATAAGTACTCGTAGAGCATGAATAGGTTCGATCCTTCGTGGCGAGTTTACATTAGACTTGCAAGATAAACATTTCTGCTAATACTCTATAGTGCAGTCACAATATTGAAGTGGAATCGCTATACTACTCTCTTTTAATTAAGAGTATGCATTATTAGTATTATAAAATTGGATCAGTGAAATGTGTTGATAGGTAGATTTACGGCCTCATACTAGCACGTGCTACTAAAGATAAATTGTAATTTTCGTCTGGAGTCCTTGCCGTGCATACGTAATAAATAGCAATATAAGCATCGCGTCTTTCCGATTGCATCGATGAATTTAATTAACTTACGCTGTATGGTGTACGAAAATGAATCATGGCAACCTATCATTACTACAGTAATTTTAACAAAATTATGAAAATTTCTTACAAAATCAATGATTAATTGTTGGTTTTTACGCTCGTTAGTGGTTAAAGTAAATTAAATAATAGAAATAATAAAAATGGTATAAAAGTCCTCAATAGTTACATTAATAGATCATTTCAAAGGTTGATAGAAATAGAAATATTGTTCATTAAATCTAGTTTTAATACTGCCTCGACGCTACTAGAATTGTACATGTTTGTTCGATTAAATGTTAACGATCGCTGTCTAAGGTTAAGGAAAAGTCGCTGGATGAATAATTGTAGTTAAAAACGAACAATTATCCGCAATTGTAGTTAATGCTGTAATAGTGTATGCAAGTACTATAAAACACTTACTTATTCAAACCGTTACATAATAGAACTTACAATACGACTCGTATATCGCTAAACGAACATTATTAAGTTTATCCTATTTACTCAAAATGAGATATAAAATAGAATAGTGTTAGCGTATAATAATGGAAATATCGTATTAACGTAGAAAATAAAGATGACAGAAGAGCATTTTTAACAGTAGCTTTAAGTTTGAAAAAAGAAAATGTCCATTGTGCAATGATCGTTTGGAGCTTGTTTAAAAATTATCTCAATATCATAAATCATTTCAAATCGAGATCTCATTAACAGGCTTGATGCTAGAATGTTTTTACTACGTTCATGCTAATAGGAAATTGTGGGCATACTTTGATTACTTACATAGATCATTCCACTGAAATAACGCTGTTTCAAATTATTCAAGACACCAGCTTCATTTAAATAGGTCAGGGCTGCCATATCTTCAGCTTTGTCATATTTTGTTGGATTCATTTGTTGGGTTAAATCACGCTTAACCGTTAATCGCTACAAGATAAAATTAAGAATTATTTAATGATAAGGTAATTTTTTGGAGGGCTAAAGTTCAAGATATTACGGCCCATTGCTACGTTAACACTATACGGTCGGACATTTCATCAGCGTCATTTTAATAGCGTTAATTAGATTGCTTGGTACTGTTGGACTTGTTAAAACTGCATGGACTCTATTTTTAATCCATGCTATCGCTAGCATGGAATTAAAATAGATCAAATTAGTTGATCAATGTATCACAAGTCAACTCAAAGAGACGATATCAAATTATTTTAGATAGAATTTTATTGCATTGCAAATGAACTTTATTGTACTTCGTTGCCACCGCTTGCAATAGTTGGATTATGGGCGGATACAGATTGGAGTATGACTAATTGAGTGGAATAGAGCGGAATGGAAATTGGATAAATTTGATATTTACCTGTCCAGTATTGACTTCAACCGATAAAGTTTCGCCATTGACTTCTAGAATTTTAGCAGAGAGATATCCTTCAGCCTTATCTTCGATCCAAACCCATTTCTTGGAATCGATACTCTCGGTGACGGCTTGCGATTTTTGCCGCAAAAATCCTTCAGCGTCGTCCATGTTGTCGGCTAACTCAATCGATCACCCCTACAGTATTGACTGAGTTTAAAGACTAGTTCACCACCTACTGCACTAGACAATATAGTGTAAGACGTCTTTCCTCTACGCTTATATAAAGTTGAAGTTTTTGCAAGTCCAATCTTCTCCACCAAGTCGCGAACAAGCCCAAAGCATAAGCTAACGCTTGCCAATCTTGCTGACTCTATAAATTAACGTATCCATTAAATAAACTAGACACAATTCTATCAAGATAATTGAGTTCCAACTATCAAGTTATCATCTAATTGCAAAAAGTTCAATATCTAGTTCAACCTTACCAAATCGTGATAACCTTGGAAAGAAGTGGCGACCCAGCCCACAACGCTAGAAGAAGTCTATTACCAATGCAAGTTGGCTGAAGAGCCAACTTGCACGCATTTGAATAGAATGCATCTATTAAAAATGCCAATCATCATTTTAACTCCACCTCTTATCCAGTCTCAACCAATTAATGAATAGCTATAATTACGCATAAAATGAGGCATTGGCTTGCAAATTAACCCTAGTATTTATTTTAATTATTATTCGCATCTCACGTTGATTACTTCCCTATTATGCAATGTGGATAGTTGGAATACGTCAGTAATCATAATGATTAATGAAAATGATGAGTAATAAACATGTAAAGAGTTCATAATTAACTTTCTAAACGTTTGCATAGTAAAGAAAAGACAACATTAGGCTGATAGACGCATCATCAATTGGGGGTCACAAAATTACCTCTACTGTATGCTTTATGTGTCATAACAATATGTAGCCCAAGTAGCGTTAGCACTACTGCCAGAGCTTTACTAAACTTATTTCACTAGTATATCCCATTGTTCAATGATATCCTCTATTCTATTTGTTTACTTGGGCACCTCTTGATATGAATAACAACTTCAGCACGATAAAATAATTTCCGTTGCTAATACAAATTACTAAAGTGGATTTCATCGCTTGTAGAAATGCTTCTTTTTTATGTAATTTGAATTGTCCTACCATTGCTTTCTTAACTTAGCTCAGGTCAATTAGTTTTATTTTTACTCAATCAACGATTCTTTTAAGATAATTAGAAGGGAATACTTTTCCAGTGTTCTACCTTGCATACATTGCTCAGGTACAAACTTATGACTATTCTGATTGTATTCCTTTCTAATTGGTTAATAAAATGGGCAGAGGAATAGCGAATGGAAACCCTTACAGTCACCAAACAACATCACATGTCATACAGAAATGCATACGCGTAAACTTAATTTTCTATCTCTCTATTCTTAATGAATCTAGATATAATAAATGAACGTTTTGTATGAAAAGCTTTAACCTGAAGGCAACGTAGAATGATCGGAATATCTATGAAGTTCAATATGATTTGCAAGTAGAGTTATAGCACTCCATTTATCAACCCTTTCTTACTCTTCACACCTTTGACAACGCATAACTTACGCGCTATATTTCTCTTACAGCCCTGAACTGTCTTTGAAGTATGAATTATTTTGACCTAATCAAAATATCTTAATATCACCGATAGCACCCGTTTAGTAAGTAGTAGTGTGGAAATAGATCACATTTAGCTTTGAAATATTATACTGTACATTAGGGATTATGTAATCTGCTTTTTAAAATGATAATGAAAGGTGAAAAGCGACATAATTCTCATCGAAAGAACTACACCGTCACTTAAATGAAAAACAAAATATGGATCATAAACCCCAGCACTAAAACAAATAAGATACCAACGTGGCGCTACTTACATTATGTCAGCTACCTTACCGATTGCAGAACGATAGTGTTCTATCTCCGTTTACGAGTGTTGCGAATATACAGCATATTAGAGAGCACAGTACCTCACTGTTTTGAATGCTACAATTGCTTCGGTAATTTTTTGAAGTGCAAGTACGCCTATGCGTATAAATATAGTACACGTGTGATAAGAAAGAGAAAACAAATTACAGTAGCTATTAGGATGTTGGTGTATGGTACGTAAGGCTAAAAAGAATAAAAACATATATTTCCGGGCTAGTTGTATTTATATCAATATTCTTGCATTAGTTAGATAATTTTGTAGAAAATAATTACGGTATCGATGCCATATTTCTTCCAATTGCTTTTAATAAACTAAAAAGTTACATTTGTAAGATATTAATGTACAGTATAACGTTTGAAGGGACCAGCGAATCCATCTCAGAATGATGTCAATATATAAGTGCAAATAATTATTTTGAAAACGGCTCTAAAGTACACAAGATTATTTTTCAGTAATAGATATATTTGATAATTAATTTAATTGTTATAAATACATTTATGCTAGATCTTCCTTGCTTAAATCAAATTGCTTTGTTTAAAATGCTATAGATAAGTATAGTATACTGTATACGTACAATATATCACATCGTGCACAATCAAAAGAGCTAGTACGGTAACAAGTAATCTTGTACTGTTTTCTTTTTCCGCATAAGACGTACCCATATTAATCACAATAAGCCTGCTATGAATTACAGCTCTCCTAATGAATATCGGGGTCCAGTTATCTTCTCAGAAAACTAAACTTAAGCTTCTATATCTTAATGTTCAATATATCTTGCAATACTTATTTCCGAAGGAAATTTTATTTAACTGTTTTTCTACTTAGCAAAATAAAACTAAGCGTACAATGTTAATGATACAACAGAGTACCAGGTACTCAACTTGGAGAGAAAATTTCGTATAACTATTCGATATCGAGCACTGTACCGGGTATAAATCACCCAGAAGGAAATATAATAAAGCACTATATGTGATCCTGTCTTAAACTGCGACAATATTCAAAGGACTGCAAGTCTCACTTTCATACAGATACGACAAAAATCAATCTAGAATTACGATATCTATTTATTTGTTTGGGCAATTTACTCAGTATTATGTCATCATCAAACAGCTAATATCAGTAAATATTATAAAGATAGAATTAGTTAATTGGTTCAATGAACCTCGTATTATTGCATGATTCACTCTAAATTAAAATTATTGGGCGAGAGCCGAGCGTTTTCAGCCCATCTCTATTGATTACAATTTAACAATATACAGTACGGGTGACTGGCTTGGCTTTGATTTAAAAGTTCGAAATTCTTTGAAAATAATGAGTGATTGTATCATCTCTGCAACCTATAGCGTAAAAAAATAACATTTTTTCACCAGTATGAGGTCTTGTCCATATTAAAAGCCGGTGCATAATTTTAGTTTATAGTTTTCCAGTTGATGTTGATGTAAGCCAGAATTGTCATTTAGGTCTATTGATAGGCAGTAAGGATAAAAACATAATTAATTCGTAACAATAGAATATATGATCAATACTGTCTAGACAAGATACAGAAAAATATATCATGTTATCTTGCAGTAAAATAATAAATCATTATGTAAAATTTAAAAGCACAGTAGGATTTCAAACTTAACTACATTTAAATCCGACTACATGTATTGACACTGTATCATACGTTAAATCTTATAACAGTGATCATTGCAGAGAGATCAAAAGGCTCTTCTATTAACCGCAACTCGTAGTATCAAACACTTTAGCGGTTCGTTCGGATCATATCTTTATATAATTTCATGTATGGGTACATTAATAATTTGCTTTGGATTTTTAATAACGATATATTAATAACCAGCAGCCTATATGCGTGCTGAAACGCACTCATAAATTAGGAATTTTTGGTATCGAACATACAATATCATTTATGAATTAGCTTTAAGTAAATAATCCACTCGTTCTTTATTCATCTCGCTATAATTAAATTTTATCATCAATATTAATTGTATATAATGTCGAATCAGATTTTTCTGAATGGATGTGATTGTTTGGATCTGTAGTTGTCAGTGAACTAGTATCTGTTTACCTAGATGTAAATTCTAGTATTCTAAATTCCAGACTGTTAGTTTACCTAGTTTTAAATCGACAGCATATTATAAACTTTCATATTTTAGTAACGTATCCACAATAAACAACTACTACGACTATGAATATAGAATGACAAAATTATGACTTATTATGAAATAAAACGCTCTTTAATAAATTATTTGTCTTCCTCATTTACTACACAAGTACAAATTAGTACATAATCTAATGTATCTAAAATATCAAAGCAGGATTTCCGTGGTATATTCCCTGTAGCAGGAGGATTGTATGCCACTGTACTCATCCTATCTAAAGAAACAGAAACAAAATATTAAGGCAACGATAGTTTCAACATTTCAACCACGATGATTAATGACAATTATGACTGATACCAATTATATAGCGTCATCTCAATTGTGGATCTCTCCATCTTGAATTCACGGCTATATAATGATAATACGAATATGGTAATCAATGTATTTGATTATAGATTTTTGGTCGTTGAAAATCATTCTCCTAATACGAAAACTAAAAACTATTTCTCTTGTGTATTTGTCATGGGACTTCAAGCATTTTGATACAATTTTTAGATTAAAATTTTGAACCTAATATCATTTCGCTTTGCCTGAAATAGTTTATTCATAACAAGATTGATATTCAGTGAAGAAAATTATAATGGTACACTAAATTTATGCTTATGTGTCAACATCTATCAAGTGAACGCAGCGTCTTCCTTTCTAAATAAATATAAAGTTTAATATAGGAAATGGAAATAAAACTTTCTATGCTGAAATTGATGCGCCATCTCCATCACGAATCGCCCTATCTTGAGTCCGGAAATACAATGGCTTCTGAGTATCACAGCCTATGATTATTAATTGGAGATTTTAGTTGTTAAAGATCAACCAGTTAATTTATGAACTGAATTCAATTTCTCTGTAATTACTATAAAATTTTATATATTTTATGTAATTTCTAGTTTGACATTTTTAACTTCGTTCTATTTTCATTTTATCTGAGAATTGTTGGTTTATGGCAATATTTAAGATATGCATTCAGTGAAAAATTTTAATATTGCGTTAAAGTGGCGCTTATGTAGCGACATCCCTTAGCTTAACGTACTCGATTTCGTCCTAAATAAAAGATTTACTATTAGAAATAAAAAATTTCGCTTTATACATAGAAATTAATGTGCCATTTCAATCATGGATTCTCTGCTTTAATCCTACCAGGATTGTAATCTACTTGATGGTCATTAAGCAGAGATTTAGGCTATCGAAAATTATCCTGTTGACTTACGAATCGAAGCTGTTTTCCTTGTATATTTACTAAAATTTAAACCATTTTATTCAATTTCTAATTTCCCATCCTTAACTTAATTCTAATTTTACTTTTTTCTAAACCTCTTGGTTCAAAGCATTACAGTAAGTGTTCAGTGAAATAATTGCTCCATTGCAAAACAGTGACGCTTACGTAGTGTCACTCTATTTCGCTATCGATCTCCATTTAAACGTACGTACTGCATAATCTTCTTTTTTAAGATACTGTATATAAGGTTTAATATTGAGAGTAAGAGTCTCACTGTTTTAGAATTCGTTTAATGGACGCCTTTTACATGACTGTGAATGTGAGCAAGCAAACCTTCCAACAAATATTATAGCCGCAAGATTTTGAATTTGCTTCTTTGAATACTAGTATAAAATTAAATTAGGCAGAGAAATTCTTTATTGGTAACCCGAACTGGCCATATACCAATACTCTACATAACGTCAATAGAATACGCTAATCCTCTTTGTAACTTGTGTCATTCTCTGTGAAATTCGCTTTAATTGGAAGAAAATCCTTCTATCTTTAAACATTTTCTTTGAAATTTTTTGAAAGATATTGGAAGACCAATCAGTGATATTTACTATGCTTTCTGCAGTTCCTTTATTAAATGATCATGACAACCACGCTGATAGATGGACGATCTTAAAAACTACTAATAATTCCTTTTTGTGTATTACCTGCCTCATCGGTAACATCACAAGCGAGGCAACTTCAAAAAATACAAAGAAGACGATGCTATCAGAACTCTATGATTTAAGTTCAGAGTTCCAATCTGATTTCTATACTTTACTGGAAAGCGAATTGCCTGTTACCAATTACCTTTTGAAAGTCATTCTGGGTTCGTATAGACTGGTTTTATTGACTATTTCATTTTGATTTTAATCAAAAATTTTATATTTTTAAAAATGAAAAAGTTAACCATCAACTTTTGTGAATATTCTTTATTCCATAAATTTTAGAATTTTTCGACAACAACGACAACACAATAGGTCGACTTGTCATAGATAGTAAGTCAAAAGGCTATACGCTATTATAGAAAATAAGGCCTAGAATAGCAACTAGTTACCGCGTACCGCTGGAGGTTATGATTAAATATCTACATCCTTTTATTATTCAGTTGTGGTACATATTGGTTTACACTTAATAAAAAAAAAAATTCATGGTGTGTTGGTAGACTGCTTTGTGAACAAGGTGAATAATGTTAAATTCTTATATGTAGCGTATTTTATTAAGCAGAGATGTATCAACTCTTTAAAATTCTGGAATTTATGTAGCGCACGTCAATGTTTCGATTATAACATGTCAATATAATCCTTCATTATATCATAGTATCTGGTATAGGATAGATTTACTATATAAGTTTTAAAAATGTGAAATTTGAATTTTGCCTACTCATAAACTTGTGATTTATGAATTAATGAATCTTCTCACTTCAATTTTAATTCTTTCTTTCAGTTGGAAAAATCGATTAATTTGGGGGAATCCTTCAACTTACTACAGTGTTTAAGTAAGATTGGGTTTGCCTATCCTTCAATTATAGCAGAAATCTTCCAAAAATCGGGTACAATAAATGTTAAATTTATCTAATCAGTGATATTCTCCAATCTGCTAGATAACTTTTCTTAATGAAGATCTTAGAAACGATATTAAAAAAATAGCTCATAGCAGTGTTTTCACCATTCGTATTGCATGTGTTTTACAGTTACGCTAGTATTTGTTTAAACTTTGCATCTGCAATTATTCTTTATTCTGGCTTATTTTTAGTAGATTCTATAATGCTGTTATTGAAAAGCTGCCTAGCAAAAGACAACGAGAACGCCCAGCTGGCATCTTCACACTTATATTACATCATCTTTGATGAAGGTTTAGGTGCTGCCATATCAGGTAACGAAGTCGCAGAGTTGCTAACCGAGATCCCTGAACTTATTCTTGAATCAAATAATGTTTTATTACAAGGGAATATGTTGGGTTAGTCGATATTGGAATAGCTATATTACTTTAATTAATTAAGGATATAAACTTACAATTTTTAACGATATTAGTTCTTTTCAGTTCTCTTATTAAATATAGCAGAGAATTGGACCACACATGAAAGAGATGCTCATGAATGCAAGCTAATTTTAAACTTGTTCAAAAGTAAGAGTCGGACCATATTTCGCGTATGAAGTAAATTAGCTCTGTTTCACGAATTGTAATAGTGATCTGCTTCTGAATCTATCACAACAGATATGATTTTTCGACTACTTACCAAGATTGGAATGGTAGTATCGTTCGTAACATCTAAATATCATTTCTAAATGTACTGTAATTCATTGAAAACTTTGACTATGAATTATTTACTTATAACTGAAACAGTTCCTATCAGGATCTGATGATGGGATCAAAACTACCATTTTAAAACTTATGCTAAAAACCGTTGAATGGGGCGCAGTTACAGCCGAAGATTTAATGAATCAAAATATATCCGGTATCATATAGCTCAGGATTTACAGAATCAACCCTATAAAAGTTGATTTGAGTTAAAATAAAATTTAATAAATACGATAACTATGAAACACTTGCTTAGATCACTTATTTGAAGCTCTATCAGAAGCGGGACTAGCAGTTGTTCAGTAAGTATCGCGACATAGCATAGATTCCTTATGTTCATAAACCTGGCTTTTTTCATTGACCTATGAATGGGAATTACCGTTTAATTTTCAGGGAGATATCTAATTGCATATTGAAAATGCTTAAATGTAGTCGTCTACAGAATACTTCGTACATGATGTACGGTAAGCCTTTGATTATACTGGATCTTGAAAAGATCTTTAAGCTATACGTGATTAATTAGCAGAAAATTATACAATAACCTAGGTTTTAGCCTTATTGTTAAGGACACATTGGCGCGACTAAGAGTACAGGATCAGAAAATTGCAATAGTCGAGTGAGTAAGCTATTAGCATTCGCTTCGCTAACCGGCCTTTTTTCTACTTAAATATGCATTGAGTTATGATTTCCTATTTAGATTAAACCTCTTGGCTGAAATCTTGCAAAGGTATATTTTTCTTTGGATATTCAAATATTCAGACATTATAATATAACATCTCCTGCTTAAGCATATTTATCCAATTTTATGCGCATCATGCGCTTTTTAATTTCAGTCAAGAAGAAAATACCACACTTGTATCCAATGATCAGGTCTTTAATATGTGTACGGAAATATTTTGTATGGGTGTTACTATGGAATTCCAGATTTTACTTAGTACTATCAAAATTTTGGCTGTATTCATGAGGTGAAAAAGGGCACGATTAAATCTTTCGCTTTCTTGAAAAGTTCCTAATGAACGAATAAAATTGACCCGACTAAAGAATGAATAGATTTGAAGAGAATGTTCTCATTAATCTAGGAGAGATTATATCATATATGAAGATATGTTAGAATCCTTGGAGTTACCGATAAAGCTATTAGTGAATAGGGTTGGTAATATTTTAAGGCAGAATTCTCCGGCTGACGATCCTAGCGGTCTTAATGCGATGAGCAACGTTATGGAGTTCTTTATGAAAGTGGTTTTGCAATCATTTGAGTTTGTATTAATAATTGATTTTACGATTTCGAAATGATTAATTATTTATGATATGATTATTTAAAACAAATTTGAAATTCAAACAACTTGTCCTTTTTAAAAATTAGAGTAATATCATCATTTACTGATATGCCATCCATCAGTAAATTTGCAATAAACTGTAATGATGATAGATGTTATGCGATACAAAGTACGGCCTTTATGTCGCAGCTAGTAAAAATCGTTGACGAGTTGATCATTCCTTATATTCAGGTAATTTTTAATCATATTGTGTAGTAATTATCTGCTAAAAATGAATGATCTAGTCGACAGAATTACCCTCAAAGGCCTGTCTTTTTGCTAGTTTTCTACAAAGGACGGAATATCCTCAATCAATTCAATACAAGTCTACAAACTAATATTTAGGATTTTAAGGTGCAACATTCGTTATGGCGACAACCCTAAAAATCTTTGTCTTAAATTAGGTATGATCTAGGCCACGGGAATATGGTGTAAAAAAGTTTGAAGTACTACACGAAGCTTACAATTTAATTGCATAGACGTAAAATTTATAATAATGCTTATTCTGATAGCGGTTACCGCAAAGTCGACTGAATTTCTACTTGATTATCACTTTAACAATACTTACGCAGGTATTTCTATTTTTTCGCTTTAGAGATCTCTCTATCTATAATAAGATTATGTCTCGATGTAAAAGTTGCGTTCTGTAAAAGCAACAGGTTAGAGTCTAATTTCGAAATTAGTTAATCAGTTGTCATATCATTTTATAATTTAATGTTGCAATAATTTATTAACTTGAGGACATTATTCATAATACTGCACCATAATACTTCAGAAATCAAGACCTTGCAGATATGATACATGATTTTTTAGCAGTATTATGTGGCTATCTGAATGACTCAAAATATGATGAAAATGAAAGAATGAAATTGATATTAAATTCTATAAGATATATCACAGGTTTATTAATATTATCCAGCATTCAAGAATGATATAAATTTTGTTAACGAAATGACTGTTATCAATTTGGAGTTCTGTAAATTCAGTTTCATATAGTGAAATACATTCTATCCTGGTATGCAATAATTACGAAGTATCCGATAGCAACGGAATATATGAAACATCCTTAATTAGCGTTCAAAAAGCATATCTAATGCTTATGTACTTCTCCTATCTGTACGGTCAAAGGTATTACACTCGCGTTTTGTATGACGATGATGTTATGTACTAATCCTTAATTCAGTAGCGTCGGTTATTCTTTCCATTTTAAAACTTCATTTATAGAGAATCTAATGGGCCGATAGTGCAAAAGAATCTTAATAACTTCATCAAGAGCAACTTTAACCAGCTTTTGACCGATAACGTTACTATAAAGCATATACTGTTAATTTATACTATAAATCAGGTCTTTAATCTTAAAATTGCAAATTGTAAAAGATAAATAGATAAATAATGTAAGCTATCTAAAGGTTCAATGGGAATAGTAGACTGACTAACAAAGTATGGTATTATATGCATGGATTAGAATGAACTAAAACTAGCAAGAAGTACACAAAATATGCCATCACCGGCTGAACCAGATGTTATAGATCATGATTCTATACCTGGTGAGCAACAAATAATATGTTATAATTAAATTCATTTATAACAGCTTTCACAAAATTTTCAGACGAGCACTGGTTCATTACTTTGATCGAAAGACAACAAGAAGCAAAAGAGTTGTTTACTAACGATATCATATTCATTAGATGGTGTTTGACACTCTCATCTTTATCAGTACAACATTTTCAACGGGAAATGGTGCGTTGATAGTATTTTTGTATTCCTGAAATATATTTAATTACAGTATTAGTATAGCAGATTTATAATAATTTCTTAATAAAATGTAATCCACTAATATTTAGCTGTGAAAGGAATTATAAAATATTCGAAGTTATTTTTTAATTACTTTTATAGTTGAAGCAATGGCTATTAATAAATGAAACTTCAACTTGTGATGAACTACTACAAGATGTTGCCCAAACTATTCAGGAAAAGCTTATCGACATTCTACTGGTTAAGAACATAGCTATATAAAATTTAAAAATGGGTTTTTGGAGAGTTACGATTACTCTAATTTTTTATGCATATAACAATAGCATCTATTATTCGAAGAAGAGCCTCATTTAACCATGAAAGCTGCAAGATTACTTCATATGGTATGAGGATTTATAAATTTTTGATTAACCTAGAATATAAAAATCGATAAATTTTGTGTTATCACCGTAAATGTTTCATTAACTATAAAGGGGCACAAATATGAGGCCTATCAATGCAATGATTTTTTCTTGAGGGGATTCAAATTTTTTTAGTATCTATATGAACTTCATTCTTCACAAGTGGATGGTATCGAAAGTTTTCGCTTGTATGTTCTCTATGGCATAAACAAGTTCTTTTTAAGGGGAGACATTACAAGAACTAACGGTCATTAAATCATTTCCATAATTATTTTAATTTTTTACAAAAGCTGATTTCGTGCATTAACTGTCAAAAAAAAGTTATAACCTGAAAATCGCGTGTTTTTCCTATAGAGAAGAGCCTTCAAAAAATACTGCGAATCATAGCGGAAGTTTATGCAAGTTCTATTTTATCGAAAATTGAGGATATACACATAACGATAATGCATCAAGGTTCAGCGTTAGATGATAACTTATAACAAATTTAGCAATACCTATATGAAATCGATCTAATAATAAGTTTCTGTAGTCTTTTTTATGTAAATACCACATATATCCTTTTTATAATTTTGAATGTATCAAAGTTGTAGTTATCATGAGAGTAGTAAAATACTATACTACAACGTATTTGTTGTTTACTGAGGAAAGCTACGTGTTTAGCGGCGGTACTCGTATAATTATTCTCATAGTTCCATAATTTTTCCTTAAACTAATACTGAATTAAAACATCTTCATCAACTGAATGCTGGAATGAATGAATTCTATCCAAATGTAAAAAAGTTTCAAAGCTGCTAATGAGGTAAACAAATTCCTGTAAATCTCGTTTCTTCGATACCATACGATATTAAATATTGTATTTCTCCTAATTTCTATTGCGTGCTAAAGCAAGAACTTTAGTGAATTAACTATGATGCATTTACTTAATTGCCTATCTGCAATAATTTGCGTAATCCAGCAGAATAACAACGACGGAGGTAATTATAAATATAAGTAATCATAATCCGTTCATATGTATTTCTTGATCCAATCATTGTATCAATTCATTATCTTTGCTTTTGTGGTGTAGCGTTATTAACAGTGATTAGAAACTCACGATTTTTATCCAAGCTTGAGAACGCTTTGTTACTTCGTGAAGATGTGCTGAAGGTGAAGATGTTCAAGTTATGACGTTTAAATAAGTTAATTGTGTATAATAGCCTACATTTTTGCTTTGTAAAGTCGGATCGCCTTACTGCAACAAGCTGGATCTTGCTTTCTACCCTAATTTATATGGAAAATTGCGATAACTTCTCGAATGATGTACGAAGCTATCTGCTAATCGTTGTTATTCTAGTTAATCAATTATCAGAAAGTTATGTCACGATATATTAGAGTAACTTTAGTAATTGGAAATGATATTTTTATGCGAATAGATGAAAGTATCGATTGTAATAAATGTCAATGAAACTTTACCAGTAATCGTCTTGCAATACCGACCACTATTGCAACGTAAGCTATACTTGTTCAGGAACGTTATGCCATACTATAGGTTGATTTAACAGATTATGTAAGACTTTTCAATATTAATTAATTAATAGTGGCAGGTATCTACATTAATATCGCAATGTTACGCCGAAAGTTTATTCTACCGAAGTTCGTACGAGCAGAACATAATGGCCGTATCTTGTGTCAGAATGATACCTTTGACTACGTTAAAAATCTTTTATTCTATCTTCAAAATGCGGTCTTACAGGTAATATGGTAATATGTACCTAAATGCCTATATGCTACGCATATGTATTTCTCATAATTTTATAATAATTAATCATTTGTGGTCAGAATATCGATGAAATTAATCAATTACGGTAGATTTTATGCTCAAAGCTATCCATTATCTGATTATTTGATAGGGTAGAGAAAATGTAAGGTTGGCGTCTGTGGTATGTTTATCTGAGATTTTAAAGCAACACAGATCACAAATGCTAGAATTAGGTAACTTACTCTGTAAATAATTCGTGATGTGAATACTGGTAAATAGGATTAACCTTTAACTTATGTGGAACGAATCTTAGGATTTGGAAAGAATTTATGGGATAAGATGCTGCATAAAGTGTGTTTAAGTATGCTACAAAGTAAAATTTCTAATAGCCTGCTTTATCTAATTTATCAGGTAGGCCGATTCAAGTTATATCGTCCTATTCGTATAATTTTTATCTAATGAAAGCCTAAGATAACTAATTCAATTTTCTACTAGCTATTGATGTACAACTTATTAGGTGATGAAATCATTATGAGCTACTTGGGCCTTTTAATTAACAATTGCTTATCACCGTATACGGAATCTGAAATCAGCTTCGAAGCGCTAGGGCTATGCTTTCGCTGCTTAATGAAGGTACTTTAGAAGTAGTCTACTTCTATTATGAAATAATTTAAAGAAACGTGTATAAGAACTATGATTTATGTTGGTAATAGGCAATAGATATCGGCGTCATTCGCCATAGCGAATGTCAACAGGTTTCACTGAAGCTATCACTGGATCGTTATATTTCTTGGCTTGATAACCGCCGTAAAGGTTGCGAACTAAACAATTTAAATGATCTGTATCCTAATTAAAAATTTTTATTAAAGGCTTTTAATAATTATCTGTGTCGTTTTGTGAAACATTGTTTACAATCTTTGACATAAAATTATTCTGCAATAGTATAATCGATGGAATTTTTCTACCGCGTCATAATTTAATATTAAGTAATCATTTAGAAGAACTTGAAACAGCAAATTCGCTTCGAGATTGCCTCGATAACTTGGCTGCTACATAACAAAGTTGGTTTTTCAAAATCAAACTGGGGTTCAGATTTGAAAGCTATCGAATGCATTATGTTTGAAAAGAAAAAAATTTATTGACTAAAAATTACTACATCACCTTAACGCAAATGGCATACTCACAGTTACGTTATAATTTAAATGTTAATCCAGTTTTTAACTTCTCAATCACCAGTTATGGTGATGGTTAATTGCATACCACAAATTTACTTTACAAAGGATAGACTGTCGAGAAACATTAACTATCTAAATCAACTATAAACTCAGATTACAATAAATATTTATACATAATGCGGTATGTACTTGATATTAGATTAATATAAACGAACGGCACTATTATTTGATGTCTGTTCGTAATTTCGTTGTTTAATCTGTTGGATGATAGAATTTAGTTGTTATACGAGTGCTTTGATACCCTTTTCATGATAATGATAAAAATCTTAAAACTCTTTAACCTCAATAAAATAGTTTTTGTTAAGAATCTATGAATTAGTCAAAGGAGATTACACCAGGCGGTAGAGAATTATTACATAGTTGATAGTATCTTAAATCACTAACGATCATTGTTAAACTTTGAACGAAAGTCGGAAGATCCTAGAATTAGAAAAGATTTCATAGGATCGTTAAGACAATTTCTCTATAAGTATTAAATCAGAATTTCGTTACCGTATTATTGCCAAGATTCTCTTGTAATCTTTCTCTTTGATGTGAAGTTAACATTTCACATTTTGATATCATCTGTGGTACGTAAACAGAATAAAAGGTGCTAAAGCTTATTGATGCCATAGCATAAATAGTACATGTCATTTCCTCCTGTAATAATTCGTGACTTCTATCAACCAGCGCATGAAATAGTACATTCATAAATTCAAATAATAGGTCTTGCTGAAAAATAGGCTGAAAGAAATATTAAGAAAAATAGTATAAATGCCAAAAAAACAATTTCTTTGACACTAAGTGTATAGCAGTTTTGTGAACTACCTTTTCGTATAATTTACATTTCTTATTCAGATTATCCAAAATTTCTAAACTTTGCTTAAACAGTGATATGTCAGGTTGTAAAAATGCTTCACCCAATACCTAATGACGCGTATGATTGTAATTATTTGTTAGATTTAGGATCGACAAAGCGTTCGTGCCACTGTGAATAACGACTCTTAGCCTAACCTGCATGATTGCCATAAAGTGCTGAGGGTTGTTAACAGTATCGCCTTCTCTTTGATCCATGTTTGACGGGAAAAAATATCTACAGAAAAAGTTGATCAAGAGGTATTAACAATTGTTATAAATAGTAAATGTGATATTAATACTCGTAGTACTGTGATTTAATTGTGTCATACAGCGGAATATTACTACCTCCAATTGTTTGACAGGTATTGATATAACACCTCCATCAAGGCATATTTTACCTCTAAAAGGTGAAACTTTTGAAATAGAATAATTGGTTAGTAGACCATGAATGTGCTGCTGAGGTTAAACTATGCTTTTAATACCTCTTTAGCTAATGGATATACTTGATCCATACAAAAGGATAATATATTAGGTAGTAATTCCTTGACGGCAGAGCCCGGCTTTACGACTAATAGTTGGATAATTTTTATGAACCTATCATAGATACATAATTGAGGGTACGATTAGCTTTTCGTATTTTTTAAGTCAAGAATTCGATTAGAATTCGCATAACTAAATTTTTAAGAGTATCTTTCACAAATTTGTCCATATGACACATATACGTATTACATAAAATTGAATTTACTTTTCAACGAATGAGTGCTCCCTGCCTCCATCTTTACTGAGGATATCAAATAATTGTTGCCTGCAAAATTACAAGGTAGAGTCTTTAAAATTGACATAAAGTTTAATTTTATATTTAAATGATGTGGTTTACTTCGAGAATAAGTGCATGAACGTTTCTAAAATTTGTTTAGCGAAAGCCATTCCACACTGACTTAATAACCCATTGAAAAGACTATAGATAAGGTCCATAACTTCGTTGATAAGATCTGCATAATATAATATTAATATTATACGATAGCATCAATATCATACAAGCGCGTAAGGCATTCAATTTCTAAGCGAGACTTTTTCATTGTGGCTAAAGGAACTACAGTTCTACCTGGAAATGGTGTAAATAAAGAAAGTGATGATATTATGTTATGGATAGAGCTTTCTATTGATTTGTAGGTAATCGTTTTCGATTTCATGTTTTCATTCGTGACACTCTCAGTGATACTACAGAGCACCATCAACGTACTCTTGATCATTGGTACTGCTATTGGGAAAAAATTCATGTGAATGTAATTAGTTACAGGAGATACCCCTTGTTTGCGTAAAAGAATTTAAAAGCCTTTCGTAGCGACATCGATAGGCAATCGAATATCCACTCTTACCTTGACTTATTAGATTACTGTCTTGTTGAATCGATTGATTCTGTAAGGTGTTAGTAAGACTCAATGTTGTGCTTCTTACGAAACTGCTATGTTTCTCTGAGCGTTCTTCCCAACGCTGAGTGAAAATGATAATTTATAGATAAATTAGAATCTCTAGAGACAGAATCGATCAGCAGTTAATTACAATCTTATATATATATGCATATTTAGACCTGGTCACTATCTTTGACACCATTCCAGGGTAGAATTATAGTATTTGAGAGCATCTTAAATATAACGACTTGAACCTGTTAAAAAGGATATCTGTATTAATCATAAAATGTTATCTTGATACGCCTCACTTTTTGCAATAATACCTTTTGAGGAAGGTAATCAAAGGTTGTAATTCCGGAATTCATGTTGGTCATATCTTGAATTGATCGAATATCTAGTAACATAGATGTTCTAATACTTGTTGCTAAGGTTAACAGTAAACAAGCGGCACAATACGCTAATTTTTCTGGCGTTTTTGCGGATTTTTGCAAGAGAGGAATAACAGCATCCACAATTTGATTTAATAGCGAATAGAACATTTTTTGGCGATCAATGTGTCCTTGACTATGGGCGTGAAATTGGCACAACCATGGGCTAAAGGCTTGAATTGCAGCCATAGATTGAATATGACTACAATTTCAATATAATAAAGGAAAGCAATGATGATATACTGATTAAAAATTTTCTATTTCAAATAATGATACTTACACTTCCATGATAGTTGATAATAATGATGATTCACAATTAATATTATATAGTTGTAGCTTCGTGGCGAAAAAGCAGACGTGGGTTAGTCTAAAAAACGATGTTAATATGATCTGTGTTATTTTAATTAGTGTAATACTGTTTTAAGATTCGAAATTTTACAGTCCTATCAACTGTGGCATTTACCCATCTAATAATGTATTGCAGTTTTGAAATCTTTCCATAAATAAAGCGTCGACAAAATGCTCAGACATCCTGCCTAATGCTTGTATGCAAGTAGATAGATCTCTCAAAGCACAGTGAAATTGCAGCTTTATATAGTTACCGTCTTGATTATCAGGAAATTCTATACATCGACCTTAAAAATTTAGAATGTATTACTTTCGTTAGTTATAGTACATTCATTGTATATTGTTGATTATGTGAAGTGAGTTTCATTATAGCGCATACCTTGAACATTTTGTACTAAGTATTGCTCGATACTTGAAAAAATGCTGAATCGCGATTTCAGTATATCAAACTAATAAATTCAATCACTACAGTTAATAGTTTATATACACAACGACCAGAGTACTATCATAACTGTTTTATTATTACATAGTAATGAATAATACATACTAATGTTTGAAGAATTGATTCCGGTTGAATTTCAGAAATAGAGGCAATAATCTCAATGTTATTTTTCAGAAATACTTGTAAATCTGTTTCGTCCTAAAATAATTTAAGATAAATTTCCAGGGTTATTTCTTCTGTTTTAAAAGGCCCTTAATATGATAAGAAACTTGAAGCATACTAACTTCTTCGTCCATTACATCGTTACTAAGAGCCTCAATTTGATTATAATTTTTGCTGGACTGAATCTTTTTGATAATACTACTAGCTAATACGGTAAGAATACTCCGATATTTGCTGATTTAAAATAGAAATAAATTCCGTTCATTAGTATAGATTATATGGGAGATGAGAGTTAACTTTTTTTCTGTGCTAATTCAGTTTTAGTTTTTACTTTATAATATTTTCTGCTTTTGCATGATTATTACTCTCAGCCTTAATTTGCATTTTTAAGTGTTCAATAAAGAATTCCCATATTTCTAAGCAAGCATAATAGCCATCTAAATGATGCTAGGGAATAAAATACAGGCAGTTGAGATATATTATCTATCAAGTATTATAAAATCATAGTTCTATTTTTTTTAATTACCTGTAAGAAAGTATACTTAAACAGAAGCTCGAAGAATCTTGATAGCGGAAAATATGGACTGTTTGTAAATCTTTGTAAGTGAACATTAACAAATAGCCGTAGAAATTCTGTAAATTTATCTAAATACCTATAGAATCACAAAAAAAAAAATATTGTTGTTATCTATGTGCAATATACCATGAACTTCAATATGTGCGGATATACTTGTACACTCTGTACATGTATACTGTACGCATATATATATATGTACATCTGGTAGTAGTATGTAGTAACACATATAACATAATAATAGGAATAGCCATTTACATAGTATGCCCTAAATTACGATAATTACAAAAGCGTATACAGTACTTTTCATCTAGATCAGCGAAATTGATATTTTGACCAATGACCAAATCTTGCAACAATTGATATGTTTCTTGAAATAATTTTAATAAGAATTCCTCGAACTCTTCCGGAACACAATTCTTGGAAACTATTTCATTTATACAGTCCATTGCTAACGTTCCCAACTGATGGCCATCACCAGTTTGACAGCCGAAGCTGGCATAGCCAAAAATGGTGGTCAGTAATGATGTTGTCATGAGTGATGACAAAGGAATCCATGAAAAGAAATCAGCTAGACATTGTAAGGCCAAAGCGGCAATTTCTTTTGATTCTACATTCCATGCTTGAATGCTAGATTTAGCTTGACGAGAAGGCATATATCGAAGTAATTTTTGTACAATATTGTCGTTTTCAGTGGTTGAGTTATCGTTTTGATCATATGATGATGGCGATACCGAAAACAGGTCTAGACCAACCGCTCCAGTTTCATTATGTCGTAATGACGTTGGAGAAGTAGATGGTGTAATATGTCTTGCAACTTGATATTTATCCAATAATGAATCTAGTAAAGTTGATAGCATAGATAGGATCTTGGGCACCTCATTCAAGAGCAGTCTCTTTAATTCAAGTTTTCGACTATATATAACGTTTTCACGAGGTTGAATTAATTCCTCTGAGGTTGTCAATAACATGTACAAGCCAAGGCTAGTGGTGCTAGGTTCACTAATTATCTTGATAGAACAAAACAAGAGCAAAATTAGCTACTACTGTATTTGGGCATGGCCAATTACGGTTGAAATTGTAGGCAAGTATATTGTGCATGTTGCAATAACATAGCGTATTGCATGATATACACAATATACTGTACAAAGCAGTTAGCAGCATAATTTATTGCATCAGAGGAAAAAAATGATTTTTTAACGCTTACTTCTTGCATATCATTAAAGAAATTTGGATAAAAGTGTGGCCAATCCAATCTAGCTATATCTACTATCACTTTAACCAATTTATTACGCACAAAAATAGGAAAATCGGTTCGTTTTGCTAGAAGTAACCGAGGTAACGTAGAACGGAATTCTCTTTTTTCGTTGGCATCCACACCAATCCATTTTTTGTTAACGATGTCCTAAAAATTATTATTATAACTGTTTATTCATTGAATATATTTTTAAACAGTTCAAGTGACAAAAGGCTATGTTACTATTGTATGCTTTATCGCAAGCAGCAACATTGACTTCTTACGTACAGTAGGCATTACTGTATATTCTGTAGTACTGTACTACTGTACATATGTAGTTAGAATATGTAAGTAAAAGTTAATTAATAAGGTACAAATATAATCTAACCTCTAAGACTCTGGTTGCAAACATGAGAACACCCTGTTCTTGAGAATCGTTCAAAAAACAAATGCAGTGCCTCCATGCGTCTTTCTGCTGGCTAAAATTCGCCAACAATTGTTCTATAAGAGATTACATATGCCTTATTAAGTTAAAATAGTACACCTTTATGACGATAATTGCGAGAGGTATTCTTTTAGAATGGTATTGTAATGGTTAGTAAGATTGATTGAAATTGCAGTACAGCGATGTCGTTTGACTATATTGTACAGTATGTATAATGCTATAATATCCAAAAAATTGAAATTGGTTGAAATGCCCGTAGCCATTTATTTTCCAACTTTGAAAAGGTATGAAAGTGATCATAAGATTTAAGTGCAACGATTGTACGGACCATTATTGATATGCGTTGAAGCTTTGATACATGTGTAAAAAATAATTTTTGTAAGGTGGCTCAGAAGTTTGTATACCATAATAATAGCGTGCATAATCGTATAGCAAAGAGTGAAAGAGTAATTATTTTTACATTACAGATACTGTATTATTATTCTAGCATGAAGTAAACGATGCTGTCGTATACCTACAGTACTAGTTTGTTGTAGCATTATACATTACGCTGCATACCAGTTTTAAGCTTTGTTATGATTGATTGAGCAAATGTGTTGTGATAATTTTGTTAGCCAATTTTTACGCCAAATTGCATCGTACAAAGTACAGTATTAAATTGTTAAAGGTATTTTTACAACTGAATACCCTATCTGGCTGTTGTTGTATGCATGTAGAAGTGCTACACAAGTCTATGGTAGAAAATATTTGAAATGAAGGGGATAAACTAGAGTAATAGGTTCAATCATATTACCGATTTCTCTTTTACGTTTGTTGGTTGTTTGAACATTGTAAAATTCCGATAGTAGACGCTGAAGTATATTTAAGGACTCTCCGGTGGTGTTATTACTCTAAGGTGTAATAAAAAATAAGCATATAATAATTAATAACAGCATTAATACGATTCACTTACAAAACAACCCACTGGATGTTCAAATACGTTGAAAAGGCTTGATTAATTCAATTTAATGAAAGAATATCATCAAATACAATTGCTTATTTCCTGATAGAGTACAATATTTATTTTCAAAAGTAAAAGTTGATATTAGGCTAAACGAATGCGAAGATAGGAAATAGATTAGGACAAAAGCATACGTAATTACGATATACGTGCAGTATGAAGGTATAATTAGCTGTAGTAGAAATACTGAAGAGAGGGGAGCCATGAAGAAAAAAAAGAAACAATAGATAGGAGTTGCATGATATTGTCATTATGATGTCTCAATATCTTGAAAAGTTATTCATACAGCCGTTACAGTTTAGGATTAATATAGGACAGGTAAGCTCAAGATATGTAGATGGAATTGCTATTTGCTTTGGGTGATAAGATGATAGCTAAGTCTATGCCAGTCCATTGGCAATACAATTGTCACATTATGTGATTATAGGAGTCTTTCAACAAAGTATAATTGGGTTGATGTGAGATATCGACATCTACTAGTCCCTGCTACAGTACACAATGAGATTGCTGTAAGATTTCGTTGAAATTGCATAGGTATATGACCGAGACTTTATCTCATTGTCAACATTAAAAAAATAATATAATACAGCAACAGAATGAGAACGGTAATCATCATTGATCTTGAGGTATTGCGTACTTTGCCAAATGAATCACTGATGGTAGGTCAAGTTGATAAACTGATACTGTAGTGTTGATGAATTAATCAAAGTGAATGATAACAAATTTAAATGCTAAAGAAGTAAAAAAGTATTCCATCCACTGAAAATCCAGTTGATGATTGATGTTGACTCTAGTGAGAAATTGATCCTACAAAACTTTTAGGCTAAAATACGACAGGATACAAAAGTGAGCATTGAATTTTGACAGCTTAGATAAGATAATGATGACGAAAGAAAGTGAAATTCCCCAAAATGCTGATTGGAGGTGTCATCATTCATACGCGTACAGTCCAGTCGTTTTAGTGAAAAATCAAGGGTAGAAAACAAGAGACATTGTAGATGTTGAAGTAGGTTAGTACGATCAAGACAGTCTTCATCAAGATGAAGTCGTAGAAGATCGTCTACTACAGTGGAATAATATATGCAAAATGCTGGTAATAAGAGAAGATCAACGTCAAGATAGCGCGTTGATGAGCAAGAGGATTGGAAGATGGCATGGCTTTGATTGAAAGGCGTTGTAATAAGTTGGCGCTGAAGAAGGGGGTATCCGTTATGCAAGCCAAGTAAAACTTACCATGCTCGAAGAGATAGAAACTGAACGTTGAGTAGACTGAGTAAATACTCTTTGAAAGTCGATTAAAAGAGAAGCATTGAGCTAATCATGATGGACATGAAGAGAAATGCAATGGATTAGCCACGGTTTGCAGTCGAGGAATTGTGGTCGATTACGGTTGCAGTACGGTACGGTACGGTACGGTACGGTACAGATCGGATGAGTCTGATTGAGCGAGCGAGATGCTGGATGCAGTGATAGGCCTTCAACCTTCAACCTTAGAACCCTAGCGTCGTTGCATAAGGTTTAGTATGAGATTAACACGGTGTGACTGCGTTCGTACAATTACTCTCCTTCTATTAGAGTGTACAGTACAGTACTGATTTAGTACAGTATTGTAGTCGTCGTCCTTGGTACTGTAGCAAAGTACTGTCCTGTCACCGATTAGACCTGAATACGGTCCGGTTCGGTTCCAACCGTTCTGATCTATATGACACCGATAGACCACTCGGACCCCTGTATACAGTACAGTACTATACTGTATGCTTTCATTCTACGTAAACTGTATGTTTTGACTTAACAATATTCACAGTGCAGCGTGGAATTGTAGTGGACAGTGTACTGTACTGTAGAACAGTGGAATGGATTTTGACAAGTTGAACAGTCCGACACGATATTTGACTGGGGTGTACACACAGTACTGTACACTATACTGTAGACTGTACAGTAAATAAATGCAGTACAGTGCAGTCTAGTCTATTCATTAATGTAGTGGTGCACTACAGACCTAGAAAGAGATACCGTCCACTCTGCAGTATACCGTACTGGACCGGACCGGACTGGTCCAGACCAGTCCACAACTCTAGCCTACAGTACACGACACTACCATCCATGACTTACTGTACACTGTACACTGTAGACAGTAAACTGCACCGTGTGGGCGGATTGGAGTCCATAGGACACAAGCTTTGCCGTACTGTGGTAGTGTGCGGATACAGTAATCCAAAGGTTAGGAATTAAACTCGACCTGAAAACTACAGCACCCATTTTGAAATTTGCACTTTTTAAAAAACAACCCTGAAAAAATTAGCGTACTAGTTGATTCGGAGTTGTAGTCATTGACAGCTGCTTGTAAAACAAGATCGTGCATTCTATTTCATTAGGAAACGTAATGATTTCTATTGATTAAGAAAGAGGCAACGTTGCTAGAAGTACAGTAGTACACTCATCTTCCATTGGACGCAAAATACTATTCCATTACTTGCATACGACAATATTGACGATATTGCACTGTAGGCGAAGAGGACAAGCATAGACGATGGAAAGATTAGATCATGAAAGCATGTCGATAGGCGGTGGTTTACCCAATACTACTTTAAATGGAGAAATGGGTGAACAAATGGAAGGCGAGTTCGCAACGTCATCCACCTTGACAGTCATGAATGGTGGCGATATGGATCGGCCGCATGTCGAAGAGGGCGAAAAACAAAATGACATAGAAGAATTATTATCCAAAGATAGTGATAAAGTTGGCCAAGCATTATACTCTAGTTTTCAATCAACAGCAACATCAGTAGCTCAACTTTTCACAGGTTGGACATGACATTGTATTTTCAAATTTCATCATCTCCATTTCACTTTTACAGCGTGGAATTGAGGTAACACCTTGATCTATTTTCAATATTATAGAGTGTTGTAATGGCACCGCTGAAGGAGCTTGGACCAATTTTCAGTCTACTTCCAACTCTGTCACCAAACTTTATCACGGTACTGTCAATCATCTTCTCTACAGTAAACTTCAACAATCCATTTTCTACGTCTTGTCATACTGTAATATATAATATATTGCCCTTACAAAGTAAAGACTTGACTTCTGTAGTCTTGCTAAAAGTGGATCATCACATTGATCCATAGTAAAGCTTTTCTATCCAAAAAGAAGTACAACACACGTCAATAATTTAAACTTGTTGGATTTACTATTCCATTTTGTGCACACAAACTCGATTGCCCACTATCATCGTTTCCATCATCAGTCCTGAATTATATCCGAGACCAGACTTAGCAATCACCACGCTACATGATGCCAAGTACTGTAGTGTGTACCATGTAGCGCTACCAACATACACCATTATACCGCATTTGATTCCTTTTGCTTTTTCTTACCTATTGTTCTACCACGGGAAGTTGGTAAACAACCAACGTTGAAGGCTATACATCGCTAGCAATGGCGTTGGACAACTCTAGACAGTACTTTATCCTTGTATTTCCATCCATATAAAGCAATAGGCAAAAAAGTGTGTAGCAAGGACGGGTAGTTAGCTCATTGGCAGTCTAGTGTTGCTGTTATTGTCGCAGCAGGCAGGATGTTTTTCAAATAATTAAGTTCCTGGTCGTGGCAGTAGTAGTTACCCTTGCCAAAGGACATTCAAAAAATTAATCCTGTCAACTCTAGCGTTGATCATATCTTGTCAAGAACTGGGTCTTACCAATAGTTTACCACCAATATTGGATGTCTATGATAGGCCTAGAACGATCAGTTTTAGTGGCAATCAGTACGTTCGTGCTAGCTTGTAGCAGTAACGACTGTATTGAATCCAATTTTTTCCCTGTTGTGATAATAATTAGAATTGAAATTTGAAATTGAACTTGCTACGTTCTACTTCCATTAATTGGATAAAGGGGCAAAAAAAAAAAAATACGATAAGTTGTTGAGTAGTCCCTAGTTGTAGTCAAATGACGCTTGAGGAGTACGCCGTTGCTGCACATTAGTAGTTCAAGCAATGGCGAAACATAAGCCTTTGTTTCAAGTAGCTAAAAGTTGCTTCCGTATACGCGGTGCAGTGAAGACGTATTTTGGGAAAGAAAATGTTTGATATATTTCATTTGAAAGTGACGGTCTTTACTATTCATATGGTATTCTTCTAGGCCATTGCAATAGAACGGAACGTAATTTTACTCTTTCATCCCTTCCCATATTGTACCAATTTACCCAAGTGTTTTCTTCCTTTATAGCTTGCTCGATTGTTTACCCTTGCAATGGACGTTTTTTTTCTCACATTAGTCATACAGTATGTGTTGGACCCTTCGCAAGGATAAACTGGACAACATCGTGTATTAAGTCAACTAGATTGAATTATTTATTATAAATATCGTCTACTGCATCTTGGGTTGTTTGTGTTCTACATACGTTTTTCTGATTAACCTGGTCGACACGCCATTTTTATGTCATCTTGTACAACTGTGAGCTATGTTGTGCGATTCTTATAGCGTCCATTGAAATAGAGTAATGAAACCACTACATCCATCTACAGTAGACGCATACTAGCATGTAGTAGCCCATCATTGGGTTTCTTGTTATAGTACATAATTCAATTTTCAATCATATTTGGAATGAATGACAGTATTACGCAGTTCGTATGGGTAGATGTTGTACATACTGTAAAAGTTGATTTCTCGCTAGGATTGAACAAATTCATGTATAGCAGAATGAACTGATTACAAGGCGCGATGATATAAAATGGGATATCATCGTGCGTTGTGTTGTGGTGAGTCCTAATGTAGAGTTATGCAGGGTTTATACGTGGGGCCTTGTTAAGATAGGTATGTACACAATTTTTTTCTTTACGCGTTAGTGAGTTGAAACGTTGTAATGACTACAAGCTTATAAGCAGTACCGAACTAAAATTGAAATTACTGCAAACGTCGACACGTATGAAAAAATTGGAAATGTTTGAGCGTAGACTTCAATTGCAAATTGATACCCGTAGTCTAGCTATTATCTTAAATAACGAAGTAACTAAAATTGTTATTTTAACTTTGAAAAGGATGCGATGAACCTTTTGCATTCTCTCCTACTGTACGTACGTGTAGTGTCTATTCTGTAGTGTATGTAGATGGTGTATCGCTGTCTTTCTCAAGTGTTGCTCTACAAATTCACGATGCAGGGAGTATATCACCATAAAGATAAAATAAAAATGTCCTAAAATACTCTTTTATATTGAAGGATATTGTATTCTTATTACAATACCTACAGTAGATTCTACATAGGTATTCACTGTTAACCCATGATATTCATTGTTGTGTAGAAACTAGAGTATTGTAATGGATGAATTAGTGTAGATATTACTCGAAGCTATCCCATTTTAGCTTTGTTGTACAAGTGTTGAACTAAACGTGAAACTGACAAATAATCAATCAATACAATAAATACACCAAGCTATAATTTGATAAAGTTAGTAATTGTTGTGTTGAGCTAAGATGAGTGACAATATGGAATGAACTGGTGTAAGAATCTTTTGATGGAAAAAATGATATCGTACAGTGTCATGATGATATAGGATAGCCACTTGGAATTAGGACTGAAAATACAGTAGTCGAATTCTTCTACCTAGTTGTTGTACTGTACATTGAATATCTTTTCTTTTATATCATTGTCTAAACAGATGGCATGGATGCTTACAAGTATGGGATCGATTTTGGTACACAATGTGGCTATCAGCGTCGTACCAAAGAATTAGTCAACTGGTTAAAAAAGAAACGACGTTTGGTATTGCGGGAGGAAATTATCGGGTTTCTTACTGGAATGTTGCCACCATCACGTCCCGAATGCCCGTCTGGCAATGATGTCGGCTCTATAGCAAACTTTTCGCGGAGTAGCACATTAGCAACACCTCCACCAACTTCACATCGACGCAGAATGACTCCATCGAGCCAGGTTGATGCTGTGATAGACAACGATGAGAGTAGTAGCAGTAGTAGCAAGAAGCGATCAGTTTCGTTTGCCGATTACTATATGGACTGTCCCGCTCCGAGTCAGAAGCGATACCGTTTAGAATTTGACTAGAAATCATTTATGATATCGAGTGCCACCGAGATAATTGACTATGTCTACAGTGGATAATGTGTTGTACCCTATGCACGTACTGTATATCGTCAATACTGGCAGCAAACTAGTAGGTTTTTATGTTACCTTTTTCATTGCTTACATTGATGTTACTTTTATAGTTTTATTGCATCGGATTTGCTTAATCGCGAATATGTAGTTATTAATATACATTGTCTTTATTTTATCGTAAGCTATGATAGACGCGATCAATGAGTAACGCATTCTCACAGATTATAAAATGCTTGTAATCGAGGAGGGAATTGTAGTTGCTCCACCATACATACGTGTAAAATGTAAAATTGTTATCCTGCAATCCGATTACGTTCTGATAAATCTACTTTACTTAAGTGCAATATAAAAGAGGTTTCGCTGTTATTTTATTGTAATATATGCTGTACTGTAATTGAAACTGTGTGCTTATATGACCGTCTTGCATCATTTAAAAAGTTACTGATATCGTAGTCTGTATGAAGAATAGGAGGATAGCATTTTATATTGTAATATTATGCTGTATGAGGTATCATTTGTCGGTAAAGTTTCAAGATATATTTTCGGTTGATTTAAAGCACCTCATGTAGACGGACACTGTGGTACGGTTGTACTGTGTTAATTTTCTTTGTATTGTTGTATATATATATGATACAAATATATATATATATATATATATATATATATGGTATATACGATCATCTATACGGTATAATATATTGAAGATACGGTATAAATGACACGCAACTTTCGTTTGATTACTTTCTTAAGTACAATTTTCGATTGATAGGATTGTAATTGCCTTGTATTATTTCGTGTCTCTATATTTCAGATTCTTATTTTTTAAAGCTATTGCAATATGCAACGCATTACTTTTAAGAAGAATAACTCATATTGCCTCTTTAAGGATCTCTTTAATTATGTCGCACATGATACGATTAGAAAATCAGATGGCCTATTACTGTATATTAATATTAAATGGATCTCTGAAAATATCTGATGGTGTTCTTTGCAGGATTTTACCGTTGAATTTTAATCGAATCTCCAACTATCTCCCAAAATATGCGTTCGATGATTATGATAGAAGAAGCTATTCGATTGACATTCGAGACAAATGATTAGGAATATTGGACCATTTTCCCACGCAGTAAATTGGATCCTTGTGGGAGTAAAAGTGAGCGAACGTTTAGGCAGCAGCTATTGTGTGCTGTTTGATGAAAAGTGAAAAGTTCTCCTAGCGATTTAGTGAAGTAGGCACTAATCATGGTGTGCATGTGCGTATTTACTTCTAAATCTAGTATAGTCATAAAGAGTCTAAAGTGTGTCTCTATCAATTGATGTTAAATTTGCTCATTTATCAGTTAATACTGTCAAAGCACAGCTGTTATTGTGATACCAAGAGTAAGATATTGTAGCCGTTTGCGTTCCAACAAGTACAGTATGGATGCGGTATTATTGACTGGAAGTCAATTCGTTCACTATCTTCATGGCTTTAAAATGTCTTTGCTATAATAGATACTTTATAGTGAATTTGTCTGTAGATTTATAGTAATTTAAGCAAGAAATTGAGGAACGATTAACAGGGCATGGAGCTAAGCAAAAAATACGTCTAGTGTCTACCGGTGCGCAATTTGGAATCCATTACTGCAAAGGAGTTGGACATGATGGTCCGTGATCCAGTATGCAGATCAAGCCGGTTATACTTTTTTTCTAATACTAATACATTCACATCTCTTTAGCGTCTGTAGCCGGTATATAGTACCTATTTTATTTTAGCTATTTTGATCACAAAATAGATACATATGCGTTAACGAGTTTCAGCGCGTCGTGGTAAAATGGGCTGCACTGTTAACCGCTCGCTATCATCGTGCAATCGGGTAGCCCGGAATACAATCGATTACCTATTTTTTTTGGCTATTTTGATGACAAAATAGATATACTAGTTTCAGCGCGTCGTAGTAAAATGGGCTGCACTGTTAACCACTCGCTTTCATCGTACAATTGGGTAGCCCGGTATACAGTCGATTACCTATTTCTTTTAGCTATTTTGATGACTAAATAGATACTGTACATATGCGTTAACGAGTTTGAGCGCATCGTAGTAAAATGGGCCACACTGTTAACCGTTCGCTTTCATCGTACAATTGGGTAGCCCGGTATACAGTCGATTACCTATTTTGGGGGCTATTTTAATGACCAAATTAGATATACACGTATACGAGTTTTAGCGAGTAGTAGCAAAATATCCAACATCAGGCATTCCATGTACACGTATTGAGGTAAGAAAAAGACCGAACCGCAGGAGGGAGAGGGACAACTTTCCCCCATCTTCCTGATAGATGATATAAACAACTGAGCCAAATAACAACAAATCCAATGGAGAGTTTTTTTGCAACAAGCGATGATCCCAGTGGTTTACGCTGTCTCATGTTTACTCTACCATCATTAGATCTGTCCAGCAGTGAATGCGCCATCGTCGTGGATTGTTATGATGATTGTAAGCATCCATTGTGAGTACACTACACTACTGTACTACTGTCCATAAAATGTGTGATGGAGAACTGTACTGTAGACCATAGCCTTTCCCCCCCGCCAAAAAGGAGAGATTTTGTCTTCATTTTGAATAAAATGAAAACAAAATCTAGAAATGGGCCATTGGATAATGGCGGTCTATTGTACCCCTTTGAATGTAGAGTGTACAGTAGTGTGTACTGTAGTCCATCACAGTGAAAAGTAGCATTTTTCTTGAAAGGGAAAAGTGTACTTCTGTACGGTTGTCCATGTCTTACAGTACATTATTAATGTCATACAGCGAGGGTCAAAATATCATCGCAGTATACAGCGCTATTCAATTCGCCTGAGTGATTGATACTGTCTACTCGAGTAGACTACGGTGCTTCTACAGTCCTTGTGAAAGACCTTGCACTGTAGTTGAGTGGATCTGTTTGAAAAAGAGCGAGAGCTCGTCGCTGAGTTAATTTCCTTTCATGTCGACCAAAATTAGTAGTTAGTTGCAATTGAAATCTTTTCTTTTTTCCTTTGGTGGTGTGCAAAGAAAATTCAGTCGCAATTGGACGTATTACTAGTAAACACGTTTCCAAAGTATTTCACCCTCATAAGCAATTGCTGTCTAAGAGTGCTCGCTTAGGCAGAATGGAAAACAATCGGAAAAGCGGTTCGTATGATTTTGATGAGGTTGAAGGAGATGATCATCAAGCGAGTGATCAAGAGACGATGGAAATAGGAGAAGGTATACCAATGCTATTTTCAACTACCATCCCTGTCATGATTGATGTTGTATTTTTACTATGTTGACGCTTAATTTACAGCTTTTGGACTACAACAGTCATCACTGTAGTACCAGAGTAGGAGGATACAATCTCTCAAGGAGTGCTAGTACATAAATCAACAAGAGTCTTGTCTGTCAAAATGGATCCAATCTATTTTGCGCGATCACAGCTCTTATTGACGAAAACCTCTTCCATTGGGGCTTACTATAGCTTAGTCTTGTCCGTGAATTTCAACAATGATAATAATACTAGTCCTACGTAGTATTGTATGCGATCTCCTATAGTCATCAATTAGCATGATCAACCTTTGTTGTGGGATAGCAATTTGCAGTAGCTTGGCTATCTTTGGTACGCGTCCAGTAGTCAATTGTCTATATTAAATGACTACAAACTTGCCATTGGGCTAGCGTAGCGTTCAATCACCTTCAAAAAAGACTCCAATGGCAGCCAGCCAGCTGCTGATGCATTTCAATCAAATTGATACAGTAGACTATCCGCAATTCTCTTCTTTTCTCTCCATGAGAAAGAGTAACATTTCAGTGGAGGATCATTTGCTTGACAGAAAATTTCATCCCCGACTACAGGTGTAATTTCTCAAATGGCTATTCACCAGCCACTTTGGGGGGGGACATACAAGTACTTTCCTGTATTGACAAAAAAGTCAAATCCATTATAGAATAACAAGCAGTTTGCTAGTCACGGCTGTATTTGTTGTCGAGGATGGAGTGTGTGAACAAGCACTATAAAGCTAAGAATGACTACGACTGGATAGATTTTAAAATCAACTCCACACTACAATAATATATACAATTTATGTGTATGCGTTGATACAATTTTTATGACGCAGACATTTCAATCCAATTGTACATCCATGTAGATCACTTACGCCATCAAGATGAGATTTTGGATTCTGTTATTGCTTCTCGTATTTTTTTCTTCAATAATTAGCCTACTTCCTCAATTCTATTACATTACTACTAGCATGGTATAAGTATTGGCACTAAATTCGGAGCGTATTGTAGAATGTAGACCAAACAAGATAAAATTAATTTGGTAATATACTGTACAGTAGTAGAAAGAATGAGAACAAAATACTGGTCCTAGACACACTTTGCAAACTGTTGTTTTTTTTGCTTCCTTATCAACCCTACATACGACTATACCACCAACACTGACCGACTCTACAACTGAAAGTTCTTTCCTAACCCAATTGAATGAAATAGGAAAGGCAGATATGACAATAAATTGCATTGCCTGTGCTATTCTTATTACGATGTAAACTTACTCTTATGGTAGTGTTGAAAAACTGCATGCCTTATTTTCATAGTTTACTTCTCCTTGACTCACAGCCCAAGCTAATTCATGGCAGTTTCACACACCTTTGTCAGACTCTTGCTTAAAGGTACTGTCTGCGCCATAATATCATCAATACCCATATTTGTATCCTGGCCCGTAACATCGACACTTTATCATCGAATTGCTGATTTCGTAATTAAAATGTGCTAAGTAGCGCTGTAGTCATTACACCTAATTAATCCAATTGTAGAAAACTGGTTGATAAGGGAAAATCTTGGCTGTTCTTGTTCATTTCTGATTTTAAAATACTGGCTGACATGGAATTTAATTTAAAATCGCATTTCCGTCATAACAGATAAATCAATTTTCAGCAGTAGGGGGCAACGGATTGATTGGGAGATACCCATTTACAGCAATAACTAGAGTTTGCATTTGTTTATGTATTGAATTTGTCTTAATGTTGCTGTTTACTCTTTCCTTTGCTGTATAGATGATAATTATCCTCATCCTAATAGTAATAGCAACCATGGACCTGCATCACCGGAAGCAGAAAATGATACTGCAGATACCACTGAGATCAGCAACGAGGATGATTTAGATAAGTTGAAAGCCAACGCTAGCCAAGGTGCAGCAAAGATACAATTTGTTGTACGCAACTTTTCCAAAATTGATAGCACTGTACTTAGTGAACCAGTACATGCTAGGAATATTCCATGGTAAGTGCAAATTTAGGAATGTTATACGCATAGACGTAGATTGACATATGCATTATGTGGATACAATGTACGTAATCCTCATGGTTAGTGATATGCTTGGTCCATTTAAACCCCTTTTGATATACAAATATATTGTTTGGCCAGCAAGCTTGAAGTGATTTTGAAGAGTCTGCTAGAGATATTGTTCGAAGTGTAAATTTACCTTACAACATCACGTATCGTATCACGATGAAATTTGCGTAGTCACTCGTATTCTGCATGAACGAAGATTAATGTCCAATTGCCTTCTTAAATCTCTACAGAGTATGTTCTGCTTGATAAATGAATTTCTATAATCGATATTGTTCTTATTCACATCTTAGTCAAAGTAGCTAAATTAGTATACATTAATGGCACAAGACACTTCAAACGTATGACAGGATACGGTAATAACTATAATACTCCAATGGTAGTACTTATTTTGTGGTATAAGCGACAGTTGCGAACGCAAGAGTAATTTAACATACAGTACTCAAGCACAAAACATGTCAAAACTGCCGAGATTTTCTATTATACAACATAAATTATATCATAAGAATGTAACAATCATTGCTGTGCTATCCAATTTTGCGATTTGAAGGCAATTTATCATATCCTATTATAGATTTACTTGTTTAGTTCTAATTGTTGATTATAACAATGTCAACGGTATGTAATCATCAATAGGATCGAATGTATTATTTTATTCTGGTTGATGTTTCCAGTAGCTTAATTTATTAATTCTATCACAATCCAGCCTGAGAACCAACTAGAATTTTATATTTCATTTAGTTATTATTTTGACTTTTTGATTAGAGTATTCAACACATAAACTATTAATAATTCTCTAGGCGCATTATGTTAATGCCACGACATTCTGGTCAGGACAAAACTAAGCATATAGGATTCTTTTTACAATGTGCACCTGAGACCGACAGTTTGTAAGTATATATCCTTTCAATGTACATTGGTTTGTAGCATATTTAATTATGTGAATATAGCAATTGAATAAATTTAGTCTTACACAAAGTGCATTCTACATCTATCCTTAAAATTTTTTAACACAATGTTAAATTTCATATTCAGGTCTTGGACGTGCAGTGCGTCGGCAATATTAATGCTAGTGAATCAATCCAATAAAGAGGCGTCCATAATTAGAAGTAATTATCCTTTCATGCCTAATATCTTACCGTTTGTGATAGCTCAGGAGAATCATATTTTACATACAATTTTCCTTTTGTACCTGTAGAGATTCATCATGTATTTTTTCCAAAAGAAAATGATTGGGGTTTTAGTCAGTTTATTTCATGGAATGTAAGTAGACATAATTTATTACATTTCGTCTTACAGTTCACTGGTGTAATAACAGAAATGATATCATTTATTAGCTTTAATGATAGATTTAATCATGTATTTATGGATATTTTGTAGGATACGATGGATCCAAGTAAGGGATTTATTAAGAATGATACCATTATTTTAGAGGCTTCCTTAAATGCAGATCCTCCACATGGTGTCTGGTAAGAAGATAATCATAGTTTAAAATAATACATATAGAAATACTACTAGATTCATATTATTACATATTTTTGTAGTACAGTTACAAAGAAGTGCGACATGAACTATATACCTGTTTATGTCCTATTTTTTTCTTTCCATAGTTGGGATTCGAAGAAAATTACTGGTTTTGTTGGATTAAGAAATCAAGGAGCTACATGTTATATGAATTCACTATTACAAACTTTATTCTTTACTACGCAATTGAGAAGGGTTAGTTTGTAATATATAGGATTTTACGATCAATATTAATCTTGGATCTTTTATAATTTATGTGATATGCTGTAAACGATATCTTAAGTCTTGTCATCTACTTCTTTAGGCTGTTTATATGATGCCAACCGAAAATGATGATCCTGTTAGAAGTGTTCCTTTAGCTATGCAGAGAATATTTTATGATTTACAATATAGGTAATATTGATTACTAATGCAATACTCATAGTCCGTCGCAAAGTGGTAGCGTAGTTGATATATTTATTTTAGGATATTAGCGTGATCATTTTATATCAACTCGAAACTGTTACCTAACGAATCCTTTTACATTACAGCGATAAGCCTGTTGGAACTAAAAAGCTTACTAGATCTTTCGGGTACTTGCTTGATACTTCAACTATATCAATACTTTTTCCGCTTTTGTATAGAGGAATTAAAGTTGTCGTAATCGACCTATTTTAATTTTATAGTTGGGAAACTTTAGATTCTTTCATGCAGCACGATGTGCAAGAGCTATCTAGAGTGGTAAGTGTGCTATTATCAGTTAAAGTGTTATCGATCTGAGATTAATAAATTATTTATTTGTACCGCTTACAGTTGTTAGATAACTTGGAGAATAAAATGAAGGGTACATGTGTTGAGGTACTTAATATTTAACACTTATAATGATGAGGACTTGTTAGCCTCAATTATAACACATGTGTATCGATTTAAATAGGGAACAATTCCGAAGCAGTTGGAAGGAAAAATGATCGTAAATTTTATTTTAGTTTAATATCCTTATATGATATACGATTGATTGATATCTAATTGCTAACCTTCAATATTTACTCTAACTTTGCATTTCAGTCTTACATAAAGTGCCTACATGTAGATTATATGTCATCCAGGTAAGCGCTTACTACAAAATATATCCAGCTTTTTTGATAAATCCTACTAATTAAATAGTTTACAACAATCTTTTCTTATTATCCGTAATATAGAATAGAGCCGTTCTTAGATATTCAGATTAACGTGAAAGGAAAGAAAACTAGTAAGTTCACTATGTAATGTAGATTGTTCAAAGTTAAAGAAATAAATGTCCGACCTTTTATCTAGTTTATGAATCATTTGACGACTATATACGTTTTGAAACCATGGATGGAGAAAATAAGTATGATGCTGGTGAATACGGACTGCAGGTAAGGTCTAAATGTCTTTTCATTTCTATGGTTGGCAAGACAATCTATTCGTATTTTAACTATCTCATTTAACTACCGAATGAATAATACCTGATATGTTTCGTTGACGGTTTCTAGGAAGCTCGCAAGGGTGTAATGTTCTCGAATTTTCCCCCCATATTACACTTGCAGTTAATGCGATTTCAATACGACCCCCTTGCTGATCTTAATGTTAAAATAAATGACAGGTCGCGCATGCTATTTTTTGATGATGTTATTAATACTGATGATATATTCAATTTATATTATTATTTAAATGTTTGATTTTCGCTCTATAGATACGAATTCTATGACAAACTGGACCTTAATAAATTCCTAGAAAAACCTGAGAGTGAGCCTGCAAATTATACCCTACATGCTGTATTAGTTCATTCAGGTAAGATGGAATGAAAATGAATATAAATCTATCTGCTGGAGTTGGTAAATTATCTCTCCATTACTAATTTTTTTATTATTACAGGAGACAATCATGGTGGTCATTATGTTGTTTATATTAATGTGAAAGGAGACGGAAAGGTATTGATTGATTAGATTGATTGATGTTGTTTGAACTGTTCGTTGCCTGTCGCCTTAGCAGTTATAATTCATTTTACATTTCATTACAGTGGTTTAAATTTGATGACGACGTCGTTTCTCAGGTATTTCCGCCATTTGTTATAAAAATAGCCTTTACTTTAAATCTCATATGTATTTTTTAATCTTCAACAGGCAACTGCTGAAGAAGCTATCGACAACAACTATGGTGGAACTGAAGGAGTAAGATAACCTTTATTGCTATCATGCAATAAGATTGGATAGTTTTTAATCTTTGATCTTAATGACATAGGATGAACATTTCGGGAGACATTGTACAAACGCTTATATGCTTGTATATATAAGGGATAGTTGTCTAGGTAAAACTCATTTATGTTACTAATTGAAATAGAACTATTCAATCTACTATAATTTCTATATTATTTATGATAAATTTATAGATGAAGTCTTACGTGAATTAAATGACGATGATATTCCTGAAAGTTTGAAGAGACGGTTTGCGGAAGAGAAGTATGTTTTTTATTTAGACTATAATTACAATCAAATATGTAAGCGTATACATTACTTAAAAGGCATCATTTCTGATATGTAAATATAGAAAACTAGAAGTTCAGAGAAGGAAAGAAAGAAACGAAGCTCATTTATATATGTCAGTACAGGTATGATAATCTTAAGGGTTTTGATATGCTCCAAATTATTAATATGTTAAAAGTACATACGTTAGTATTTGTAGATACAATTATAGGTTACTGAATCATTAGATCAGAAATTTAAATGAGAAATTTTATATAATTAACTTCCTATTTAAGGATTTTGTTTAATCCATATGATAACATTCCTCGAAGGTTTGGAGAGAGGACCAGTTTTCTTGTCACCAGGGATTTGATTTATTTGTTGCAGATAAGGCAAAACACAGGTAAAGTTGTCTCTACCAATGATGCAAATAATCCTCTGTTTATATATTGTGGCACTACCTTCAGTAGCAGATTACAAACTAACTTGATGATATTGGGTTTAGTACCTACAAAGCATTAAAGAAATCAACTTTAACTGAATTTTTAACGGCACTTGCTGATTCAATTGTGAGTTTTATAATCATGCATTATCATGAGTATTAGATAAAAATTTTACTAAATTTATTTGAGTCCTAGTGTAACTTATACAGTTTTTAATTATTAGGGTTATTCTGTAGCTGAGATGAGACCGTGGCCCCTGTTTCATAGACCCAATGGTACGACACGTGTTATTGGATTAGACGAAGCTGACTATGACAGAACGGTACAGTTATAGCGTCTGCTTATTTCAAATATTGGATGATACCTTTAATCAATGTTAAACTGTCATTTTTATAGCTTTTTGATTTAGCGGACAATGACGAAAATTGGTTTATTTTCCTAGAGACGCTCTTGCCAGGTTTGTTATAATTATTCTCTAATGTGTAAAATATACAGTGGAATTTAATTATAGTATTAATGTATTTGTTAATTCTATTGACAGATTCTGGACTAAAGAGTTTACCGCCTTATGATAAAAATAGTATGTAATATGTTAACTTCACTTCTTATAGCGTTATTGTTATTTGTTTTATGAATTTAACTTTTAACAAATTGTCAATGCTATTTCAAGGTCAAGTCATTGTTTTTTTGAAGTATTATGACGTAATGAATAGAAAAACTTCATATGTTGGCCATTTGTACATAGAATTATCCATGTCATTGGGTACAGCTTTAATATGTCAAGTTGCTTGTTTAGGTTTTGGTTTTAATGTATTCCGTTAATGTTAGAACTGCTTATATAATAATATTTTTAGATGATATAGCTAAGAAATGTCGCGAATTTGTAAGTATTCCGTCTAGCGTTCCTCTCCTATTTTTCGAGGTAACTATAAGTCTTGTCGTATCTACATGTAATTTGATTAGTCAGTGTGATGGATGTTAGCAGCCTGCAGTATAATTTTTAATTCTTTATTGCTTGTTGTTTATTCTAGGAAGTAAAGCCAAATAGAGTTGACATACTCACCGATACAAGTATACCTCTCTTGAAGGTATTCCTTTACTCTAATTTCTGCATTAAACTGTCTTTTTTAATCTTAAAGCTGTTATATTTGCAGGTGATGGGAGACTTCACAGATGGAGATATACTTTGTTTTCAAATGTGAGTCCAATTTATTTACTTAAACTCATCGAATTTTTAACTGACGAAAATTTTTACGATTTTTTTCTCCAGCGACTCTAAAGATGAAAAAATTCCTACGGTAGAAGATTACTTCAGGTATACTTTCAATAGTTGGATTGATTTATTTCTAATTATTTCTAATACTGTTAGAGGGTGACCGATTAAATGCTAGTTCTAGTCTAATCTAGATCTGATACTCTATTGGTTTAGGGAACTCTTTAATCGTATTGATGTAAAATTCTTTGATAAAAACGTTTCAAATGATCCTGGTTTCACATTAACTTTATCTCAACGAATGCACTATATAGAGGTATACTTTACTGGAATTAATTTATCTCTTAATTGTAACTAAATAGTAACATAACGATATGATTGAACACAGATTGCAAATGCAGTTGCATCACATTTAAGTATCGATCCGATGATGTTGCAGTTCTTTAAAAGTTATCAACCGTGAGTCTAAATCATTACAAAGATTCAACTATTCTTCAGTTGCGACAAATTCGTATTAAAATAAGGGTTCGCTATGTTACTAGATATCGAGATGCAGCAAGTCATCATCCTATTCGGTGTTCATTCGAGGGAACCCTAATGGACTTGTTTTTACACTACAAACCGTCAATGGCAAAAAAGCTTTATTACCAAAAGGTAATACTTAATTATAGTTAAATGGTATAGAAAGTATAACATAATGATCTTTAGTGCGTTATATTTTAAGTTCGACTATCGAACTCTCTTACAATTTTTATTTGTACAATTTATTTCCCATCGGCTGTTATACACACATAGCTTACTATCCCGGTTACCGAAATGGAAAATCGAGTACAAGTAAAATGTACTTGGGTAACGAAACATTTGAAGGAGGAGGTAGAAAGTTTGTTGCTAATATTATAACTCTTTACAAATAATATTAGCTTTAATGGTTCGGTACAGTGCATCAATATGATTGAAACTATAATTCATGCGATTTGTTCATTTCACTTCTAGACCGAATTTTTTGTCCATCCATATAAAGATGCTACTATTGAAGAGCTATTAGATGAAGCAAGGACACTGGTAGATACGACTTGATATAGATCAATATTACGCATGTTACCTATTTATTCAACGTTTATTGACATCATCTGACTAGATTAAGTTACCCTCGGGAGGCACTGGGAAGCTCAGGTAGGTTTAAGTACTAAATTTGGCTGGATTATCGTATCTATAAATTATAATTAATTCGCAATGATTTCGGTAGACTGCTAGAAGTGGTTAGCAACAAAATTTGTACTTGCTATGATGAAGAAAGTAGCATCGATTGTCTTACTCAGCCTTTGCAACGTAGTTACAGACTCGAGGTTTGTTTTATTAATTTCATGTTTGTGAATAGTATATTTAAAGTATTAAGTAATTGCAGGACAAACAAGTGCTAATTATTTTTATTTTAGGAAATACCACATGATCAAATGGACTTAGAAGATAATGAAATTCTCATCCAAGTTGCACATTTTCAGAAGGTAGAGCCCATCTGGATAAATTTGTGACTAAGCATATATCTAAAATTGTGTGTTAATAAATCATTAGGAAATTTTTCAAACTTTTGGTGTACCGTTCTTAATGAAAATTGTTGACGTAAGCCAGATAAAGTTGTCAGAACTTAGATTGGATATCAATTGTTACTAAATGTTCTATCAATTGTATCATACATTCACACTCATATAATTTACGTAAATATTACAGGGAGAATCAATAGATTCTATCAAGCGAAAAATTAAGGAGAGATTAGATATATCTGACAAAGATTTCGAAAAGGTAGTTCTATAAAATCAAAAGTGTTCTCATGATAGTGGTAGAAATGCGTATAAAATTTTAGGGATCCGTAGAGTTAGCTAAGTATCGTCATTCTCCGAAATGGTAAAGCACGACTCTGTCGCGTGTCTAAAATTCATTAATCATTTCATTATAGTATAAAGTTGCCATCGTAAGACTTGGTCGTGTTACGTACCTGCCAGATGGTGAGTATTGAGTTAGACATATTGCATTGGTATTTATTGTTGTTGTAAAAATCGACGTGCTTGCGGAAATTTAGGTTAATATATTATTAACAGAAATCCGATCTTTGGATTTGTGATGTTATAGATGAGGATAAAACAATTTCTATTGAAGATTTGCAACCAACACATGGTGGTAGTGGTAAGGCATATTTTTACCATAAAGAATTTTACAATTGAATGAAAATAATGAAAAGCTAATATTACACGATCACCCATAATATCAGGTTTTGTTGGCCGGCCGTGGCTTGGCTTAGATCACGTAAACAAACAGCCTAAGAAGACTCGTTACTCTTATATGGAAAGAGCAATAAAGATTTTAAATTAAAAGATCCGATACGTCCTTTTATACGAGAAGATGGAAAGCTTTGTTAGCCGATTAAAAAAACATTTTAAGAAAATTTATGAAAGATGATGTGATAGAATTTAGAAGAGATTACGGTTTAACTAGGAAATTACCGCAAGAACCTGTTAGATCTTCGTTCAAAAGTATCATACTTTCAGCTAAACTTGTTCCCAAGGTCTACATGTAGCTTTCTACCACTGTTATTTGAATTAATAGGATGTCACTAGTGTATGTTGAACCCTTCGCTGGAGTTGATACGATTAGTTCTTGCAGTAGTGCTAAGGTGGATGGCTTTTGATGCTAAGAATTTAAAAATTTGATAATATATGGACTCAAGGTCAATAGAATATCACAATTTCATTTATATTTACAATACAAATTCTGCTACAGCACTAAGTATAAAGCTAACTAGCTGCATGATCGATGTCAAAATATTGGATTGCTCATAATTGTGTCTTAGTATTTACGCGTACAACTAGTGTCAGAATTCAGTACCTATTGTACAGTATTTACATTTGTCATATTCCTATACCTATTTTGTATTATTTGATCCTATACGAACCCTAGCGTATGCTCTATTCCAGAAAGGATTTGTGCCAACTGGTACATTCTTTTACGTATTTTAAGATTTATACGCGAAGTCTGTATGAGTAGATGGATAAATAATTATTATTGTTTAAATTACTCTTGAGCAATGACTTAAAAAAATTGGAAATTGTTTGATACTTATTACTGTATTATGGCTTTTCAACCTATTAAATAAGCCTATAGAATGACAATTCTCTATTTAGTACAGGCTGGTAAAGGTTGAATGCTGCATCTATCTATCTATTAATCTCGCACATATCCACTACTGTATGCTGCGAACTGTTATTGCTGTCCTATTTATCCTGAATTTACCTACATTAAACAGCTTAATTAAGTTTGATCGGAATTGCAAGTTAATTGATGCTGAACTTTGTACTTGGTATTGTAGCACAATATGTAGTTTACTGCTAGAGTTAGACCTTCGGCTAAAAGGCATGTGAACGTTATCACAAAAATGTTACTGCGGTACTCTTATCTGAGAAATAGTAAACTGGCGTATCATAGATTTGGTTCAATATTATAAATCCTTACCGAAGGTGTTTACCGTACATATCAAGGGAATATTTAGAATTTGGTACTACTTAATAATTATCCAGCATGTGTAATAAGCTAAGCAAGTGAAATTAGTGCATATTGCATATAACTTACGTATATGCAAATAGCATGTTACTAAAATAAACCTGCGAGATGTTTGAACTGCAACGTACGATGCTGTAAAATTTGTAATAGATTAGACATAGACGTAAGTTCGCGAGTAACATTTGCGGGTATACTGTATATCCTTAGTATGTTTATCAATAAAATAAGCAAACCATTACTGTATTGAATTAAGCATTACTTTATATAGTTAGTTTTTATTACATCTTCTCTAACATCGAATATACTATAAATTCGACTGATTTTAATACGTGTAGAAAAAAAGTTAACGTAAATATTCTCCTTTCTTTTTTTTAGTATCCCATCAATATTACTCTTGTTACATATTTTGAATTATTAAGCTTGTAACCGTAAACACATATGTCAAAATTTTACTACAAGTTTATTGCTAATCTGTATTAATACACATTAATGGACAAGCTTCCGAAAAGACTGGAGTAAAGACTATGGAATATTAAAAGAATTTAATAGGTAGAGCTTAATACCAATTCACGTACAATATTGATAGCATTGTCTAAAGTGAAGATGTAAAATTAATTAGCATCCGTGGATTTGAATAATACAATATGGATTATGTTTCCGATATAAATCTGGATTTTACACTATACAATAGAAGTATTGCATATCTTTGTATGATTTAAGTTAAGAACGCAAAAGACGGTACACGTTAATGTTTTAAAAATTTTCAGTTGAAATCGTTCAAATTAGTATTTGCAGATTCTCTCGCTGAGGCATACCGATCAAGAAATATTTTTAAAATACAGCAGACAATATATGATCTACCAGGTATGATTTTTGGATCAATTTAAGACTACAATAGAATTGTAATATTACTTAATTGATTCAGTGATTTTTAGTCGGCTAATGACACTTTAACTGTCTTTGTCGTGTTATCAGTATTAATTTTTGTCGATTCATAAGGTATAGAGTTATATATAGGCAAAGCTACTGTTGCTGTGGTCTTGATATATAACGCTTGGATATTTTTCCAGCCACGCGGAATCTTGGCAGCAATGCTATTTACTGTTGCTATAATATTCTCAGTAATTTTTTCGCTATCCAGATTGGTCATTGCAACAGGAATGGCACTAGAAATCAAGATCAATTTTTTCTTTCAACCTATGGCGCATGCAATACTGACAAGATACTATATATACAGTAAAAATACTACATCATACGTGCAAAAGCATAATCAGTAGAGTTGCTACAATTTCCCTGGGCGATAGTCGATATACTTACTTGCATTTTCCTTTACCAAGGCTGAAATAAGTCGAATTACGAATACCGTTTATTTGAGAAGTCAAATTTTTCTTGGTTACACTCACTGGAATAGGATACCTAAAGCAATCGATACTGAAATGAGAATACTGCATCGGTAGCACTAGATAAAGTAATAAAGTAGTATGTAGTACAATGATATGTATCGTAGATTCTATCCCTTACTTTTTCTTTTCAAAAAACTTTTTGCCTAAATAGGGTGGTAGTAAGTGATAAATTCTGTCATCGGCTAAGAAAAGATCATACATTTGGCACAATTGTCGTTTGGCTTCATATCCTCTATAATTTTTCTTTAATTTGATGATGGAGATTATCTGTGAAATTAATAGCATTACATTATTTTATATCATATTATCATAAGAGTAGACATTGCTATATACAAATTATATCCTTTTTATTAGAAATGCCACAATTAATAAAGTTAAGCACAACTGCGATATTATAAGTAATAGGAACTGATAAATCGTAATCACTGGGATAATCCTTTTAAATATTTGAATATCGTAGTCCAGTCAAAAACTATTTTTTAATAACACATTTCACCACTTTTGCCATAGTACGAAAGAAACAGTAATAAAATACTGTAGAAAGATGTTATTATACGGTAGTATTGCTACAGTAGTAGGTTATAACGTTAAGTTCATCATGCTAAAATGAGTCGAACATGAACGCCTTACTAACCTTAACAATCTCTGTGATGCCATCCTTTTCAAGCTTTTTTTTAATGGTGTCCTTTTCGTTGTCTTTACAAAATAGACATATTTCAAGTGTACCAGTAGGATGCAGTGAATGCGGTAGGGATCTAGGAAGACATAGGTAATTAAGGTACAGTCCAAACTTTAACCAACAGCTAACTTATATACCGTTTTACTATGGGTAAGTGGTGATGGGCGAAACTGCTTATTACTTGTTTAGTAAGGTGGAGATTATTTAAGTTGTGATCATATTATATGCTTAAGAAGAATTGTCAATCCCCTTATTATTGTACCATACAGTATACTGCAATGAGAATACTCATATTAGGTATTGTACATCAAATACTTGTGCTATTTACATTGGAAGATAGCTAGAATACTTGATATTTGAGGCTGATATAAGATTGCCATTGTTGTACTACTGTAATACGTGCAGAAAGACTGCGAAAGTCTTGATATAACCTTACATTTGTATAGGCTTGGTTGGATTGGGTATTTTCTTTAATATCAAATTTAACCATATTTTCTCGTCATCAGCCATTAGTTTTCTTTTTTTTGCTTTCACCTCATTTAGCTGTAATAATTTAAAAAGAGCTGGGACAGCAAGCTGAACCTTAATAGAGAGGAAAGAATCAAAAATTTGTTATTATTAGTCCAGTAATTTTTAATATATATACGAGTCATTATTATGCAACCAAGTTGAAAAACGTAAGAGGAATGTATCCGAACTTTATCCTAATACAGTAGGTTAACATGATCGTTAAAAGAGGGCAATGGTTTGGAGCGATTTAGAAGCATTTTAGCGTCACTCAATGCGATTGAGTATCGGTTTATCCAGCTGCAAACTGATTAGGTTAGATTGTAATTAGAGATCGATGCTGGAGATTGTAGCCTGAATAGTCTAGCTGGAAGGCCTTGTAGTCAGCTTTATTAATAAGATACAGTAGTTATATTCTAGCAGACGCAGGCAGGAAAGAGTGTTTGAACTCTTGCAGTGTCCACGCTAGTGAAATATCTACACCAAACTGGACGAGTTCTAAAGTGGCAATTAGGTAGTAAACTACTAAAGCATTAATTACTGGCACGTCATTTCCATCCATTATAAGCTTGTCTTTTACGTTCCATTTGCAATTATTAGATTTGAGGCTATCTCCTGGTAGGGTTTGCATGGTACTTGAAGGCTGGCTTTTATAACTGATGATTGGCCAAAAGATGTTTAAAATACAAAATACATACACCCGTATTCACTATATTTTGAGAATAGTGAAGAAATCCTCGTTGGATATAAGCCCTGATTGTCATTTGATGTATTGCATTTGAACATTATCCTACGGCCAATTCACTATACAGTAGTAAGCTACAACAGCATTATCATTATCACACCATTTGATCTTGCTATGCTTACAGTACTCATGTTGTCGATTAATTAGAAAAGAAATGAAAGGTTGAGTGATGAGCTGGTATATCTATTTTTAATGGCATCAGTTATTGCAAACTTGTGATCTTATTACAGTGAGAAGCATTTCTAATATTTCCTATTATCCTAATTAGATTTAAAATGGATAATAATCGTTTATTTTGAAAGGCGATGAAAACTGCAGGTCCAAGTCCAGCATGACTGAGCCCGTGAGGCATGTCATCCTGCACCAATTACTCCATCATCATAATGCAAGGATCACAACAACATACAGCCTTCATCCAGTACAATTCAAGATCCGTTGATTATACCTGATGTTCATCGAGCTTAGATTTGTGTTGATAATCTGCATTCTTGCTTTTAGCTGCCATTGGCGAGGATAAATTGTATAAGATGGAATGGCAACCTTAAGAGCAGAGCTGATTTTAAAATGGGACTGCAGCCAGTATCACGTGGAATAGAGAGGGTGTTCAATTTGCGCGAGTTGTATGATCGGATCCGATGTTGTCGATGCGATGCATACCATACTCTATCGCTATAATAAAGACTAGATTGGACGGTACTGTATACGACTCTATACAGTACACCATCTACTGCATAGTAAAACTACTTGAAGAAGACCTGGACCGGACTGGACTGATCATTTCAAGGACGGACAGACATTGCCGGTCCCCCTCTCGATGCTAAATACTTGATTATATGAGTCTTATGACGGTACTTTAATATGTAGAGGGTCGATTTTGAATGGACTGATGCTTTTCTAAATTAAGTACAGTACAGTAAGTAATAGTACGTTCAATCTTATTATCGGTTATCAACTATAAGTTAAGTTCTGCTTGGAAACAGATTTATACTAAGTCTACTTAGTAAGTACAGTAGTCATTTTTCCATATCGACGACCTCATTGGGTAAGGAAAGTCTGTCCGTCCGAGGGAGTGATCCGTTCTGAGTTCAGTCCAGGATGTGTTCTGGTAAGTCCATGACGATTCTCCGTCTCGACGGACACTACTGTAGTGCTATGAGTTACAGTAACAAGTACTGCACGGCAGACCTGTTAAAGGTAGTAAAATAGGCATCTAATGGTGACATTATTTCTGCTAGCGATACTAAAGCAATACCAGCCTGCAAACTATACTATGTCGCACAATAGTGCTGACTAAAGGGCTTGCTACCAAAATGAATGTCACCCCTACTTTATGACGTCTTTTTAGACTCCATCCTTGTACTGGGTATTGTACTCTACAGTATTTGCCTACGTGCCCATTGCCCAGTACTGTACGCTGTTCCAGACAGATGTAGCGCACAATATTGCTGACTTTAGAGGCTTGCTACTAAAATGAATGTCACCCCTACTTCATGACATCATTTTACTGTACTGTAGACTCCATACCTGTACTGTACTGTGCATTGTACTCTACAGTATTTGCCTACGTGCCCATTGCCCAGTACTGTAGACTGTTCCAGACAGTTGTAGCGCACAATATTGCTGACTTTAGCGGCTTACTACTAAAATGAATGTCACCCCTACTTCATGACATCATTTTATTGTACTGTAGACTCCATACCTGTACTGTGCATTGTACTCTACAGTATTTGCCAACGTGCCCATTGCTCAGTACTGTAAACTGTTCCAGACTATTGTAGCGCACAATATTGGTGATGTTCATGGCCTGCTACCAAAATGAATGTCACTCCTACTTGGTGTCCTCTTTTTAGACTCCATACCTGTACAGTACTAGTAGACTGACTGTTCCAGACTGTTGTTGCGCACAATATTGCTGATGTTCATGGCCTGCTACCAAAATGAATGTCACCCCTACTTTGTGACCTCTTTTTAGACTCCATACCTGTACAGTGTACACTGTACAGTACTGTGCGCATTGTACTCTACAGTACTGTATTTGCCTACGTGCCCATTGCCCAGTAGACTGACTGTTCCAGACTGTTGTTGCGCACAATATTGCTGATGTTCATGGCCTGCTACCAAAATGAATGTCACCCCTACTTTGTGACCTCTTTTTAGACTCCATACCTGTACAGTGTACAGTGTACAGTACTGTGGGCATTGTACTCTACAGTATTTGCCTACGTGCCCATTGCCCAGTAGACTGACTATTCCAGACTGTTGTTGCGACCACTAGCCCAGGAAATCGTTCGTCTTGCAAGTTGCTGCACTAATGGCTGATCCTATCTGTCATTAAAATTCCTCTCCTCCAAGAATCACAAGTATCCAGCTGTTGTAGAAGTTTTACTTTGCCCTGTTGACAACGAATTGAAAAATTCAATACACAGACAGTATCCACTTGACTTGTAGTCGTAGAATTCAAGGTATTATAGCGCGCCTAAGGAGATACTCCAGATTACCAATGCGAGAGAGCTCGTGCTGTATATCCTTGTCTTAGGTAGATATTAAATTAATAAATTAAATCATCTGTATTTGAAGAAGGTTAAATATTCCTCGAGTAGAACTTTATAACTGCGCGGAATCTTACAAATTAGATTGGATACATTCTACTGGTTGAAATACCATCGCCAATTGCACCAGTACAGTGATAAAAGACAACAGTTGTATAGTATACCACTGCAATAATACAGTACATAGTCTTTCTCTCAAGTCGACTTTCAACTGCAATCGGTGGGGCGCCTTTTCATGCTCTTTCACCAATATTGGATTACATTATGAATTAATCTCCTACTAGCAAGATGCAATAATATTCTACAACAATCTTTCACGTTATGGCTACTAAATTAAATCTTATGTTAATCCTTGTTGGTGTTATCCTACTGGTATACTTATTATTTCCCAACGAAAAGTACCTACAAAATGACGATCATAGATTGCAACGTCGTAATTCTGATCGCAACACAAATAGGAAAGTTGTAAAGGTTAAATTTCAGTATAAGATAGCTATAATATCAGATTTAGACGAGAAATCGAAAGAAAATAAAGCCAACACTTGGCGAAGCTATTTACGTTATGGCAACTTAAAAATATTCAGCGATAATAGTATTAAAATTAATTGGAAGAAAGATTATTCCATTATTAAATCGCATCTCGCTGAAAATGGACGTGGCATGGAATTATCGGAATTAATCTACTTTAACAATCATCTTTGCGCCTTAGATGACCGATCAGGTGTCATTTTTAAAATTATTCGTGAAAAAGCAGTACCCTGGGTAATATTAGCTGATGGTGATGGTACTGTAGCGAAGGGCTTCAAATCTGAATGGGCAACTATTAAAGATGATCATTTAATTGTAGGTGGTTTCGGTAAAGAATGGACTAGTAAAACAGGCGAAGTGTTAAATGTTAATCCCCAGTATATTAAACGCATTAACAAAGATGGCGGTATGAAGCATATTAATTGGGTGAAAAGGTATGAAAAAGTCAAATCTTCCTTAGGGATTACATCACCCGGTTATGTCATCCATGAAGCTGTTGTATGGAGTAACATCCATCGAAAGTGGTTTTTTTTACCTCGACGTGCAAGCCATAACAAATATGATGATGTGAAAGATGAACGACGAGGCACCAATACATTAATTAGCTGTACTGAAAACTTTGAAAGTTGTCGTGTCAAGCATATTGGTGTCTTAAATCCATTATTAGGCTATTCAGCTATGCGATTTATACCTGGCACTAGTGATAATTGGATCATAGCTTTGAAAACTGTAGAAAATAAAGGTAAAGTTGCTACCTTTGTCACGGTCTTCAGTATTAACGGCACTGTCATCTTACATGATCAAGACGTAGACAACAAAAAATTCGAAGGGATTGAATTTATTCCATAAAGTCATCTTATATCGTGGACATTCTCAGTACAGGATTGCCTATGAAATAATATAACATTATAGAACTTCTATTTTTACTATTTATAAAGAGTCAATTTGACAGTATTACAGTCGAGAAACATTTGCTATGATCTGCTGATCGATACATAACCAGTCTACATAACATGGATCATTTATTTGAGTTAGTCTTTAGGTTGGTTTGTTGGCTGTTGATAAACAAACAAAATTGGTATCTGTTTTAAAAAATTGTATAGCGATATTTGTAGAACAATTCTATAAAGTAATCATATCGTTATTCGAGTAGACATATGAAGCAATCTCTATAATATAATTTATTCTTTTAGGAAAAAAATGGAATATACTCGTAATCTCCCTTATTGAAGGACATTATTCACAAATAAAGTTTTTCAAATACAATAAAAAGACAACATTCACTTGAATCATGATACAGTTTATGTTGACTTTAATTGATGACTTTTTTAAACTTTAACAACTCTGGAATTAAGCGGAGTACTTTGCGTAGTCATCTCTGTAGAATGTTGGTAGTGATAAAGTTCTCCAATTACAATAAAATTATAAGCTAATTTGAGCAAAGATGTGTTGATTAATAACACTTTTGGATTTTAACCACTCTCCAACCAAGTGGGGTAATTCACATAGTTATCTCTGTAGCATGTTGCTAATAATAAAATTCCTCAACTACAATAAAAATACAACCTAATTTAATTGATGATACAGTTTAAGTTGACCTTGATTAATGACGCTTTAGATTTTAACAAATTTACTACTCTACATGAACAGTCATCTCTATAATAAAAGTTATGAAATTCTATACGACTTAAACTATTACGCTTGTATCAATGTCAAATGTAAAATTTAAACATCATTCCCAAATAGTAAATACGCATACATACAAACGTCGACAATGACATTGGCATAATTTGGAGCTCCTAATATTGTACTAGTGAATAGTACTGTACAGTAGTATGAGGTTAGATTTACAGAAAATTGCTTCCACGATAGCCAAAATTGTAAAAGGTTTTATGTCTTCAAAACAAAAAATTCGGCAAAATTATGTATCGTGCACTTCAGTGTTTACAATTGTATTGGTTAATAACCTATTCTACGATAAATACAACGCATAGCCCTTAACAAAAATTAGGTACGGTATGCTTACCAACAACTGATTATTTAAAGGGATATTAGAAAATTATTCAATCTGTTTCACTAAAACGAGATCATACCTTAAAAAATCTCAGATAGGATAGTATCCCTGTACTTAGGAATAAATTTGTTTCTTTCGATTCTTAAAATATTCAGTCTATAGCAATTACCATACTAATGATGGATCCGCAATAGTTACAATCAGTTTATTGTACAAAGTAATAACGTACAATGGTACATGTATACGTACATACTATATATATACTGTATAAATATTTATAATAATAAAGACTCGTTAATTTGTGTGGTTGATGAAACATTTTCATAGACTAAAGATCAAAGTTGTATCATCATAACTCTATTTATCATACCAAATGTCCTGAATCAACGTAATCACAGTAGTAAAAAGAAAAATATGTAGTGTGTACATGCATTCGTACGTATTACGAAAATTACTGCTTCATTCTAATTACATTAACATGGAAATGGTACGACTTAAATTTTATAGCATTTTCAAATAAAATAATGATTTAACTAAGATATTCGATATAGAATTAATTTATTTCAAGAGTCACGAATCATGTTATTTTCTTGCTATACTTTGAAAAAGAAATAGCGACATAATCAACATTTAAAACACAGATTCAATATTGCTAAGTACTCCAAATTTAGTCTAATTTGTCGCCGATTCTGAGTCCGGTCCTTTAGGAGATTCTGATAATTTTAAGGCACCAGTAGCAGCTGTAACATCCGCTGGCCCTTTGCTGTCTACAGAGTTTGCCTGTCCGATACTACCAGTTGGTGGTTCCGTTGGAGGAGAGCCTTCTTTTAAAACGGGCTTTCCTGTTTCTGGTTCACCGGTTGAGGTACTTTTACTCTCCTACAAGTACAAATACAGCCATTCTATATTAAATTCACTCTTACACCACCGCAATATATTAACCTATAAATTCTTACTATAGAGTCGTCTATTTCATCGTTTCCAATTAACCTATGAAGATGTAAAATCGAAAATGTAAGGGCGACACATCTTGGTAAGCCATTCTTTTATATCATCCATTACTATTTAATTTAGTATCAAAGTCTTGAAATACACTCATATCGTGTCTAACCCTACTCTAGAACTATACCTATGCTGCTTTACTAGATTACAGTTTCCGCCCTGTTCATTGCTTGGCACGTCATAGACATATAGATACCCATCAGCACATGCAACCAATAATCTCAATGTTTTACTGATGCTGGAATCGAAATAAAGTCATCAATGAGAATTACAGCTTTTCTCTACTACCTGATTTCTAATATGTACTGTACATACAAGTATAGGCTGGTACTTACATTGCTAAAGCACATATATTTCGTAGGCCTATTCCAAGAAAAGTAGTTATATCATAAAATAAAATTAGTGTATAGCCCATAAATTAACAGATAAGGCTTTAACTTACCAGGGTTCGGTAATCTTACGGTAGCAAATGACCTGCCTTGGGTGAAGACATCAGCTACTTGTGATGGTAAATAGTTAGTGGATGACATTAAAGCTCTTCCAAAATATCCCATCCATCCTGCAGGTTCTTCTTGAGTACTAATGAAACAATTATATGATAATCGGTTGATTTCCAACAAAGAAAAGATCAACTTTAAAACACTTACGCTTCTTCTTGTTCTTCTAATTTGAAAATATGAACGGTTTCCGTATTGCTAGAAGCGCATAACAGCATTGAATCGTGACTGAACGCCAATGAATTAATGCTGACACATCTATTACAAAATTAAAAGAGACATCAATTACTAACGCGATAGTCACAAGTATAGAGTTCAAATAAAGTGTAGATATTAGAAAGATATTCAGTATAAATTCGAGTAAACTGATGGCCTCATCAAGCTCATTGTAACAGAATAGTTCGAAAGTGCACCTTTTAACACCTCTTCTGAATACAAAAAGTCTTTGCCCGTCAGGTACAGAATAGACTCTAATAACGGTTCCCTATTCATATTTGAGCATAAGTAGTAATAAGATCAACCAACTGAAGCAAGATATTTTAAACTATTAAATATTACTTTTTCAGAAGCACTGCCGAGCTTTGTTCCACTAGCATTGAACGCGAAAGCAACACATGGCGATTGATGAGCTGAAATCATTGTAACTGCCCTCTGTAAGGATAGACAATTATGTCAACATTTCTTATTCATACAAAATAAAGACAGATAATACTGTACATCTAATATCAATTAAAATAAATATAATAACAATAGCCCTAATTAGAAAATTATAGCACATTACTTACCAAGTTTAATGTATCAAAGATTTGAATTTCTCCACTCTACAATAATGATAGCATACGACAACTTTATTATTACTACTATTAATATATATTTAGTAAAGATCTCTAGCATTGGTTTATAGATTATAAATCCAATCAGGGTATTATTTATCTACCCTAAGAAGTAGTATAATGTTTAAATGCATGAGAATTACACTCTAATAGGTTATCCATTCATCATAATATTTAATGGTACCTGACTGCTCCCTGGATAAGCCAGATAGGAGTTATCTGAATTTGGAGATAATGCGCATAAACCTAATACAAGTAACAGATTACTATTTAATATAGGATGTATCTCAATATATAGTACTGTAGCGGTATCCACTTTTTAAATAGCAGATAAAGTTTTCGATTTATGCCGTCTAAGTTTGCTTCAATATAAATTAAAGTGGTATTTTCTATTGTACCGTATATTAAAATCCGTATTAAATCGGAATTTAGGATCTACGTAAATGTTATCAGTTATTCATTTCAAGATTTAAAGATAAGAACTACCGCTACATGCATGACATAAAATGATAACAAAAGTATACCATTGTTATTCTTTGGCGTATCTTTAATTGTATGCATTACCTAAAAATGAGATTTAAATACTGCTGTTAGTCTGAATACGTTGTACTGTTTGTTGTAAGTTGCGTATGAAAGAACAAAATTTAAGCAGAAATCGAGACTTTTCATTACTTTCATATCTTTAATATTATGTATATACAGGCTATCTTCCAAGCAAACGACCAGCCTCTGTTTAAGACGAAAAGTGTGATTGAATATTAACTTAATAAAAAATCGATGCTAACTATCATCGCAGTAAACTAGAAATAAATCATTTTCTCCGAAAGGGAAAACAAAAATTCTTGAACAAGCTTTGCCTTACCATTCGATTTAATTTGATAGAGAGTATACTATTAGGATAGCTATAATTGCAAATTTCAGTGCCTTTCTTAAAATGACAAACTTTTAACTTCCTTGGTGATGAGAGATTTACAATAGCTAGTAAGCTGCTTGAAAAAAGTCTTTCTACGATGCAAACATCTTCCCCGGCTAGCGAAAGACATTGGAAGAAGTAGTGTGAAAATGCAAATTGTTACTTTTAATAAAGCAGTTACTAAGACGCTACTAATAAAAAAGTAATTCTATGCTGTACGGTGCAAGTCAATGCACTATACAAGTGTAAATATGAAAGGCAAAAATGAAGGCTTAATGAGACGGTGATCAAGCCATCGATATCTAATAAGGAAAAGCCGATGCATTACAGCACTGCTTATTAGTTTTACTCTCACTTGAAAGGGTTTATCCCTAGTTTTAAAGTTACAGAGCGTAGCGTCCGATAGATGAGATAAAAATTGGATAGATAAGTCGTAAAATATTGGATAATAATTGTTAAAATCATCTATAACTGTATCTAGCGCTGTGAATTAATCTTTCTTTTACAGTGATATTGCTAATAATTTAATATAGCAGAAATGTAGTTATGGATTGGAGTTTGTAAATTTGGATACACTTTTCGGGTTAATAAATATACCACATTGTAGACATAATAATACGGAGGTTAATGAACGTGTCAGAAAAAGTCAAGCGAAATAAATGTATTTGATCTATTCATTCTAATTACTGTATGTAATAGTATTGTGGACAATTTAATTTAATGTGGTACTCTACTGTACATCAACAAGAATGATCGAGATAGAGTCATCATAGCTAATTCTCATCGATAGAGTATTGAATTACTTGTAATTTATTTCTTCCCTATTGAACTTGTGGCAATTTATTGCTTAAATTTAGACCCTTCACACTTATTAAAGCAATCACAAGTAAATAATACAAATGTAAACGATAGTGATTTTTTACTTGATCGCTTTATATTGGTACCTAATACCGGCTATTCATCGATATGCATATTTGCGATTGTATTTCGGTAGAGTGTATCACCGGCCCCGTGCAGCAATCCTAGACGATACTAAGTGATGAGAGGGCGTACTACATTCAGAATTTTGGGCCCCCTCTACATCATTTCGAAAGCGTAGTCATTGTGAAGGCACTTTTCCATTTCTGCCATCTAAAGCTGACAATTGCATTCTTGTTCATTTTATACTATAATGGACCGATTTATTCCCTGCACTTAAGAAATGGTAGATTGGCTATGACGCTTACTACCGTATAATCATGATCACCAAATCAGTTGTACTTTTTACTAATCTAAATTGCATTTTAAATAAACGTATCAGTGGAGAAATAGAGGTTTATGGTTTACATTAATGTTCAATTTTTGATCAGTCTTAGTCTAAAGGTAGATGAAGTATCTTTTGCAATATGGTGAATTGCAAATCAAGACATAGACTAGAAATGTTACGGTATAATTCTCGTTCTGTACGTTGTATGTTGTTTTCTCGTCAGTGGAATACGTATGGGGGAAAAGTATAATTTTAATAATAACTTTATCCTGGAGAAGACTGACATTACTAGACGCTACAATAAGTCAAGTAGAGCAATTGTTCATGATTTGACAGTATGTTCACAAGATGTCGAAATTCGAAATGTTACCATTGCAAGTCATTCAAGACCAAAACGAAAAATAATATCTGTCCACGTCAATGACTGATTAATAATCCTGATTACACGATACGTTCATTAACGGAATAATACTATGGCCTGATAGTGTAACCCTTTTACAGTCTAATCGATTCTCATCCATACAGCTGTGATTAGGATAGACTACCATACCATGTAAGACGATTTGTTGCCGGAATGATGAAGCAATGATTTATCAACATTTGTTGATGGTTATGACACAAGTACCCGTCGAGTTGATCTTAGACTAAGAAAAGCTTGACATGGTTACTATGAATAAGATAGCTTACCGCATCGATGTATTGGCTCTAACTTGTCTACATTTGCCAAGGAATACAGAGTAAAGCCATTTTTAGTTCCAACTACAACAGACCTTGAAAGAGAAATAGGAATAACATTTTAGAAAAGTCAACTATCATCATGCCAACTGAATAAACTATACCCATTTGAATGTTATGTTATGCAGTTGATGACGCTGTATTATCGATGATCCATTTCATCATACTGTACAACTACTATTCATTGGTCATATCATTTCCTCTTTTGAGGAGAATCGCTCAACTAAGTAGGAAATGAATGAGTGGGAATGTGAATAAAATCACTTCAAAGTGATATCGTCGAGGTGGGCTTTGGCCTCCATTCTTTGCTCGTTAGTAATAGTAAGTGGTATGATAGTCTACTGCTGCATTCAGTGAGATAAAGTGAGTTAGGGCTAGGTATTGCAAACATCCAATCCTACTCTACTCTGTCTATTCTACTGTGACATGATACAGTATCCAGTGATGGAGTCCCTTTGCAAGACCCAACAACATGGTACTAGAACAGTGGTGCATTTCCAATACATTACTATCATCATCGCTACTTGAATTTGTCTGACTTTTATCAAGTCAGCGATTCAATGCAAGCAAAAGCTGAACAAAATGAGTGGCAGTATACAGGTTAAAATAACCTCTCTTAGTAGTTCTATATAGAATAGGTAGAATAAAATCGATACCACTGAATGGTGTACTTGTCCATACTATCTTGACTTTTTTTTTTTACCCCAATGTAGAATAACATTTTAATGAATTGCGGTAAGACAGTAAACAACATTGACAAATGCAAAAATCATGTCGTGTATGAAGAGGCAGTCAAGGTAAGACGTACGTGCAGTCTTGGTTAAAGTTGACAGAATACAGTACTCCGGTTGGTTCTCCTTCAACCCGTGCTAAGTTCATCCTGAATGCTGTAAAGTGGATTAATCAATGAAAATTGAAAGTGTAATATTCCAATGGTGAAGAGAGAAAAAAATGGCTTTGAGCTTGGCTTGGTCAATGAATTTGTTGTTCAGCTGGACCTGTACTGTACTTGTACTGGAGGGAAAAAATTTCTAGTCTACAGTACACAGTATAAAATTGATCTGACAGTATAGTACTGTACTGTACAACTCATACACAACATCAAGGTATTGAACCGAACTCGTACTGTACGCGATACATGCACCGTAATGCAGTACAATACAGTACAGTGTATTGTACTGTAAAGCTTGAGTAGATACGGTACACTGTACACTGTACGCTTGTACAATGTGCAGTATAGCCATAGACTGACTACCAGCAGTCTGCTACAGGAATGTTTTCCTTTTTGGAGTAGTCCCACTCCGCTGTACAGCACCGTTATGGACTAGGAAATTTCTTGGCAAATTGAATAGTTCCTACAGTATGTACAGTAGCCGAGACTGATATCAGCCCATTGCGCCCGTACCTGCTCACTGTTGACAATGATTGACTGGTACTAAACTAGAGGGAAGAACACTGGCTGTTGACTGGAATAGTATCTGTCTGTTGGCCTACTGTACTGTACGTCTGTGATTGAACTGAACAATTAGTCAAGAGTTGAAGATGGGTGTATGACACGATCTGAGCAATCTCAGTTTCATTTTAAAATTTCCTCCGTGCTGCTTACGTTCTTCATCGAACGTAACATTGCCGTTTCTTACTGTAACTTGTGGGTTGACTTTGCCTACTAAACAGTCATGAAATGGTAGAACAAGTTTTTTTTCTAACCACTCTACTTCACATGGATGTATCCGTTTGTATAACGATCTTCAACTCTTTGAAGGTTTCAAAATAGGATGAAAGAGGGTACTGTACTCAAACGGTACTTAGTGTACGCACGGTTGACTATAAGAAAAGTCAATGCAAAGTCGAGCGGATCCGATCAGACTGTACTTTATTGCGTATTGCATTACCGATCAACACGCATGCTCAATAACGCACTGTTTTCCATGACTACTCTACTATGGATTTGTCCAAATAGGAGAGCCAATCGTTGCATCAAGGGATTGCACACGGTATGAGTCAGTCATTCTCAAGACCTGTTCTAGCGTATCCAGTAGACGCTCGCACTCGAGCCATAAGCCCCATAGCACATACGGCGCATGTGCAGTACTGGAGGAGAGAGAGAGAGAGAGAGAGAGAACATTGGCCGTAAAGCACATCCATACAGTAGTACCGAGGCCTGGCAACGATCACGTTGAAAAGTGGACAGTCTTCGTGTTGGCATTTAGCAGTCTTAAGTACTATATGATTGCATTTGGGCTCCAATTCCATCAGTAAAGGAGATCAAATCCGTTTCATTAAGATACCCTTTGTTAGGCGACGACTCTTATTGTTGTAGTGAAAACCGTGACTGCAATCTATACTAGAAATTACCAAAATGTCTAATCCACCGGATTCGTGGGATTCCGTGGCTGATCCAGGCCCTACTGTCAATGATGGTGACCAGGCCGCCAATGCCTTCAAAAATCTCAACGTCAATGCACGACCTTTTGTGCCTAATCCTAAGGCTAAACCTTTCGTTCCAACATTTCTCAAAGCTTCGGGTAAGGATGATTCAATTTTACTTCTCTTACTGTACTATGACCCCATTTGGATTCATAATCATTGCCCAATCACAAACTACCCGATCATGTCCAAATTCCTTGATGCTAAACTGACTTTATGTACAATCAACCGTTATAATGTTAGTCTACATCAGAATGGATGCTATTCTTAGCTTCAGAACATGATGTATTTTATGCTGGATATGCACGTTTTGTTGTTAGCGCTCATTTTGCAAAGCAATGAAAGTGAACCCCCCTAAAAAGCCATCACTTCCATCGTGACGCTACTAGTACAAGACACTCCATGGCAAAATGTCCATTGCTTTTATCCTTGCTACACCAACAAAATATCCCTTAAAGTAATCCAATCACTGTAGTCCCTAATTCATCTTTGCTCTACTACTGGCATTCAAGTCATCCTAGTCAAGAATTTCTTTTCAATTGGAAATTGTTTCAAAGCAACGATTGAAAACCATTCAATGAAGGCAGTGGGCCTGTATTAGTTATCCCAATCAATCCAATCTCAGTCGGACCCATGTGTTTTGTCAATGTGGTACTGCACCTGTTCACAGGCTTGACGGTTCAAAGACGCAGTACAGTATTCCTTTGGCTGTACTCTACGTCTGGTACCATCCATCCAGTACCGTACGGATGCTTACAGGCGTAGGATACCGTACCGGACTGGTACGCTGCCATGGACGACAGCAGCAATCTTGATGTCTGATCTTTCCTCCTCCTAAAAGTATGAATTCAATCTTTCCATATACACGGTACATTCAATTGGAGGATTAGTCTACTCTAGTTGTACACCTGCTACAAACCTTCTTCACAAATACATAGTTACTACTGCTTTGGACTATACATACTATATCGTGCTATCGCTCAGCAGGATCCTACTGCAAGACCTTTCATGAACCAACATCATGGACAACCAAATGAACTAACCATGAGTGCTATCAAAATCGTCTTGATAGTAATATACCCAATAGACAGTGTAGTATACTCTATGTCCGATAGAAAGATGAATATACAATACTACACATAGTCTACCAACACTCTAATGATGCCATTTTACATGCTATGCAACTTGTTTTGTTCCTAGGATATTATACTACAGTAGTACACCGACTTCTATTGTCTCCATCATTCCTGGCAGTATACTCTACTGTACTTATATCAATAATGCAATGTAGAACAGGCATATGAAATTGTAACAAGAGCACGTATCTACCAATGTTGCATGTAAATATAGCCTCCAATGGACAGTAATAGTTACATTATAATACTGACGGAAGTTTATTGATGGATTGTGTAGTTTATCCATTATTCATTGTGCTTCTATCTTGTGCTGTATTTGTCAATACTAAGATGAGCATTTTTTCAATTCTATTTAAAGAACCAATGCCTGTAGCTGCTGAACCGGCAGTAGACAACTCTACTGAATCCACCACAGTTGCCGATGAAGCTGTTGCATCAGACGTCAAAACGGGTTAGTGTCACTGTATATGGTTAAATTAATGCTAGATGATAAAGATGTAAGGTCATATTTGCAATGGACTTTATTGGTGGCCAATCGGAAACATAACCCAGCGATACATTAATGCCAATTACTATATTATACAAATTAGTCTACGTTTGCTGACATATCTTCTATTGCTGCATATTCTAAGGTATAATAATTGAATGGAGAATTGGATACCATAAAATGACAATACGTCCAAAGATACAGTATTAACTTAAATCTTGTCTAGCTAAATGTCGAATCCTTACTACTTCCTGCTGTTTGCTGTAATTATCAAAGATCACAATCAACAAAATAATTTTCAACCATTAATTTATCTTATATCAGTAATAGCATTTTATATTCGATCGATGAAAGAGATAGTCTTGCTTATTACTTTTGGATATCAATTCAAATTGCAATAATTATTGTTTAAAGATACTTTATAGACAATCTAAAATTCGATCAAATGTGCACCAGTAACATGATTAACTAGATACATCCATTCTTAATCGTAATGCAAACAGAACCGAATGAAGAAATTGTCCAAGATAAAGCTAAGGAAGAACCTCAAACCCAGGAACAAAAAATTGAATGCAAACCAGCGGGTAACTATGTCGCATATATGCATTGCTAATCAGTGAATCATCTACACATAAATTTGACAGCATTTAAACTAGAATAAATAGGACTGACATTATATTTGTACAGAGGAGGTATCAAAGCCTGAACCTGAAGTGAACTTAGGGCCGAAAAAAGAACATATCAATGTTATTTTTATTGGCCATGTCGGTAAGTTCAGGCTCAGTTTTGTGACTGTACTATTTAAGTAGAAAAGGTGGAATTTTGAATATAGTATGATATCTTCCATCACTTATTGCTTAGTCTTATTCTGTTTTCAATATGTGAAATGTTAATGTTCTTATTTTCAGATGCTGGCAAATCAACAATTGGAGGGCATTTATTGTAAGTTGTGTAAAATATAGCATCTAGATTAGTAAATTACATTAAAGCCTGGCTATTTCATACAATTTAATTATATTCTATGGGATATAAAGTAGTACTATTGCTCCTTATACTGTATCTTGCCGTGTAAGCTTATTATAGAGGTATCCAATCAGATAAAATTTTGTACCAAATCTTGTATCAGATTCTTAACTGGGCAAGTAGATAAAAGAACTTTGGAGAAATATGAAAAGGAGGCAAAGGAAAAAAATAGGGAAAGCTGGTAATTATATTATAATTTCTAAAAATATTTTTTGTAGCATCCAAGAACGATATTTGACATTGTATTACTCTTGATTATAATAAGGTATTTATCATGGGCACTTGATACCAATTCAGAAGAAAGAGAAAAGGTAATTTGCCGTGAATCGCACCATCCACACTGTTACATAATACAGAATGTCGCATATCTCTTTGTTACTTCTTTTCATGTACATTTGGCAACAGTTATGTATGAGTCATTTTTCTTACATTCTTTTCATAGGGAAAAACTGTAGAAGTTGGAAGAGCAACTTTCGAAACAGAGAACAAAGAATTCACTATATTAGATGCACCAGGACATAAAAGTTTTGTTCCTAACATGATAGGTGGAGCCGCACAAGCTGACATTGGTATATTAGTAATTTCTGCTCGTAAAGGCGAATTTGAGACTGGTTTCGAAAGAGGAGGCCAAACACGGTAACTTATTATCCGTTATAATAACTCCCAGAAAGAGGCTGTCGTAGCAAAAACTCGTCTAGCTAACATTTATTAATTATTAATTGTGCACTATGTATTGTAGAGAGCATGCCATGTTAGCGAAAACTGCCGGAGTAAAGCATTTGATAGTTTTAGTTAATAAAATGGATGACCCAACTGTTCAATGGTCGCAGCAACGGTTAGTGAAAGCTATAGCATTTTGTTATATATATATATATATCTTGCACATTGTGAAGATATGATTTTATCACAATCAGGTACGAAGAATGTGAAACGAAACTTATACCTTTCCTTAAAAAGGCCGGCTTTAATAAAAAATCCGGTAAATAGTCAATATTTTCAATTTACTATGTACACTTTGTATGCTAGCTAGCATTCAATTTTCTCATGTGTGTGTTAATGCATTCAATTAGATATTCACTTTATTCCCATTTCTGGCCTTACTGGTGCTAATTTACGTGATCCTGTAGATAAGCAATCTTGCACATGGTGGAGGTAGATTATTACCTGTAACAGAAAGCGTATTTCTTGTAATATGGTCATAATTATGTTTTGCTTTTTTGAATAGTGGTGACCCTTTACTGTCATACCTGAATGAGCTACCATCGATTTCAAGGCATGATGATGGCCCTGTTAAATTTCCTGTAATCGATCGCTATAAGGTAACGGCACCGTCGACGTTTAGTAGCCTTTACAGCTCCTTATAATTATAACAAAATTCAACAATTTTTAGGATATGGGAACTATCGTAATGGGTAAATTAGAATCGGGAAAATTATCAAAGGGGTCACAATTGATCTTAATGCCGAACAAGGTTAACTTTGAATGAATGATTTAAAATTAATAACACAGTCTAAGATATTACCTGAATATATTAAAAAGTTTGGACCAATTATTCAAAATGAATCAGGCATCCGTAGAAATATTACAAATATACCGTAATGATGAAGAAGAGCAAAAAGCGTACACTGGTCAGAATATTAAACTTAAACTGAAGGGAGTTGAAGAAGAGGTAAGATAAGGTCAACGTGTTGTATCTGAGAATAGAAATTACGCCAGCTTGATAGCTAAGATTTAATTGTTCAATCAGGATGTATCGCCAGGCTTCTGCCTTTGCCAGGCCGATTCTCTTTGTCATGTTGGTAAGACATTTGATGCACAGGTAAACTTTTTTATCAAGATATTTCATATCCTAGGTTGAATCGTGTTGTTATTAGAATCACAGTATTTATTTCCTGTTTTACAGATTGTAATTATAGAACACAAATCTATCATTTGTGCTGGTTACATGGCAGTGCTCCATATCCACGCATGTGTCGAAGAAGTTACTATTGTGGTAAATTTCACAGTAATTTTTTGTCATCGAATAGGAAGTGGCAATAACGCTATCAGATTGTAGTGTACCTAATGATGCTGCTGTGTCCTTTTTGTAGGCTTTACTTGGCCTCGTTGATAGGAGAACTGGCCAGAAACAAAAGGGGAAGCCAAGGTAATATCAATATGTATAGTACTCATACGCAGATTATAGCTTTTTCATGAAGAAATTGTCCATTTCAATAGATTTGTGAAACAAGATCAAATTGTTATTGCTCGCCTTCAAACAGCTGGCGTAATATGCTTAGAAACCTTTCAAGAATTTCCACAAATGGGTCGATTCACACTTCGTGATGAAGGTAAAGTAATATATTCAAAATATTTTGATACAGTGCATAAGATAAATCGCGACATTGTATAGACACGAATAAGTTTTCAATATCCTATTGTAGGCATTAGTAAATTTTATAAGGTAAACATCTAATATCAAGTGCGCTTCCTAATTATTAGGTAAAACTACTCGCAATTGGTAAAGTATTGAAACTGAAGGATGAATTTTAATCATTAAAAGCAAGACTTATTAACTTTAGTTAGTTTACTCAGTAACTAAATAGAACTACTAACGAAAAATTTTAACGGTCGCGCTTATCGTACCAAAGTGCTAATGATGTTTCGAACATCTTTACTTTGGTAAGAAATTGCTTGATGGTTAAGCACGTAACTTCTAGCACATAAAGTTTAAATATTATTTGTTTGAATTTTGAGAATATTTTCGAACTGATAGCAAATATGATATTGTAGAACTAGATCTAGGAGGAATCATAATAAGTTCTCAGGCTGTTATCGTCATTACCAGCACTTGAATAGATATGATTGGCGTGTAATGACTCAATGTGTTCGGTATTGTAATTGCAAATATTTCAGGTCATTGAACGAAAATTACGCGTATATAACATAGACTAAGTGTTGTTATACGCATCAAATATACTAGTTATCCAGTGTTACATGTATCCAGTCTATTAGTAATCTCCTTATTCATGGATCTTGAACTGCGATATGTTGGGTATTGAAGTTCTTTGATGTGATTTTTTGATACGAAAGCGAATAACTTTCTTCCAGAATTGGCACAACGTCTAGACTAATATCAACATAAAATGCTATTCTGAGCGTAATTAGCCATTGTAGTACAATTATAGAAGCTGTTTAATTCTAAATCAAGAAGTGTAGCATCATTCGAATTAGACAAATTACTGTACGAAGACTTTGCCGACATGATTTCGAAACGTAAACTATCTTACGGGTATGTCGTAAAATTTAACATTTTAAAAATTGTAAACAAGAAAATAATAACTGCTGTTGCTGCTAACTTAGATTTCCAATAATTGCTTACTTTACTAAATGGCTATAAGAGTTACGTCATTACAGACAGATGCTGTAGTGACAAGGATTTTATGTGATCGCGTTGGAACCGATATCGTATACAGTGTACAGAGCACAATGTAATGGATCGCGAACACAGCACAGACGATAATTGAAATAAATTTCTTTTCTTATTCAAAATTTGACTTTTTTTGGCTGCTTACTGCTTATGATAAATCTAGCACGTCTTAAATAACTTGGTGCCATACGCAGATATGCTTTTCTAGGGATCATGCGTGGCAATAAACTTCCAAATGTATCCTTCTGAAATCCATTAAAACTATCTTTGAAATTGTTCCGTACTTTTTTAACACCGCTTCTTTATAGGCAAAATTAAAAAGACAAGGATGTTGTTTGCTATAAATCTTCATAGAGATTAGGGCTTTATTGATAGGCTTGACTGTACCAATATCACAACTAAATATCTTTTTCTATACATTTTATTACTAGTAGAAGTTGCACAATTAGGGCGTACTCATTTCGTGTGTCAATACGATTATTACTGTAAGAAATGTTCAGCTGTTATATTAGAACAGTTCAAAGACAGCATAATTCGTTTATTAACCTTTACATTTCACGACCTTACAAGGTATTGAAATTTCGCCAAAAATTAGAATCACTGGAAATGAGAGGTTGAAATCCGTTACATATATAATCGATAAAACTATTAGCTGTAGTTGATATAGATGACAAATAATAGGAAGTAATTAACCAATCAATCACTACGATTCTACAAGAATGAGTCGCTAGATCGAGGGTCCTTCAAATTGCGAAATTGCCTCGCAAAATATATAGCCAGGAACTAAAGAGTAAATTGAAAACTTATGTTAATTTACTTATAACACGTATGATAATAGCTTAGAAGACTCGATATGTAGTTCAATAAAAATAATCGGATGGGAAAATATGTAGGCAGGTTCTAAAAAATTAAATAGCTACAGTATATTGCTACATAAGTCGATAATTTATATAGTTTCTACTTTATTAAACAACAGTATTTCATTGAAGTATGATAATTAAATATTTTATTACAATTTAATTTTTAATAATTTAAGTTTCTAAAGCGAGTTTAGGGTTAAGCTACGGCGGTAGGAAAAACTAATTAATTCAATTGTTACAGTTAAATATTTGCATTATTGAATATGATTTCTAGTATATATTGCTGTAATAAGGGATTAAATGACTTTTCAATCTAACAATTGCTTACTACTATATAAATAAAATCATTAAATCTAGAATTTATCAAGAGTACTTTTCACGTAGTAGGGCTTGTACTGTAGAGTAGCGCATTGTATACCTAGAAGTACTATTTTATATGATACATTACGTGATATTACTTACAAAGGTAAAGGAGAAAAATAATCCGACTCCACCACCGGCTTTAAGCGCTAATGCAATAGGCTCTTTAACGACATTATAGCATGTTTTACAGCTATTGTCGCAGCTCTATCAAATATGTTGTAAAAAAAAGGAATCAATAATTTTTTCAGGTTGATTTGAGAGTAAAAACTTTTTTCAACCATTGTACCGATAAATTTAATTTTAAAATAAACACTATGTAGAGACTTTTATAACAACATTACTATTATCATGAGACTATACGATAGGACTTATTTAACTCCAATTGTAGTTATAGACTAATTGCATTTGTATTTCTTAAGTATCTACTAAATTTGTTCATAGTTAATAATGCCAATCTCTACGATTGGAATCTATCACTAAAAAGTTTTCTATTTTTAAGCCATAGTTAATCACTTTATCTAACAATATTAATTAAATACAATACTAACAGACGGGCAATCAATATTGGTGCTATTGTTAAATCCACAACATTTGAGACGGTTGTGTAACGCTGTTTTGTCTTCAGGGGTAAGACCATCGTAAGCCTTACTGAGCAGATCCTTCTGTTGCTGTTGGTTCAACGCCAATGCAGCGATGGAGATTGCGAAATCGATGATAAACAGTAATGACATGAAGATCATGTACTGAGAGTAAGCAAAAGCAAGCGTTAAGGGAAAAAAGTATACAGCATGATTTTAATTGATCACAAGGGTAATGATAATGAGTTGATGGAATAACAATTTATAGAGAATAATACAAGTAACTAACTCTATCCCCAACTGTAGTGTACTGTATTACTAAATATTAGATTGAAAATAGTTTTACATGATACTGTAAAAGCCTACATTTTTTGAAGGCTACCATCTTGACTGAGCCAAACACAGGTGCACTTGTGTACTACACCAGTACAATCAGTTGCACCTACTAAATTGACCATTTATTGTATAGCAAAGCAGTAGAATTGATTTTTATGTAATTATTAGGCATAATCTATACTACCCTATTCAATGCATAATTACTGTATATGGCGTCAATCAGGCAAAAGAGTACGCATCTAGTTTTAAAGCGGGGATCTGCAAGTAGATGCAAATGTGGATAATTACGTCTATTTCAGAATGGCCGATACCAATTGGTATTCAATAAAGTATGAAGAACTGATTTGTGCGAAAAGTGTACTACAACTATTTGCAGGTACTTGCGACTACAGTACCTGCTAATATTAATTAGTAAAAGCATTTGAAAGTTTACCCAAAAAATCAGTTCTATTTTGATTCTAAGCATACAATAAGTCCTATACAATATGAGTGAATAGTAACGTATTTTTAACTTAATGGTACTTTATTTGTATTGTGATTAAGTTAAGTTAAGCTATTCAATGGTTGTTTGATCATTTGAATATCTTAACCCGTTAGCTTGAGTAGTGAGGTACGGTCAATATGTGTAGCATCAAATCAGCTATTATTCACCTTTTTACGTTAATTTTATTCTACAAGACTACTCGGATTTTTCTAAAATCTTATCTAAAATAACAGAATTGGGTTATCTACAGTAAGATTTTGACTCTGTCATTTTCCAAAGATAATTAACGTAACTTGGCTAATTTGTATCAAAATCATTCAAGAGTCATATGATGAGAAATGCATGGAGGATTTATAGCTATCATTTCCAGTCTCGTCAACAGTAAAGTAAGAATAATAACTTGGCTGTAGTGAGATTCTTGTTGTAATTCTGTACAATATCGACGTCGTTAAACTGACGAAATTATGCAGTGGGCTAAACTACATTACTACAGTAATGTGCAGTAGATACTATGGAAAAGTTGGATTATCTAGGAACATACTTATAACTTATCAAATCAAGAACAAACTGGCTATCCTGCACATAAACAAAAAGCAATGAAACGAATATTAATTGGGCATTGTACTTTCTAGCGAAACAATTGTTTCCAATGTCAAATTATCAAGTGCATTGTGGATTATTTCAAAAACATTAGTAGGAGATTTCATCATTTACTGAGTATAAAGGTTATGTCTACTAGACACGTAACGATTGCGGTCGCTAATATTGATTTTGGATACCATAAAAAGTAAAATTTGATGGTGTTTAATAGCTGCAACAAAACCAATAATGGCGATGAGGAGTAAAATGACGCCAACAGCGACTAGAGCTCCTAAAGCTGCTAAGCTTGTAAATTTTGCAACACCACGAGCATAACCCGCTACGCCTAAGATGACTAGGCCAATGATCTATATATAATTGTAGAAAGAATATTGAAAAAATCATTACATCATTTATCAATTTATATCCATTTGGATGGATCTCTTGTACAGTTCTTATTCTCTTTAGAACAAAAGTAACCATCTCATCGCTACGGTATGACACAGTATCTATGCTACCTCTAGACACAAAATGTACGGTAGAATACGCTAGTACGTCTAGTTGCTACCAATAAGAGAAAATTAACCCATCATTTTTAGAGAAGAGAAAAGAACAGCCGTTTATCAAAATTGATGTCGATACTAGGCATTTTCTCCCTAACGGAAAGCAATTCAGGAATTGTTACAACACTGACTGTATAAAATAATAATCTGCGGTATATTGCGTTACATCTAGCAAAAGTAGTTGCTGCCGTCAAAGAGAAATTAATCGATAGAGAAGAGAATTCTAGTCGTTGATCCATGGATGTCGATTTCTTCGATAGCCGGTGTTCTCTCCATTTCTAATCTCATTACGCGCTCCTACAGAAAACGATTGTCTCCAGTCTATTGGACTACTACTGTACGTCTAGTCAACTACAAGAGTGGCCTGCTAGCACGGAAGTGTAGACTGTTTTTTTACCTCTATAATGTTGCATTAGAAGAAAGCTAAGAGAAAAATGAATGTATGGCGAAGAGAGAATACTAGTGTACAATCCTATTCATCATTTCTTCTCCAGTACTGTACAGTCGGCATGTTCTCCATCGTCGAAAGCAATTATGTCATCGCTACTGTAGTAATGATGTCTAATTGATGATTATCTATGGCCTATTTGGCGACATCGCATCAAGTCGTTGCTACCATCAATCAATGCATAAAGAGTGAGAGAATCATACTGAAAGATAGAAGACGTAAAGGATAGTAGTCAATGATGGAAACTTGCTAATGTAGCCGTTATCCCCTGAATACAATCCACTTGATGATGATTGTCGCCATTCGACACCATGACTCATCGTGTTCAAATCAACACCTTTTGGTAGTTTATTAACAGCAAGAGACATTATTACGCTATCCATCATGTTGACAACCATCAATCATTAACCTCTAGTCGAAAACAACCTACCATATAGAGTACATTTAACGCTCCTAAGCTATTTCGAACGCAGCTGTAAGGGAAATTAGCCATTTTGAAATTCAGGACTGTCTCCACTTTTGCTTTGAAAAAGGAAATTGTTGCTTGCTAAAGTACTTTTATACAATGCCGCTTTGTACTGTAGAATGACAAGTATACAGTTTTTTGTAGTCGTCTATTTAACTGGTGTATTGTATGCGCTTGAATGCATGTATGATACACCCTACTATAATCACTTGTCCAATAGCACTGTACTTAGTGGACTGTACAGTACACTGTACTGTAGCCGTTGGACTTTTTCCCCTTCTGCAGTACTGACTAAATGCAGAAATGATGTCACCCCCTTGAAGGCAATGGCTAACATTACTTCTCAAGCGATTGTACGATCGGATGGCTACGACACAGAATGACCACTAAGTAACTCACTGACTAAATAAGAGTTAAAACGACTGAAACACCAATGAAAGAGACTACTACTCAGCGACAATCAATAAGTGTTGATGGCCAAAAGTACAAGCGGACTATTTTCCTACTGGATTCAACCATCATGAATGAATATTGCCTAATAAAGTGCCAGTTGCAGTCTAGAACAGATACGTCATCCATCAAAGAGTGACATTACCCGTTGGATTTTTTTCCCTTTTATCATACTGTACAGTAGAGTACAGTGCAGAAATAATGTCACCCAAGACCGTGGTGTTAACATGACCTCTCAAAGCAATTGTCCGATCGAATGACTGCGCAGAATGAGCACCGACAAACTGAATAATGTTCAGCAACTATGCTTAACAACGACTAAAACACCAATGAAAGAGACTACTACTCAGTGACTATCAATAACTGTTGATGGCCAGAAAGTGCAAGCTGAACTATCTTGCTGCTTGATTGAATATCGCCTCATAAAGTGGTAGTCATTGCAGACGCGTTCGCCCTAAAGGGTGACATTCCCTTTGGATTTTTTCACCTCGATAATAGTGTAATATACACATGTAGAGTAGTGTACAGTGCAGAAATAATGTCACCTAAGACAGTGACTCATATTACTTCTCAAGCGATTTGCGATTGTACGATCGGATGGCATACACAGAATGAGCTAAACTAACTGGATAATATGGCCAAAAGTGCAAACTGAACTATTTGGCTACTTGCTTAACCCATCCTAAATATGGCCTAATCAAGTGGCAATCATTGCAGATAGGTTTTGGCCAAATAAAGGGTGACATGACATGTTCGCTTCTCCGCTACTCTACAGTATAGTACAGTGCAGAAATAATATCACCTGAGACAGGACGAACATTACTTCTCAAGCGATTGCACGATCGGATGACATACACAGAATGAGCACTGACTAAACTAACTGAATAATATTAAGCGACTAAAATACGAATGAAAGAGACTACTACGCAAGAACTATCAGTAACCAACTGTTGATGGCCAAAAGTGTAAGCTAAGTTAGTTTGCTGCTTGATTGTACTATCCTGAAGATGGCCTCATCGAGCGGCTGCCATGACAGATACGTTGGACCTAAAGGGTGACATGATCAATTGCACAATGCTACGCGTTAGTATTGTCCACATCAGTACATACTGTACGTACTGGACGCAGTGCGGCAATTGACTTTTGCACTCGTGTCCGCGAATGACATTTTTCAGCAGTCCAATCACTCAAGTTCTACTTCCTGCTACAGCATTTCGTATGCAGTTTGTGCACTGCAATAGTTTACCACTCAATCTGCTTGAGTACTACTCTATTTGGAGTTCATGACGTTATTGAATTCCATCATACGGCAAGGCAATCAAAACTATATCAAGTGTCGCAATCAATACCCTGATGCTCTACTTTTTCTACTCTATTTACCTTGCATTCCGCTCCATTTCATCACCAGATTCAAAATCCCCCCAAAATGATAACGTCATCAAAACAAATGCGGCAGCAAAAAAGGCCAAAACTAAATCCAATCGCGGCTTGCTCATGTTGAAAATACTGTAGAAAAGTAAGCTAGACGAGCTGAAAAAGTGCCCTATCATCACTGATCGGCCATGGTGAAACTGGACTGCTGGTTCATCACTGATCGGGCCGTAGTGGAATTGGATGGTAGTTAACGCCATCAAAACAAACGCGGCAGCAAAAAAGGCCAAAACTAAATCCAATCGCTGCTTGCTCATGTTGAAAATACTGTAGAAAAGTAAGCTAGACGAGCTGAAAAAGTGCTCTATCATCACTGATCAGCCGTGGTGGAATTGGATGGTAGTTAACGCCATCAAAACAAACGCGGCAGTAAAAAAGGCCAAAACTAAATCCAATCGCTGCTTGCTCATGTTGAAAATACTGCAGAAAAGTAAGCTAGACGAGCTGAAATAGTGCCCTATCATCACTGATCGGCCATGGTGAAACTGGACTGCTGGTTCATCACTGATCGGGCCGTAGTGGAATTGGATGGTAGTTAACGTCATCAAAACAAAAAAGGCCAAAAATAAATCCAATCGCTGCTTGCTCATGTTGAAAATACTGTAGAAAAGTAAGCTAGACGAGCTGAAAAAGTGCCCTATCATCACTGATCGGCCATGGTGAAACTGGACTGCTGGTTCATCACTGATCGGGCCGTAGTGGAATTGGATGGTAGTTAACGCCATCAAAACAAACGCGGCAGCAAAAAAGGCTAAAAATAAATCCAATCGCGGCTTGCTCATGTTGAAAATACTGTAGAAAAGTAAGCTAGACGAGCTGAAATAGTGCCCTATCATCACTGATCGGCCATGGTGAAACTGGACTGCTGGTTCATCACTGATCGGGCCGTAGTGGAATTGGATGGTAGTTAACGCCATCAAAACAAACGCGGCAGCAAAAAAGGCTAAAAATAAATCCAATCGCGGCTTGCTCATGTTGAAAATACTGTAGAAAAGTAAGCTAGACGAGCTGAAATAGTGCCCTATCATCACTGATCGGCCATGGTGAAACTGGACTGCTGGTTCATCACTGATCGGGCCGTAGTGGAATTGGATGGTAGTTAACGCCATCAAAACAAATAGGGTAGCAAAAGAGGCCAAAATAAATCCAATCGCTGCTTGCTCATGTTAAAAATACTGTAGAAAAGTAAGCTAGACGAGCTGAAATAGTGTCCTATCATCACTGATCGACCGTGGTGGAATTGGATGGTAGTTAACGCCATCAAAACAAATAGGGTAGCTAAAGAGGCGAAAAATAAATCCAATCGCTGCTTGCATATGTTGAAAATACTGTAGAAAAGTAAGCTAGACGAGCTGAAATAGTGCCCTATCATCACTAATCGGCCGTGGTGGAATTGGATGGTAGTTTACGTCATCAAAACAAAAAAGGCCAAAAATAAATCAAATCGCTGCTTGCTCATGTTGAAAATACTGTAGAAAAGTAAGCTAGACGAGCTGAAATAGTGCCCTATCATCACTATTCGGCCGTGGTGGAATTGGATGGTAGTTAACGCCATCAAAACAAATAGGGTAGCAAAAGAGGAGAAAAATAAATCCAATCACTGCTTGCATATGTTGAAAATACTGTAGAAAAGTAAGCTAGACGAGCTGAAAAAGTGCCCTATGGTCACTAATCAGCCATGGCATAGTTGGACTGGTAGTTTACTTTTACTAGAAAGAACAAATGAATAGGCTAATAGACAGTAACAGGACGACATTGGATATACTGAATACTGTAGAATCAAAAATGGAAATACTTGATTGACTTATAGTAGATACTTTATTACGATTGAGGCTTTATTTCGATCATAGTATTCAATCTCAGCTCTATCTTTTCGTCAGAAAGTAATCCATATCCATCCAGTACTATATCATATATGCTTATCTTACATGTTTATGGTAGTAGATGTGATTATTTACTCAGTTCTTTAGTTCAGTACTCTAGTGCCTGCTTGTTGCAAGAATACACCTCAGAGTGTTTTGCAGGTCTTTGCTCTCAGAGGGGCTCTAGACAGAGACTTGAAGGAGAATTGAGAATTTTCTCGAATAAAAGTTCCTGCTCTAGGCTGCTTATGGTGGCGTATATCTGTGTCCTTCTCATTACTCACTGATAGGTACGTATTCGAGAGAAATGAAGCCATTCTATACAGGTTTAGTAGGCAAATATCTTAGCACTAGAACAAACCGATTAAAGAGCCTCAGTGGGGAACGTAAAAAGCCCTGTCTAATGTTGCTCTACGGACATGACTTACAATGATTATAGCACTTAAATTTGACAGTAGATATACTGTCAATCTCTCCCAATCAGAATATCATATCAATGCTGTTATAATAGTGTACACATTGTTTTTGCTCCTCTATTAAGATTGAATATCAGATCAATACAAGCCAATAAATAAAAAGAAGCAAATAGGAACAATAAAATCAGCTACAAAAAAAGAAAACAGCCTATGTTTATTCACTAATCTGACCCTCCAATGGAGACTATCATTGTAATTCTCCGTAAATATGCGGATGGCGAATTTTCTTACTCATGACATAGTGCAAGACTGTAAGTAGTACTAGTAGATTGCAGTATTTGATCCCTGCCTGCTTAAAGAAACAATACACAGAACTAAGCCGTCAATGACAGAATAAAGTCATCACTCTTCAATAAATATTGTAAATATTCAGGAAATAATCGCAACTACAGTATATGGACGTCGAATTTCCTTTATCCATGACATACAGTACGAGCACGCTGTCTAATTCGATGTGCATACGGGCCCTTATGCTGAATAATTCGATCCGCAGACTGAGATTGCCACTAGCATAGGCACAAGACTTATTTGCATCCTTCAGTACAACAATGAATACCAAGAAGCGATCTAGTCAATCGCTGTCGGGGAAATAACTAAATATCGAAGAAATCTATAGAGGTTGAATTTCCTTATCCATGACATAGGAATGCAACGCATAATTCGATCCGCTGACTGAGATCGCTACCAGTATACCACTACGTAAGTAGAAAACTTTCTCACGTTCTTCAGCACAACAATGAACAATATCAAGCAGCAAGCCGAGAATAATTGTACAAGTTATCCTCTTGAAAAAATGTTCCAAATATTTAGGAAATACTGAATTGTAAATGCACACATATGGAATTTCCTTATCCATAATATACGGATAGAACACTGTTACCATTCAGTATATTTAACGTATTGTATGAGAACTAATTCATCCGTAGATGCAGGAAATTCTCGAGGTACTCCGACTAATATACTAATTGGACTACTTCTACACAAATAATCAATACCAAACCGATATCTGTTAGTCCTAAGTTACTCTTTATTTGAGACCAAGTCATGATCTAAAACGACGTTGAATATTATTTGACCTTACGGTCTAACTGAGACGATATAGATCACGATGGATCTCGCTGCTGAACGTAACTAAATCAAACAGCGCACATGATGGTGCTTAGACTTCTCAAGCAATTATAATTACTTATGATTACCGGTAATTAACAACTACTAACTGCAGCCCTGATGAGTTGACTGACTAGAATCGAATGAGTAGTAAAGCAATATACATTGTATAATATACTAGTCATCACTCTCGAATCATTATTGTAAATATGAAGGAAATTGACGATTTGTGTGAATGCGTTGGTATTACCCTTCCATTCCAGTTTTCTTTGCATCGCCAGTAACTGTTTTATTTATTCAATTCCATTTATTAAGACTGTACGATTATGTACTCATCGTTTCGCTAGGTAAAGTAATCATATACACGTGTGTTCTAAATGAATAAGACTATGAGAGTCGTAGACAAATAATCTTTATTGTATCTAAGCCATGCGCCAATCTAGCCAAATAGCTGTCTTTAACCAGTTAATAAGCTAATACGTAGTACTACTGTATGTTAATTATAATTGTAGTAGTTAGACACTACTACATCAAATTCGTACAACCGTGGAAATTTTGAGTAGTAAGGGAAAAAATAGGATGGACTGAAATAGCTTTAAACTTATTCGTTTCGCTATGCAAAGTAATCACATACGCGTATGTTCTAAGTGAATGAGATTATAAGAGTTGTAGACAGATAATCTTTATCGCATCTATGCATCGACCAATCTAACCAAATATCCATCTTCAACAAGCTAACAAGCTAATACGCAGTACTGCATGTTTGCATGTTAATTATAATAGTATTAGTTATTAGACACTGCTGTATCAAATTCGTACAATCGCGGAAACTTTGAGCAGTATGGGGAAAAAAATAGAATGGACTGAAACAGCTTAGTTCGATGCGTAATCAATAACAAGTAGCGTTGTTGATTATTAGACTTTCCGTTTACCTTATTAAGAACACACGAGTAAACAGTATCAAGTAGCGATTATTTTCATCTTTAAATATAGAGATGTTTACTTTTCCTGATAGAAATACATATATACGAGCTAGCGGACAGAATAAATTTAGAACGAAGAATTATATCCTATAGTATAACTATAGTTACCGTATTTGGATAAATGATATCGCCTATATAGGACACGAATGCCCGATGGAATTATTATTATTAATAACGTTATTATTATTGATAGTTTTTTACGCAGTAATTACCCCATCAAAGTATAAAAAGTTATTGATTCGTCCATAGATCATGATCAAAGACGAATGGATGAACTCCAATTGATAAAGCAACACTTACAATTTATGGACCGGAATAGAAATAGTAAAGTCGCTTTTACTTGAGAAATTGCAAGTATAGTTAATCGTAGAGCAGTTCTGATTTTCTAGTTATCTTCGATAAATCATTATAGGCATACAGACTATGCCTAGACCAAAAACCAAAAAAGTTCGATTTGCGTTGCCAACCGAAAATCAGGTAAATCGAATTCGATCATACCTACGTAGATTACTTACACAGTGAGTGATTTTAACCAATTAAGCGAAATTATCCTTAAGCTGACATATATCGTTTCTTTCCTTGCAGATCACGTCCATTCCACCGGATATTCCATCGAGATTCGCGGTATATACTCATGATTTATTTTTGTAGTATTACTCTCTGCATCGTATTGCATTGTAGAAACTGAGAATTGATATGATTTATACCATCCTTTCGAATGATGCTTTAGAGTTTAGATACAGTTATACGAAATCACTACGTAAAATTTGATGGCTAGAAAGTTTAGATAGTCCCTCTTTATTGCAGTAGTGCACCCAATAGACTGTGGTTCCTAACAAATCTCATACTGATAGTATTGGCAATCTTTCTCTAATGTTCTAACGAGTTAAAAAACGCTCACATAAATATTTGGTGTATTTTCCTATAACTTAGTCTAACTTTAATAATGATTGTGAGTAGTTTTGTCCCTTCATATATTTATGTTTTATAATGCCTAGGCTCCACTTCATATCAGTGACGGTATAAGCATTGCTATTACAAGCCTTCAAAATGCTGAAGTAGATTTAATCTTTTCTATCCAAGTTTGCCTTGAAGTAAGTACTAATTCTGTTTCGTGGACAGTTTTTACTGGATTCTCGCGTAAAACAAATCATAAACAAGACTCTGTAATAACAGCCTATTTTGCATCAATCTAGTGTTTTGATCAAATCTTTACTCAACAGCAAATGCAAGAATTTAAACTAGAGTATATCCACATGATATTAGATGTAAGCTGTTTCTATCTAACATAAATTCGATCTTTCTGCCTTAAGAGTTCCTTCATTTTAGATTTTCTCTGTCATTTTTTTTAATGGAAGTCTTTTTCTCTCTAACAGAAATTCAGATCACAACATTACAAGCTTTTAGACCTCATTCAAAATGCTGAGACTAACCTACAAAATATTTCTCATAGAATATTTAGTAAATTGGTAATACAAATGAGTGATTGCGACCATCTATTCGATATGATAGACTCTTCAATGACGGTCGTCCTATAATACTTACAAAATTGTCGACTATAAAATAGTATATGTAAAATCTCTTATTTGTAGAGATTTAAATCAAAGTTGATGCTTATTACATCTGCTGTTGAAAATAATTGTACGATATATTTTTATCTCGTGTCCAATTAAGGAAACCGAAATTTATTTTGAATATGGGGGCGAAATCCAATCTTTACTACTTCGTGAAGTGAGTTAATACTACTCAGATCTTCATACATTGATTGAGCATAATATTCTTTTAACTCGTAACTATATAACAGACCAAAGAACAAGCATTCCACTATCATATACAGGTATAGTATATACTTGTAACTTTTGTAGGGGTAGTATTTGTGCCTCTAATGTGTTTATTTTTTTCTATTCAGCTATTAATACGTATTGATATCTTATATACAAGTATTAATGTTGAAATTATCAAGTTTTATATATCGATTTAAAATTTTAAACGTATCCACTTAAAATATTCTTAAAATTTCAAACAAACTCTGTTTTTCAACAGAAATGGTTAAAGTGCTGCAATACCTATCATTTTAAAGTGAGAACATTTAAAGAGATTTTATTTATCCCACTCTACCAACTCACACTGTATTCGATTGTCTTCGAAGTATGTATATGCAATTTTGGTTTTAAGAGTATTTTTACAACTAATTCTAGTATAAGAAGAAGTTAACTTATCGTAGGCATTGTACCACTTGGCCAAGAATGATTTGGAAAAAAGTGCTCTGATTGGTGCTAAATCATGTATTAAGGTATGTTCTATTATTTTATTTATTGAATCCTATTTCTAACTCTGATAAAATAAATTGCTAAGGGTACTTATAATTTACTTTCTCAGTAATTTCATCTTTGCAAGAAATTGATGCAACTGTTATCCGTTATCTCACTAGTTTAATGAATATCAAAATTTTCCATAGCTTATTACTATCCAATTGTTAGGGAACGCCAAACAAAATAAATATAAATGTTGTAGCATTAGTCTTTGCTTGATTAATGGAATTGGTAGTGGTAATCTATGATTACTGGTGTCATTAAAATCGTTTGTTAATAACTGAACTGTGAACGTGTGTTTACTTGGTGACTAAAGGTCTAGATTAAATATAAACTATAAACTATCATTAGATTGATTAAGCAGAACTTGCACGGCTAGATGCTTAAGTTATCATAAGCTACAAAATGCAACAGCTACCGAATGAGAATGTGGTACATTATTGTTTCTTTACAGCTAATTACAGAACGCGTGCTAAGTGCAATGGAAGAAGTTCAAACGATGTCCAGAATCAACTTTTTAATATCTATGTGAGCTATAAATATGATACCAATAGTCTAATATTTTATAAATTGACCTCTATGTACAAAACTTCCAATATTTCCACGTATTTTTTTGGAAAATCAAATCTTGATATCAAAAGGATAGAAGTTGACTCCAATGTAAGTTAATATCAGATCGATAAGAATAATATTGATGATTAACATAATCCTTTTGATTAGTATTGTCATAAAAACAGTTGATGGACACTATCGCTCCATTATTGATTTGTTGTAGAAGCTCTCAACATTAGCTTTTACAGGATTGGGAAAATTAACTATAGAAGGATACGTAAGAATTCTCAGTAAACCAAATCGTGAGACTCTGAAATTTTTAAAAAAGCAAAATTGGTATGCTAAAATGGAATAACGTATTTATGATTTTTTTGGGGGGCAGATTTGACAATATTTTCGATCTATTTTCCTTTTCTATAGTTGCTATATGATCATATTTGATAAGGCCATTCTTATATGTTCAATCGTAGAGGTGAAAGTTCCACTAGATGTTTTCTAACTACAATTTGGTATTTAATTGATCTTTTCATCCATGTCTCATTTCTTACAGAAGAGTTTGTTTTTAGAATACCAAGTTTTATTACAGGACTGCATAATTACCGATGAGGTATACGATATCATATCCTTACTTATATAGTAAAAATTCTTTTTATCAGCGTTGTATAGCAAATTGTGGTGTTTCGCTATCGTATGCTTATACCATGAACTACTAGATATACCATAGTTATACAGTTCTGTGACATTAAAATGTTGTTTTCATGGCATAATAACTTATGACCAAAGCCACCGAATCAACAGTAAATATAAATTGTTTAGATGATTCTCTTATACCTATACATGTATTCATTGTCGATTGTAAGAATATTAATAAATGCACCGCTGACGTTTTCATATCGCTAAATTATCGTGTGTCTTTCTTTAATAAGAACGATTTCGAATCATTTACCATCACTGATCAGTCACAGTCAGATGAAGGTGAGCTACATCGATTAAGAATATTTCTCTAAAATAAAACAACTTCTTGCTTCAATATAACTGATACTGCCGTTTTATGTAATACTTTATTAAACTTATTACTTAAGAAGGCGTTAAAATACCATTTTGCAACTATGATAAAGTATTATTTTGAGAAAAATCAACTCTGTCTTTAATTTGAATTTAATCATAGTATGGACAATGCAAATAGTAGAAGATGGAGATGACTGGATTGAATGGCTATATAATCATATTAATTATAGAGAGAAGTTACGCCTATCCCAAGGTATTTTTATTCATCAAACTTGATGTTATTCTATAGACAGATTTAAATCAAAGCTATCCAAAAAAATATTTTTAGACTTAGTTCACCACCATTCGATGTAAGAATGTGTGATTATGACATTCTAGATTTTGCAACTTTTACTACACCAGTATTTACTACATTACCTAGATTTCATTGTTCTCGTAAGAGTTAAAAGTAGCATATGCTATAGAAAATTTTACAATAAGTTTTAAAACTATTCCATGATAATAGCAATATCAGATTTTGGTATCTAGTGATTGAAAGTAGCTTTACAAACTGCACTTTTGCTTGCAATGGCTGACATTGAGATAATGCTCATGAACGAGGTTTCATATTGTAAATACCATTTACTATAAGCAAACTAGAGACTAGACGTAGCATTTATATCAGGCCTACTGATGATATGCATTAAGAAATGTGAACTACTGTAGCATAGTCTATTCTTAATTATAGTTTTAAAATTGATAGGTGAAAACTTGGTAAATGACACTGAAGAAGATGTTGAAGCTTCGATCGGGTAGCGAAATTGCAATCTTGAATGTACTAGATAGACGTGGGCAAATACGTCGTTAAGCATACTAGAAGCATGGACTTATTTTATGGTTATGATTATGGAAAATTGGAATAAAAAATTAACGTGTAATTGAAAGAGAATGTCTATTTATGACATGTATATAATTAATTAACGCAATTTTGGATACTATCATTGTCTTACTACTAATTGATTAATATGCATGCCTTGAATTTCAATTACACTATTGTTATCACACCAATTTTAGATTTGACCTGATTTTGATGGGCAGTACTATATTTGTTCGATGGATAAATTCAACTTTGACAATTCTCTAAAAATAGAAAATGTCGTAAGAGCAACTGTACTCGTATTGTATTATGCACGTAATAGATTACCAACTGAATGCATAGTAAGAATATAATGCTTTTTTAGTTTAGGAGTATTTATGGGAGATTAGTTTGTTTCACAGATGTCTTGGTGCGTTAAGACTGTACAATGTGTAGATGGTATCCGTAAGGAATTATCCTATGCAAAAGATTTGATTGAAATTGTACCTTTCGTCTACCCGATATCTGATTCTAGTTACAATTTTACAGTAGTGTAACCTTTCACTGCGTTGAAAGAGGTTACTTTTTAATCTGGAAGTATTACTAGGGATTTACTTGCTTGATAAGTACTTTGATATGTCAAGATAGTAAGCGATATCAGCAAAGTGTAATCTTTCGCAAATTTGATTATAAGTATACCTTCCGTCTCTCTGCCCTTAACTCTAGTTATAAATATCAAGTTAACCTATTACTCTATGTGAATTACATTTCTTTTTAGTCTAGGGATATTTACGGATTATTAACTTGCTTAGCAATTGCCTTGGTATGCTAAGATTGATTCAAAATGAGCTGGTAATACTAGTTGTAAATATACGTCCAGTAGAATGATCTATCACTATATATGAAACTTCTTACTTTCTAATTTAAGAGTACTTGCTAAAAAATTAATTTACCTAAGAATTATTTTGGCATGCTAGGATTGAATTTGAAAGTGTACCAGGTGACTAGTTGCAAATATGTATGTAGTAGAATGCCATATCACGACATTACGAGTATGTATGAAACATATTGCTGGAGATTAATTAACTTGACAATGGCCTTGGTATACTAAGAAAGTATACCTGGCGATATTAGTTTCCAATATACATCTAGTAGAATGACCGATCCATGTGTAGAATCGATTTCTTTCTTATCTAGGATTGCTTCTGAAGATTAATTTACTTAGCAATTGGCTTGGCATGCTAAGATCCCTTTGAAAGTAGGCACCTAGTGACATTAGTTGCAACTATTCGTGCAGTACAATGATTTATCCCGATGTGCTGTATGAAATAGACTGCTTTGCAATCTACGCGTGTTTCTTGGAGATTAATTTGCTTAACAATTGCCTTGGTATGCCAAGATTGTATACCACATCAGCAAGGTGTAATTCAAAATTGAATTGAAAGTTTACCTTTCCCTTCCCTCCTCCTACGCATCTTTGCCAATAGCAAACATCTCATGATGCATGGCAAAATGCGAAAATTATATGCAGTATATAAGTTAGTCAATTTCCAATCACTCGCTACTAGAGATGAATTACTTAATCAAGATAAACCTCTTGGTACCTATGAGATGTTCTTCATTGCAGGATTTGATTAATTCATTACCTAATTCATTTACGATTAGCAATCCACTAAACTCGATCTCATTACGTCATTGGAAAGGTGATGATGTCGAGTGCTACGACTGCGCCAGCGCAGTCATTACGATGATGTCATGCTATCGCAACAGTATGGCGTTAAGCAAGAAAGACTCTCGATGACTACAACCATAGGCTACTACTCGTTTTCTTTTAGCAGTCTATCGTGCAAGTGATCTCGACTAGCGAGTGCTTCTCTCAACAAAGGATAGATTGGATAGTACAGCTAAGATGGAGAAACAGGATTTCAATTTTGTATACTATTTTAAGACAAATTGGAGTGTAATACAGTATACTACGTTATACTGTAGATTTGCTTAGGCCAGTTTGACTTCGTACTGTACAGAGCTGGACATTCTTTTATTTTTATACAGTACAGTATGCGCCAAACTTCATGTACGGACACTTACTCCAACTGGAACAGAACTATTGAATTTTCTCTTCAAGCCCCTCTTGTTACGGAAAGCAGGACGGAATCCCGACCTCGATACAGACTTGAAGTCAGATAACAAAAGAAAGAAAACATCGCCATTACAGTATACAATATCGATCGGCTAGATTACTTCTCTATCGATAAAGTTAAGTGTTAGCATAATCTTTCGCCTTGGATGATACTGGAAATTGGCCTTGGTAAGCAATTGATGTTGATGATTAGCCAGTATCCTTGTTGAAGAATTGGAAATCGATCGAGCTGGAATTGGGACGAGTTTGCTAGGTCAAGACTAGATCTAGTAATAGTCAAAATTGGCATTGGTAAGCCGTTGATATTGACGATTATTAGCTAGCATCCTTGTTGAAGAATTGGAAATCGATTGAGCTGGAATATTGAGTATTAACAAGTTAAGTTATTTATTTATTATTCATCCATTGGTCCTGTCGACTGATCTAAATAAAGCATACATGAGCGATAGCAACACTGGTAGAAGCAATCGAGAATTATCCACAAAAATGCTGCTAAATAATGAGGATAGGACTAATCAAGATGAGCGGCAAACGCGTAGCGGTCATGATGTCAACATCAATCAGGGAAGTAATCACGACTGGTACTGTGGTGTCTCGACGATTCGACGTCTCTTTGGTCTCTTCGCCTTTTTTGACGCTCTTTTAGTATTTGTCATGTGGTTTATTTATACCAAGGTAAATTGATGTAGTAAGTTCAATCTTGGAGCTTTCGAGATCGTAAATTCTCCTTGACGTTGTGATTATCCTTTCCATTGCTGACGTGATATCATCTCCGATGATAATAATAATTTTATCGGAGCAATATCAATCTTCCATTTCTCAGCCACTTCATCTTGACAAGATATCAATCATGATATTCTAATAAAGTAATTTCCTTGAGGCAGTATTGATTTTCCCTTTCAATTCACCAACCTCTTCACCTTTACAAGACATGGATCATGATAGTACTCGTTTATAAATAATAATCAAATCAATCTACTGTATCTATGCATTAATTGAGTAATTTCATCTGAGCACTATCTATTTTCCATTTCTACCCCTCTTTGTCCTATCAAAATATCAAGCATGCAGTCCTATTCTAGCCATTCTAATGGAGTCATTTTATCAAAGCAGTCTTTATTTTTTCATTTCTATTTCGACTAAGCTTTGCCATCCTTTAGGGATCATCTAAGCTGTATCTGTATTGCATTTTCATCCCCAAACGTCGTCATCCTTACAAAATATTGATCATACAGTAATAGCGTCAACAAGTTATTTTATGTCTACATCGCCATCATCGATCCATGCTAACCATGCTTGAACACACCGGCAAAGCTGTACTTTCACACAAATCCAGTCCACATGGTAGGAGATTTTTGTTTATACTCCTAGTGTATCTATTTATTATGGTGTAGCATTTAAAACGAGCGGACGCGTATATACTGTGTAAATGTATGACGTAGGATGCCCAAAGGACGTTAACTGCAGTGCCATGCACAACCAGGATTCGCTGTCATGGCGGCATTCTAACACACTGAGAATATGGGACAGTCCTGAATAAGGGTCTAAAATGTCCACTAGACAATCATAGCAAGAAATCAAGAGAAAATGATTTTCATTTTATTCTTTTACTAGTACCGATAAATGCGCTAAAAGTAGACGAATTTAGTGACTGATACTATAAGAACATCTCGCCATGCCTATACACCCAGTACCGTAGACACATCATCTATTCATTTTCTCTTTTTTACAGCCAAAATGAACCCTGTTAAACTGTTAAAAATGATTTAACCCTATAGGATAAATAGCCAATGTTTTGTCTCAATCTTACTGTCCACCAGGTATGTCAAGTACGGCTTCATAAAATACTTGATGTTGATATCCATTCCGTGTGCCAGTCCATTCTTATGACAAAGAAAGTGCAGATCAATGACTGCCAGCGCCCTCATTGATTGCCCTTTCCAATGGAGTTAATCAACTACCAAATAATGTAATCTAGTTGTCACTGTCCTGGTACTTTGTGCTACTAAACTGCTTTCCTATACCGATTTAATGATACTTATTTAATTAAAATAAAATATCCTTAGAGGTCTAATGTAGAAATACAAGATTTTATGACGTCAAAATGATCGAGTGATCCTTAGGAAATAGACTTTAATGGATACGCTTGTTTTTACAGTAAAACACTTAATTACAGACCAGACTGGTACAATTTAAATACTGCACTTTGGCAAAATCGTATTATTGCCTTGAACTTGATACAGAATATCTATCTATCTGAAGGAAAATATTGTTGATAATTCTAATTTCTCAGCATTTACTTGATCTTAACAAATTGTATCATATTCACCGTACTAATTAAAGGATAGAATATCAGGTTATCCTTCCCATCTTCTGACAACTGTATCATCTATTTTTATAATTATTGGTAATCAAAATAATAGAAAAAGCGATCGTAGATTTTCATAGTACTTTACCTATACCAAAATGTTTTCACTCTCTCTGCTGTGCGCGTAGATGCTTAATGAACAGGAAGAAATTTACTGATGATAACCAATTTTTACTTTACCTTTTACATACTCTATCTTTATTGCATGAAAGTCAATAAGGCGCTCAGCACAATGAAATTAAACTGAATGTTAGCATAAGTTATAGATCGCCCTTCCAAACATGTCGCAGAATATTCTATAACAGTAAATAATAGCTAATAGCAAGCTGAGGTGCCTCAGGCGTACAATACTTATCCCAGCCACAGTTAAAAAAAAGTAATAATAACAGTCAACATTGAAACTAATTAATGACAGGAAATTCACACAAGGTCATGAGCATATGATAATTAATTGATGAAATATTACCGCTAGCTACCATGATAATGGATAGAAGACGAAGAAATTGAGATATCACTTGCACTATATCTCGAATGATGACAGTTTTCAAATTACAGTAAATCAACCGGCTTAGTTAGATACGTAGATTGAGACATTTTATTCTTCGCAAGATCCAACTAATTAAATTAAATTAATCTTGGTATTGACTGGCTGGAACGACAGCTTTAAGAATTCTTCAATTAATTACTAGTTAGTCAATAACACTCATAAATTCAATTATATAATTGCTTTTTAACAGCTGTAATAAATATTCTAAATAATTCAAAATTGTCTATAATATCCCCCTTCTATCAATACAATATCGTAGCGATACAGTAAGTAGGATGTAGCGTAGACTAATCGAAAATATACCATGAATTAGCTTGCTTTCGTCACAGTGTACGTACAATATAGTTATAGTCAAGGTAATGATAGCAGGCATTAAAAATAATTAAATAATTGCCCAAGTTGGCTAGACTATGATTATTGTCAAGCTTTGCTGATAATAGTATTATTTTATTTTATAAAATTGGATAATGACTTCAGCGTATTTAGTACTGGCTATCCTCGTATACATCAATCGCTCTTAGGCTGGGTGCAACATGATTTTTTATAGTATTGAAGAGCAGTTTAGTTGCCATTTCTCTTCCATTGACTTTGTCATAGACCAAAGGGTCCTTGATGAGGTCAATGTGAATATAAAGTGATCAATCATCAAAACGTAAAAATTTTATAATACCAAACATATTGGAAGAGTAATTAATTAAAGTTTGCAAATATTATAGCTGTCCTTGATTAGGCTAATGTCGATATGAAGTAATCAATCGTCAAAACGTAATAAGTCGGATACTGAAATACAGTACATGCAAATTAAGAATGATCTCAGCTGAGATTATATCACCGCTATCTTACAAATTGTTTGATCAATAAGTCTAATTTCAATTACAACAATCTTAGTTACTAGAAGCTGGTCGGATCCATGAGCCTTTTGAACAACAAATAGTGCGTTTCAACTTCAAAACATCATTATTCGATTTTGTGGTAAGAATGTCAATGCATCTACTTGATAATACATTCATACATCCCATTTTATTGATTGCTATCTTGGCTAATTACAAATTTTCTTGTAAAGCAATGGAATGATGTCAATTAACAGTTGATTATATAAAAAAGTATTCAATTTTTAAATTAAAAGTTACTAGCTGGAGGGAGATTCATTCTTTTATTCATGGCATATATTGTATGTAAATGCGATCACTGGCTAATGGTAGCAGTAAGTAGAATTTTGTACTTTTCTTCAATTAATGATTTAATGGAATAATGTAATAATGACTAATTCTAATCATCATTACAGTTTACCACATTGGGAACATCTGTTTATTTAGTAGTCAAGATTTTCTTTTACGACGTAAGCTACGAAATAAGATTCTATGCTTGAAGATAGATCACTCGTTTTTACAAGCGTTACCCTATAAATGCTTTTTAATGATCCACACTTTGGACAAAAATATTTTTTTTAACTTATTTTATTCGTAATCTTCCAGTTTACTGCAGTTACTACTTCTACTACCCATCCTATGGACTATCTCATTTTTGTTATATCTTTTCTTAATTGCTGGATAGAAACATGGATATTCGATTTTAAGGTACTATTACAGTGTTGAACTCTGCTAATGGCTGAAATTGATAATTATAGAAGTAGTTTTTGCGTTATAGATATCTACAAGTCTCGTAATATAATTCTTATTAACGTAATTAGCATACTGTGAATATTACTTACCAAACAGAAATTTATAATGAAATTAAATTGAGATTTATAACGAAATTAAATTGTTCGTTGCTAAAAAATGAAGTAAAAAATATCGCATTCTACCTATACTTTGCCTGTGATTGAGCGAGTCGTAATAGCGTAATGTTAAACATTTTTATCAATTGATAGGTTCTTCCTAAGGAGAAAAGACACAGACAATTGCATTTACGAAACGGTAGATACGATGTCTAATATAATTGAACTAGTCTATAAAGTAAAACATTATATCTAGTAGTTGCATAAATTTCTTCTTTTTGATCACGAGCAAACTTAACTTCCGCCTTTTTATTACTGCCTAGCTGTAAGACAAATTGTTCCGAATACAAATACCCCAAGCAATTCAAACAATGAAACACAACCATTATTGTGGAGTGACAATAGGTTCGATGAATTTTTTGTTATCAATATTTTGAATTGTTTATGTTATAGTTGGACTTTCATCAAAACTAAAACTACTTAAATAATAGGGTAACAATATATTCGGAACCTTTCTACTCGCCCAAAGGTACAAATAAATTTCTAATTTATGACTACAATTTTAGTAGTTATTCGCAGTTCTAAAGTTAAATGTTAACTAAGTATCTAAAATTATTTCTTCCTAGGCTCACCAACAAATAGTGAAAGAGGGTTAGCTGCTGAAGATCATATAACGCATAGCTTGGATGAAAAAGTTATTACTGGCGCTGATCATGTAATTAATTCGGATTGCAGACACAGTTTCGTTAGTATTGATCAGCAAGAAAGCGATAAGGAAGAGGATACCATACCGCGAGGAAGTCCAGTAAGCTCCAGATTTTACTCATTGCCTGGCAGTAGAGCTTCAAGTCCAGTTCCTGATGATAAGGTCTAGAAATTGTATCGCTTTCATTTAGTTTAACAGGGTTTTAATATTTCTTATTTTTATATTAAATAAAAAAATACTAGTTTTCAGAACATATGGAACTGGTTAAGGATCTATCGATTACAGTAAACGATTTACTTAGTATTGATACTGATTGGAAAATTGAAAAGACCACTGTAAGATTATGCAATAGTTATTCTTTTCTCGATATCTCGATACATCTTGTAATAATCCTTTTCATGACTCTCGTTAGGATAATTTGGTTGTTGATAGCCGTAATGTACAAGGTATTGGGAAAGTTTTTAGAGCACGGGTTAGTATTTTTGATTAATACATGGTGATTAATGTCTACTCGTAAGCCTTGATTTATTCATTTAATTAATATCAGATGCTTTTTCATGTTTAGTCATAATCAACTGAAAAATAAACGCTAGGCATTTTTTATTTCTACCTTTGCTAGATCGCTCTGGATTGTAAGCCAGCAGATCTATTCCAAGTCATTTGCCTTGATTGCGAACATCAATCGGATTGGGATTCCACTGTCGTACAAAATAAGGTGAAAGATACAAAGAATAAAATTCAATGGAAAATCCTTTTTTTCTTTCTTACGCCATATTAAATCCTTGGCTCTGTATAGCATTGTTTTCATTAATTGACTTTGTTGATACTTTTATTGTTAGATTTTGAAAAAACTAGACGATCAGACGGATATTTTATACGCCATAGTTGCAGAGTCTGGGAATGGTCTAGTTTCGAAGAGGTAGTGAGATTTCATCTATTATTTATATTTACCTATCATATTATATGAAATGCTTTTCATATTTCAGGGTGCTCTTAAAGAACTGTCTTAAAATTTTTTCTTATAGTAACGTCTTATTCATGGCAATAATTGTTCTATTTATGTTATCCATCACTATACAGAGATTTTTTATCGATTCGACACTGGGAGATAGAAAATGGCTATTATCGCACTTATAGTACATCTATAAAGGATGATGATTTGATGCCAACCCATCGCTCCTATGTTAGGTATGAACTCAGTAGCCCTCTTAAGCTTAATTGTTAATATTAACTCAAAACATCTTGATTTCATAGAGGTGAAAATAAACTTTCCGCTTGGATTATAAGACCTTTACAAAATAATGCCAATGCATCCCATTATACATGGCTACTCCACACTGACCCAAAGGTAGGTATCAAGATTACAAATGCTAAAAGAAATCATAACTTATTAGATTATAAAATTAAATTATTTTTTTATCATTCTAGCGATTTATTTGTGAAGCATTGAGGCTTCGTAATACTGTAATTGCGTATAGTTCTACTGTGTTAAAGAATATGATATCATTTTACTATCGTATAAAGTTACTAATTTTTTCTTGTTATTGAAAGGGATGGTTACCCAAGAATGTAGTCGATTTTGCCATTGCCAGCGTAATGATAGATTTTATTAAAAATTTGCGACGAAGAATAGCAACAGTGAAGTAGTAATGTCTTAGTTACAGTTATTTAATTTTATTAGCTTTTCTAATTTAGATAGGAGATCTGTTAAAACTTGTAAATCATAATATCATAATATCGGTATATCAAATACAAACCTATGATAACTGTTACTGTTATGGAGTATCACTTGAAAAGTATTTTTTTATTGAATTTTACTCAGATACTATATTAATCATGGAAATAGCTGTTCCAAATTTCTTTAAGAACGTTCCTCTTTTTTAGCATTGAAAAAATTTCGATATCGTAAAAACGTTATGATTATATGTATTACCATAATCAACAATTTAAGGAACAGTAATGTACTGGAAACCTTATTTCTACTTTGTAACTCATTCTACATTGATTACCTAATTGTAATATTAGTAGGTAATAATAATTATTATAATGATTCCAAAGTCAAATAAGTACAATTACATTTGACTGAGATTCTATTACTTCTCCAAGTTTACAAATATACCTATGATTTATTGTCTGATACTGTACAATTCTTTTATAAAAACAAACCTATAGAAATTATCTCCCCATAATCTCCTGTATTAACAAGTTTATAGCTTCATTTCAGTATAAACCTGCTAACTTAAGATGCACGACTACGCATGTTATTTATTTAACTTGCTTAAGTTGGCTATGCTTGTCCAGAACGTATATAAAAAATATACAACAAAAATTTATAATAAAATATCAGAATTTTATTCTATACCCAGCTGTGCTGACATACATTTTGCATTTGGTAGATAATACCATAACAGGAAAAACAGTACAGTACAACCTCAACCTTTAAATTAATCTATATTACTATCGAAGAATGTTTGTAACAGATTTTTTTTTCAATATTAAACATTACATTTAGAAACGCGTTGCATGTCAGACTATCCCTTTGTATCGTATCAATTAAGAAGAATAAAATAATTCAAATTTCATTTACAGTGAGTAAGTAAGATTACTTTAAGTTAAAATACAATTTTTCAAGTACTGTAAACCCTCCTGTCGCTACGGCTAAACTGAAATACTGAGAAATAAATTTAAGTGGCATAGACTATTGCGCAAGATCTACTATTGTAAGAAACTTTATCAGTTTGGGAGCCAGACCTGTAGATAGATTAGTTGCAACCGCTTATTATCATATTTTGTAATATATCGTGCATGCATATTAATAAAGTTCTTAAAAGTTACCTACAATCAATTCTATCTGCTAAACAACATTTTATAGTTTTAGCATATCTAAATAATTTATAGAGATTCAGCGCAGGATAAATAAGAATGTGGCAAATTTTTAATACTCTTCGTCCCAGTTGTAGACAAAATCTAAGTCCTTATTGGCATTATAAAATTTTAAATTTCTGACGAATACTTCTGAAATCTAGTTGTTAAGTAAAAATTATAATTAATGTAAAAGAATTCTTGTATAAAGTCATAACGTAGAATAGGTAATCTTTATTTTTTGTAACTCTCTTCAAGTCCTAATCGTACCTTTACTGGAATTCCTGGACCAGATATATGCGGTGTGATAGTAATCTATCAAAATTTCGATAATATGCAAGTATAAATTATTACTTGTTTACTGTAATAAATTATAACAGCAAGGTCGCATGACATTGACATTAAAACTTGTTCGTACCTCTGGTATAGTCCAGAAAGGGTGATCCGCAGGTAATGGCTCCTCGTTAAAAACGTCAAGAATAGCAGCAGAGATCCATCCATTCCTTAAAATTATTATATAATTAATTACATATCTTGTGTGGGTATACAAGAACTTATAATACAACAAGCACTTCTATAGAATTATTTAGATGGGGTGAGCATTATCTCTAGTAGTATTTCATTTTTCTGAAAGTACCTTATAGCCGTAATCAAGCTGTTATCATCGATTATTCCACCTCTTCCGACATTGATAAAAACAGGTTTCTATCAAAAAAGTGTTTGGTGTCAGCAGATTTCAGTTACTTAAGAGATTGCCCATACACCGGTATGATCTCGAAATTCTACACTCAGCTATTTCGTAATGACATTTAATTAACCTTCTTTTCGCAGACTTTTAACACGTTTCCTGATAATAGATTCATAGTTTTACTAGTGTTAGGGAGTACGTTGCAAATGTAATCATTTTCAGATAGTAATTCTTGTAGATTGTTTTGCGTTCTAGAACAAAATTGCATGATAATAATATTTAAAAATTAAAGCTACTTGCAAATATCATCTACCAATATTTACATATGTTATAGCTATAACATCGAATCAGTATGAGAAATTTACTAATATTTCATATTTACCTATAGTGATCAACAAATGGAGACCTATCATGAGAGGGTAACTCTCTTCGGACTAGACCCCAAGTTGTCATTCCGATATTTTTTGCTACTTTAGCAACTTTTACATATTTTATGGTAAAACAAAAATTAAGTTTCAGTAAAATCAGTTATAATTTTGTGGTAAAACCAACAATATTCCAATATTACCATGGCAGCCAATGTTACCAGCGCCAAGTATGCCTAACGTAAGATCTTGAAGAGAACGTACCGATCTTTGCTTCCTGATGAAATGAAAAGCATAGTAATTATCCACTTTAAGATAAATAAATTTAGAAATCAATCGTATTACAATCCTTGAAAGATTATGTGTTTGTACTATTTAATAAGTAGTAAACGTAACACCCATACCAAATTTTATCTTTCTGTTGCTGCCAGTAACGATCTAAGTGTCTTTCATGAATAATTATTTGAGCAAGAACATATTCAGAAATAGTGTAACCGAAAGTATCGGCCATCCGGGTCATAACAAAAGTTGGCTTTAATAACGAAACAGATGAATTTAATATGAAAGCTATATCTAGACTTAACATAATTTCTTACATCATTAACTCAAATTGTGAGAAGAAACACATATTACTGAGATGTTTATTGTTTACTAGCCTATGACATCAACCAGTACAATTATTAGTGCATGTAATGTAACAATATGTACACAATATTTATGAACATAGTTAATGGTGTTCGATTTTAGAACAGTCATACTACTTATCCCTACGATAAGTTAGTATCGTACTGCTAATAAAGTCTTGCAGTAAGATTTATGCCTTCATTCCCAAATACACGACAATTATTGAAATAATCTAAGCTTTATAAATAGATAATGGCCAAATAGTAGAGCGCAAGGCAAGCACAAGATACCAAACTATTGCTAATTAATTATTGTAACTATTAATTTTGTATCTATTGTACATAGTTACTATGTATTGTAAAGTAATGTTTATAATCTAAAGAAGAATATAGAGTATTATTACCACTATATTTACTTACTTTCGTGGTTACAAAATTTTTCATAGCGTCGTTGCCTAATGAAAATACAACATTAGATTCTTAGTTACTTGTCTCTAATTAAATCTACTTCAATATGACTAAAATAAACAATACAGATGTGATAAGGCATATCTATCATCTGTGTATCTGTAAGAAAATATCCAGTATCAACACGACAATGTAAGCTGCGTAAACTCTCTATGAAGCCATGTATGAAATAATATTATGACAAAAATACCGGCCCATGTCGATTGCATCCATTTCAAGTTCTTTAATCTAGAAAGTAAGGGCCCAGCCAACTGAGGATCAGAAATCAGTACCTCAGCTTCTTCCAATTCATTTATCTGTTTAGCTGTGAGAGATGAGCCTATAATTGATGAGAAGAGAATGAAGAATAAAAATCTAGCTGTTAACAACAATGCAGCCTGTAAGGCCTGTATTTGCGCTTTAGTGCAGTAAATAATTCAAAGAGTGGCATACTATACTAAATAAACTTATATTCCCATTTATTATGACCTTCTTTACAACGATTTCGATTGATGATGTCTCCAGTTATAATATCATCGATAACAGGCTGAAATCGTATACTAGTTGTGGATAGAATATGCTCAATATGCATTCCTGTAGCTAATCCTAAGTAAAGAGCTGCCATACCCATATACTGTAGTTCTTCTTCTTCTATAACTTGTTGGTAGATACTACAATCAATCTTAAAACCTGTTCTTATTCCAGGCTTATAACTAGAAGGTACTGGTCAATATAGAGCAGACCTACACCAAATTACTCTTTAGCTTGGTGGAAGATACTGTAGTCAATCTAAAATCTGTTCTTATCCCAGGCTTATAAATACAAAGAGCTAGTCAATACAGCAGACATGCATCAAATTACCCCCAATCAATCCATACTGCAAACATGTTGCGAATTTTGGGTATTACTTTAGTAGTATTTGTTTGCAAGTTGTTGTATATAGAAATTGTAACGTTGGCATGATACCCGAGATGACTGTTGGCTGTAGCTATCCTGTGTATAGGTGGTTAGCTGAAGCAGTTTCGTCTTCGCCTCAATTTCGCTCAATAATTCTGTACGACATCTTGTCCACAGAGTTAGTTCGATAATACTAATTAGGAGAATAGCTGAAACGTAAGCTACTATTCCTATTTCAAACTTGAGTTGAAGCAGAGTAGCTCAAGTGATTAGCAAGTTCTAGCCACCTCAGTACAGTACTGTACAATGTACATGATGAACGCATATGAAAACCTAACCTGATACAAAGATAGTAACATACTGTACTTTACAGCTCAAATGGCACCTACTCTAACGCGATATGCCTATGCACGTATAGTAGCAATATTTTATAGAGCCAAATGCTGCATTTGAGCACAACAAGCAAAAAATCATCCAGGTAAACAAATATTTCACATACTAGATGAGCTCTTTTAGATATCATCATCACACTGTATCATCATATTATATTGAACCTGGAGATGGTGGGCAAATCTCTTTCAATTCAACATCTCTGTGCATTGATGCAATTATTTCCTTCAGGCCGGGTTCTCGGCTGAAGATATGCACGATGCGCTTCATTCTATTTCTTCCGCAAAATCGACACTTGATTTAGGAAATAAATGATGACCATTTAGCAAGAGCTTCTTGTTGGCCCGTCTTGAACTCGTATTTCCACTACTGTACTTTAATACAGTACTTAAGTATAGCATAATACTTCATACACAATACTGTACCTGTATTGTTGTATGTGATACCATATGCTATCAAATCTTCATTTTTACTTTGTACTGTAGCCGCTCGCCTACCTTAATAATAATAATTACAATGAAGGCAGACGTCGTAAGTAAATTTTAACGACAAATTCTTGTAAATTAACTCTTTCTCTATCGATTGATCTACAATTTGTTCAAGAAACCCCCAAATTTTATACGTTGGTTTGCCCAAAAATCATAGAAATTAGCCCGTTGACCCTGTACAGTAAATTCGCAGGTGAATTTAGTACTGTACTGTACAGTACATATTCACTCAATGCTACAGTAAATGACTTTCATACCAGTAACCCCCTTCTTGAATTTAGTCCCCTCAGTCAAAAATTCGTCTTTTTAAGATTGTAAAAGACAAACTAGGGACTATTCGACCCATATTTACACACTACTAAGTCACAGTAACCCTGATTTCTTTGATAATTTTGAAAATACGAATAATTAACTAAGGAGACGAAGGGCATTACTGGGTGAAATTGTCATTAAGCAGTGAATGGATAAACGCTGGATATGACCCAATGTACACTGTACACTGTACAGTATAGCGCAATATACTGTACTGTATACCTAGAGGATTCAGTAATACTGTATACAGTACAAGATACTGTTGGAGAACTACTACAGACCAGTACCACTTACCGTAGTCTATTCCTGCTAACATTAGAGAGATTCATTTTTTGTAAGCATTTTTTTAATTCTCCTTTTCATCTAAATATTTTAGTATAAAAATCAGAGTATTCGAATCCCACTACATGTGATGACATCGAAATTAATCTGCAATACGTAAAACTTTTTTAAAAGGGCGGATTTTGCAAATACAGTACTATACTGTACAGTGTACACTGTACATTGGAAATAACACCTACAGTACTATAAATGCAGCTCCAAATTTGATCATATTGTAGAAGCATTCAGCACGTATCAGTTATCAATAACAGTAGGTAATCAACCTGTCCCTTGAATTTGCTGTGATAAAATGAAATGCTCAAATTATTATACTTGATCAAAGCTGATGGCTGATGATTGCAGCGGTACTCAAATAGTACTGCGAATACACACTGATGGTATCGCATCGTGGTTATTGCATGCATTACAGTTCTATCTGTTGTACAGTAAGGAGAAAAATCATACGTGGCACATTGTACTGAAAGTAACACAAGTAAGTGGTCCTTCCACATCTTTTAGAGAATAGAAGGCGAAATAGTGAGCCTTAAGTTCCCCATAATACAGTATAGGAAACATGTTCTTATAAAATAAAAGAAAAGAAAGAAAATTATCGCAGGAGAAATAACACAACAAGTGGTCCTTTTTAATACAATTAGATCAGTACACAAGCTATCTTCGATCCGAATCACAGCACCTAAATCGTATAGTTAATTAATTTCTGCACTTTAGTAGTACCCGTTAATTATGATGGAAAATCCTTGTAATAGCAACATAGGACATGAATATTATTAATTTTATTTTAACGTAATTAGAAGCCCTTATTGGCATTTTACCGCTAATATGTGACCATTTTTATGTTCTAATGCTATGTCATAATTATAATTTTTACTACAGTATTCTAATGGAGCTGTATGAAAACGAGGATAAAAAAATGGGGACAACAAATACTACGCTGGTTACTATGGAAAGTCTATCAGAATTTCGAGTTGTACTCAAGCTGTCTTCAGTGTGACAGTACTGCAGATGATAATGGCTACCATCATTTACAGTAAACATTGTCTCATAAATTAAATTAAATTACAAATAAAACATGCAATTAATAATAACAACTATTCAGAAGATCGTGCACACCATGGTGCACATCCCCCATCCTGTGCTATAGTAACCTTCTCTCTATGAGATAGATACTGCGGTATTATTTACTGCCTTGCATAATAATGAATCTACATCATGCAAACACCTAAAGTATTCAATATTCATGCTACAGACCCTGGGGTCTTTCATAATTCATGCAGATCACATTGATACAATACAGCGTGTATTTGTTTGCTGCATCTACTGTCAAAAGTGGAATTTTGTTTTTTACGAGTACAGTGGAGCATTTAGGATTTATATTTGAATTAATTTATTATGCACTAGAACAGTTATTAAAGTACAGTGCAGTACTAAAATACGACCTGGTAAACAAGTCTCAGACTGACATTCAGTAGCTACATAGCCTGTACGGACTGGACTGCCTAAAGCTACTGAGCGTTGCTACGCAGAGACCTAAAATAAATAAATAATTTTAATTTTAAATTAAAATTAAAATCATTTACCTAGATACTACTTAGATAGTAATGTATTGGAGCACTACTGGTGGTGATGCAGATTGTGAATCTACGACTGCAACTGCCTAACAACGTTGAAAGAGAAAGGACATTGTGGTGTAGTGGTAGTATACCGTACGGTACAGTATATGCGTGGCTATAGAAATACATAGTAAAATGTAGATTCAACATGTCCATAGCAACCGTCAATAACGCTAGAGGATGCGTCATCGTGAGCGGTATCTAAGGTCGATCATAGACACAGCAACCGTTGTTTACTATGGTCTTGGTGGAACATGATTGGCTACTACTTAGCAACGTCTGCTGTTGACAACCTCAGTTGCTTAGTAACGTAAGATATATAAAGGAGTCAATCGGTAGAACAAGGTTAGTTCTTGAAATTTTTCAAATCGTTAAGCGTGAGTTTTTGTCTGTCTTCCAAAGCAACTACAATTCCTAAAAGTCAAAATGCGTGAAATCGTTCACTTACAAGCTGGTCAATGCGGTAACCAAATCGGTGCCAAGGTATTATCAAGCGCAATGATGGACAATTTCAGAAATTGATTGATAAAAAATGTCTGAAAGGCAAAATTGGACTAATAACCACTTTTTTATTGCAGTTCTGGGAAGTTATCTCTGATGAACACGGTGTAGATCCCACTGGTACCTACCATGGAGATTCCGATTTACAACTCGAAAGAATCAACGTTTATTATAACGAAGCCACTGGTAAGAGTTTGATTACTGGCTGTAATATCTTGATAATTACGTTAGAAGTTGTATATTTCCAAGTTTAATAGTCAATATCTAGCCTGTAGATGGCCGTTACGAACATGCCACCTCATCATGTTCAAATCTTAACCGATATCTTGATTATCTATTAAGGCGGAAAATACGTCCCAAGAGCAGTCCTTGTCGATTTAGAACCCGGAACTATGGATTCAGTTCGTTCAGGACCTTTTGGACAAATCTTCAGACCCGACAACTTCGTTTTTGGTAAGTGTGTAATAGCTATTAGACTACCTGATATAAATTTCCTGTGTACGCCCATTGAAAAAGTGCTATACAGTACAGTAGTGTGCAATGAAACGTAGAAATCAGTTAGTTAGCCGCCCAAAATTTTCAACTTTTCAAATTTGCTTCGATAAACACGATTTGGGCCACCTACGGCTAAGTAAAAATTGCAGTAAAGGATTCACTGTTTCACTACTATTAAACTCTTCAATGGGCTTTACATAATGATTTTGACTGCGATCCATGAAAAAACTAGTAATCCAGTAACTCGAGAAAAAATTCTAAAAGAATGCCCCTATACGCTATTTCGAGTATCTATATTGCGAAGTCTGATACCTATACAGTATCACAAGAGTGCCTCCCTGTTGTTAAAATATAGAAGCTACTTTTATATTTATTTATTTAATCTTTTACCAAAGCAGATGTTGTGCTTCATATTTTCTAATTTCTTACTCTTAAAAAGTCAAAAGAATCCGAGAAACGTTTCTATCGGTTATTTCAACGTACTGTACTGTACATACACTGAACTACATTGCAGACAATACATCCATTTTTTCACAGTCACAATGGCGGCAGATCAGCTATAGTGATTGTTTTGTTACCATGACAACTCATTTGAATATGAATTGACCAATGAATGATCATATGTGAACGTATTTTTAACGCAGTATTTTTCTCATCAGTTTTTTGATTACCTTTTATGGAGTTAAAAAGGTGTGATCGTGTGACGCAGTAATTTTCAATACAGTGTCGTACTGTTCTGTACGTTACCGTGCGAAATTAGCATATTACCGTACTGTACTGAAGCCGATGATGGCTTTGGCAAAGTGAAAAACGTTTATCGCTTACGACGTTTCGTAATTTCTAGGCCCATGACAATTAGGAGTCGATCTTGTTAACTACGAAATGAACGCTTTTTTGAGGGTATAGTACTAACATGAATCATTATGCTTTTATTCTGAATAGGACAAAGTGGTGCTGGTAACAACTGGGCTAAGGGCCACTATACCGAAGGTGCTGAATTGGTTGATTCAGTTCTTGATGTTGTACGAAAAGAAGCCGAAAGCTGCGATTGCTTACAAGGTTTTCAATTGACACACTCTCTCGGTGGTGGTACCGGTTCTGGCATGGGTACCCTTTTGATTTCCAAAATCCGTGAGGAATACCCTGATCGTATCATGAATACCTTCAGCGTTGTACCTTCTCCAAAAGTATCCGATACAGTAGTTGAACCATACAATGCAACCCTTTCGGTTCATCAACTTGTCGAAAACACCGACGAAACTTATTGTATTGATAATGAAGCCTTGTATGATATTTGTTTCCGTACCTTAAAATTGACTACCCCAACCTATGGTGATTTAAATCATTTGGTATCTGCCACTATGAGCGGTGTTACAACTTGTCTTCGCTTCCCTGGTCAACTAAATGCTGATTTGCGTAAATTGGCTGTTAATATGGTACCTTTCCCACGTTTACATTTCTTTATGCCTGGCTTTGCACCTTTGACTAGCCGTGGAAGCCAACAATACCGTGCATTGACTGTTCCAGAACTTACACAACAAATGTTTGATGCCAAGAATATGATGGCTGCATGCGATCCTCGTCATGGACGTTACTTGACTGTCGCCGCTATGTTCCGTGGTCGTATGTCAATGAAGGAAGTAGATGAACAAATGTTGAATGTACAAAACAAGAACAGTTCATACTTCGTTGAATGGATCCCCAACAATGTGAAGACTGCTGTTTGCGATATTCCTCCACGTGGATTGAAAATGTCTTCTACTTTTGTTGGTAACAGCACTGCTATCCAAGAATTGTTCAAGCGTGTAAGCGAACAATTTACCGCTATGTTCCGTCGCAAGGCTTTCTTGCATTGGTACACCGGAGAGGGTATGGACGAGATGGAATTCACTGAAGCTGAATCCAACATGAATGATTTGGTCTCTGAATACCAACAATACCAGGACGCTACCGCCGAAGAAGAAGGTGAATTCGACGAAGAAGAAGAAGGCGAAGGCGAGGAAGCCTAAACGCTATAACCTCTCTGGTAGTTCTAGTACTCATAAACCGTGCTAGTTGACGTACATACTTACGATCGTAGTGGCTGTAATAATATATACATTGATATTCCATTATTATGTTTGTACGTCGTAATTCGTATATGTGTAATTATGTTAATCGACTCGTTCAGCAACAGACGATAACTTTTTGCAGTTAATTTGTGAGCTGTAATTCGATTTTATTGTATGTTGTATCTTTCCCTATTCGCTGTAGATAGGCGCTAGATTCCTAATAAAGTAATATTACAATATTTCTATGACGGCTATTTAATGCAGAATGAATAAAATTTACTCTGTTTCTATAAAATATGATGTTGCGGTCACTGACGTTTGGAAATGGACGAGATGAAGAAAGCACAGTACATTACAGTAAAACAATAATTAATTAAAGCAATCGGCAATAGTTAAACAGTATCAGCCTGAAAGTAATCGTCACTGGGCTAATTAGTTTGGCTACAGTACATTATTATATGGTAACTGTAGTTAAGGCACTGCATAGTGTGCTTCTTTTTCGAAGTTCAGCCACTGTACGGAATTATTAACTGTCTTCAAGCGCTACTGAGTTTACTGTTAAGTCAGTAGAAAAATAGTAACAGGTATCGTAAATAATGATCTCAAAAGCTTATATAAGTCTGATACTCATATAGTTTTTTAATACAGTAGCCATTTATCATAAAGCCAATAGAGAACTGCAACACATTAATAACTACAATTAGACCAATACAGAATAAAATATACGTAATTTATTATTGCTTCAAATATAAAGATCTTTTAATACGAAATGCAAGTACTTGCAAACACTCTAGAATATCAAATAAAAAATTCGAACTTTATTCTAAAAAAATGATTGTTTTTACACATTCTTGTAATCTTAATAGGGTCGCTTTTTTGCCATCGTCTACAGTATCTTCAGCAGTATTCGAAATAATGATGCTGCTATCTACGATAAAATAGATGAAAACCTGCACGTACGATCAATTGCTATATCAACTGTCTCGAAATATTTTACCGTTTACACGTGCTACAAGTAGTGTACCGTTGTTGAAACTGATGTTGAGCAAGAATACATCGCACTGTATGTACAGTATACTTTAGGCGGAAATGATGGCTTGAAAATTATAGTTAAGAAAACTACTTCTCTCATATCATATGACAGAATGGACATGTAGGATAAGTCTTTAATCGAGTGATATACCCTATGAGGGACATAACTGCACAATGTACAGTACATGTTTATTTTCTTCATCAACTTTTTCGAGATCGGAGTAGGTTATAAGTCGCTAGTAAAAACGTAGTTTTTTCCACTACATTTCCTGTCTGTTCACTAAGTGCTTTCTACCTATACTACAGTATAAAAGGAGTAGTAGAAAGAGGCCAGGGTACGACATTGCGACAGCCTGATTTAGGTTTAACAGCTATGAGGCAGTGTCAATTTGAAAGTGGTGAAAACTTCAGCAGTTCCAAGAGGCTGATTCAGTCCTGGAGTAGCAATCAATTTATTGGTAGGAAATTTGGGAGGCAAAAGGCCATTAGAAACCATTAACTGCATTTTTGCTGGTCGTACTTTAGTCGTACTAAAATCGTAGTGGTGATTAGCACAAGTATAAGTCTTTGGGTCGGCATCGCCAAACCATTCTTGCGACATTACTTGTTGATAAACGCTAAAATATTTATAGCTACTAGCTGGGCTGAACTTCGCAGTCTGATTTTGGAATTCGGCACGTAGCTTGGATGAAGTATCTTTGTATTGCATAAAGTAGCTATTGGCACTCATGTTCATTCTGATAGCAGCGGAATTTAAGTTGTAAAATTCTCTGGTAGAAAACGATTCAAAGGAGCTGTTTGTATAGATAACGTACTTGTATACAGTGGGAGTCGATTTTCCAGCTAGAGATAGGAGGGGAAAAACAATAATATATTATCAATTTGCTTGCAATAGTAGGTAGTGAACGAATATTAAAACAATACTGTAGATTGAAGAAATTTGGTACTGTGCTGCTTGGCTTGATTATTAACTATAATCTTGTACAGTTCACAACAGCCCCTGCTAAAGAAATGCGTTACTATCATATTTACATCATCAGGTAAACTTGTCAAGGTTTTAAATCTACCTACGTAGTATCATGGTAGTACGTACTATGTTGTTAAGTGTGCTGTAATTTACAAGAACATCATGCACACAATCGAGGCCAAGCCATAGCATAGAGTTTACACTATACGCAAGGCATCCAAAATAACTGCTGTATAAGATGGAAATATTTCGTTTATTACCTTGATTTACCCATGGAATTTCGAATTTGAATTCAGTAAATGTTTTTTGGAGAAACCCAGGAAAGATAGGGCCTGTGTGAATTTCCGTGCCCAACTCGAATACAACAGGATGCATCGCATCTTTCAATCCCTTCAGTTTGGGTTTTTGCAGTGTGAAATTCCGATTTGGCATATTCTTCGGCAACATATCTTGCACATCTTGACGTGGTAACTGCACTACAGCCCACCATGTATGATAATGACCCTCTATCAGGCTCAATGACAGGCATGAAGGGATTGTTATTATCACCAAAAGTAAAATCAGTTTTTCGAATTGCCTAGCCATTTTTCGACTCAGCTAAGAGAGCACGAACTATAAATGTTGCTATAGTGTCAAGATAGCTTTACATTACTAGCGCAGTGCGGGGGGCAAGGTTGACTGCAGTCATGTGACTAAACTACGTACAGTACAGTACAGTCACAGGCTACTGCTACAGTACTGTACTGTACCGTACTGTACACAGTAGAGGGATCCAGAATGTCAAAAATGTTTCCTACAGTACAGTACAGTACAAGAAGATCGTTGTTCTGGACAGTATGAGTCGGACGGCCGTAGATCTTTATCGTACAGTACAGTACTGTAGAACTGGGAACTAGTGTACTGTACACTGTACTGTACAGTACTGTGTACAGTGTACAGTACTGTCCATCGGCTACAGTATTTTGCTGCTCATTTCAACTGGACTAACCGTAACTGACCATCGGGCGGCGATTACCGTACAGTATAGTATACTGAGCTCTTGGCTGCCAGATACTATAGTATCGGTGTTGAATGTGTAGTTGAATAAGTGACGAGTTGGATGCATTGGACTAGCAAGAAATTCATTGGTATTTATTCCTATGGTTTATTGCTTAGGGTGGGCAATGCATGTGTAAAGGTGAAAATTACAGTGCCGCTCTCACAGTAAAACTCCAATAAATCATTTGAAATTGGATTTATACACTGTCGGTTATAATCAACATTCCTTCATTAATAACTGACCATTGAAATCGAAAATGGTGACAAGGACGACTGATTGGAGACCCTGTTAACGTACTATATAATAAGTGTATATGTTCTGTAAGTCAAAGTTGACAGTACTGTACAGTACAGTATGTCAGTCTCCGCTGTATACTATATAGTGTACAATACACGGGATTGATTTGACGGACAGGATGTTGTGGAAGAGCCTAAGAGCCATTCCATCAACTACTTGCAGTCTGATTGTGTTCCTTGCTGTACAATGTACAATCTAATTTATTTCGATGGCACCCTGAAAAGATAGAATTGTATAAGTTCAATCAGGACCAAACTACATCAATTCTATATGTAGTTGTATCTGTGGAGATATTCTTCTACGGGTGTAGATATCAATATTCTAGAACAGAGTTCAACTTTGATTTTTTGAACCAAGGGCCAAGGGTGCCATGGAAAATAATCGGACTTTACAGTGTACAGTACATTATTACAGTACTGTAGGTACTGTACTGTACTGTATAGCTTGTAAAATTGGGGACTTTTTTCCATTCTTGAGCTGCGGTATCACTAGACTGTTTTACACCACGACAGCACGTAGTGTTTGGGGTGGACAACTGAAGCACAAGAGAGAGTAGAATAATATTGTTTACAACTCTAGACTACTGTAGAGTGTACAGTACATAGTGCACAGTGTACAGTACACTCACTCACCGTAGAGCAAATATTGTCCTGGCAGATACTACCACCGCCTTAGTCTATCGTCAGTTTTGTCTGTTGCTTGGAACCTTTTGAATGATGCGTGCGAAAATAATTCCTCAACAAAATGTTTCAAAAGCGTAAAAATTGGCTTCCAGATACGTTATGGAAACCAAAGAAGCCTATGTCTATGGAACATTTGCGGTAAATTTCATTGCTTATTTTTGCATGACAGAACATTTTGCCATTCACATCTGCCATGCACACTACACACCTTTGTCAACATCCTCTTGTTTGACCACTATACTCTACTTAGCTGTAGTTTAGGTATTGTCCAGTCGAGTAAAAGGTTAACGCCAGTGAATTAGAACGGCAAGAATCGATTATCTTCATTCTTGGCTGAGATTTCCAATAGAAATTATTATTCCTTCTAGTACGTTGTAGAGAAAGATTGTATCAAAGTGTTCTTTTCGATAGGATCAACTGGAGACGTACAGCTCTTTATCCTACTATCATAGTTACACTGCTTCAATCTGATCTCCATAGCATGATCTAGACGAGTAGTATGTATGCGTACAACTATACAGTATACTGTAGTATTGGACACTCTTGCTGAGCCACTTAAACATGTGTTAAAAGAAAATGGTAATCCACCAGTTCGACAAGCCTCTTTAGCCATCAAAAATAGTCCAATATAGGATTACACCCATGACAATTTAGCACCCTTCAATGACTTGCCTTCAATTTATGAATAAAAAAAACAGTCAAAAGGATGTAAAAATTGACCATGACATTCATTTTTAGGCATTTATATACCGTCTTGTTGAAAAACATTACCGTTACTGACCGCAATCGAGGATTAATCGTTGAATCCTTGCGTTCTATGGCAGAAATTATTATCTGGGGTGATCAACACGATGGAAGAATATTTGAGTAAGTTCATTTTGTTACGATACAATGAATAGTCTATGGAAAATTCCATCCAACTAGCGTCATAATCGTGTACGATGGATACTGTATGTATATAGACAAATGATGATAAAATAGTAGGACAGCATTCAGCTTGTCAAAAATCAATAAGACTTTCCCTTTCATCAAAAGACATTTTTTGACCACCAGTAGAAATAGTTGAATTCACTCGTTCGTTTCGATACAATTTAAACTTACTGTATATTGTATCACATGGAATGAGACTTTGCCTGGCTATCATGAATCATAATTGCCATTACTTTATCAGTATAAAATACCCTTGCTGCTGTCTTGATATATAATGTATTGTCCTTAGGACATGATACTGAGATTATCACGATCATCTACAATAAATAACATTCGAGCAATGGAAGATAAGATGTCTTAGCAACTCTTATCGGTAAAAGAAAGCAATTGTAAATAGTTTAACCATAACATTTTAAACCTGTTTGTGATAGTAATATTTATTTATAATATTAAGAGTAGAATGTTGATTCCATTCAATACCATATTGTTGCGATTTTCCATTTTCTATCCAATTACTGAATCCAGTTTGATTGAGCAAAATAACATCAATGTTGATATAACATGCAAGAAAGTTTCTCGTATATCCTATGTTTAGGAGAAGGCATGGAGGGTAATGACTTCACAACTAGCATTATAATGCTAGTTGAAATGCACAAAACTCCTTTCGTCACTTTTTACTTTACTACTAGTAAAACTAACTTGTTTGAAAATTATCCTTGTAGCAGGAAGTAGTAAAGATTTTTCAATTGAATGCAATGTGTTATTATGGCATGTACGAAAAATAGACAGCAAGTAGTTTGATCATTGTACTATACGAGAAAAATCTTACAACCACAACAAATATCAAGATATTATAATTGTAAGATGTTACATTGTAGGAATAACTTTTCTTCGATCAATTCTCGCTTTGGTTAATTTAGATGTAATTATAGTCATGTACTCATATTTAGTGGAGTCATTTATACGGGAAATTTTTATTGCCTTCATGGCTTCCCCCTTTTGCGATAAATATTTACAGCAACTACTGGATGGATGTATACCACTGATTCCATTACTACCTATAAATATTTTAACTAGAGCTATTTGATATGCTTATGATTAGGATAAATATGACATGCTCATTTTTAGTAGTAGGGTGTCTTGCAATACACTTCATAAGTTCGGTGTTGCCGATATATTTCAAAATATTATACTCAGGTGTGTGTCAATGAAAACAATATCTATAAGTCTATAACCATGATTGCCTTTATAGCTTATTCGCCGAGAAGAACATGTTGTCACTATTAATAAGATTCTTGGAGCAAAAATCACAGATTGTACGAGTTCAATTATTGCAAACAATTAATATCTTGCTGGAAAATCTTCGAAATAGAAATTCTTTATGTAAGTTAAACATTAATTTTTAATTGATATGATGAACATTGAAAATGATATTGCCTTAATGTCATCTTTACAATGTGCGCAGATGTTGCATATCATGCTATAAAATCAACCTTCGCTTTTAATTATACGGTACTATATTATAACTAGCAGTTTAGTACTATTTACATGACAGTCATCACTGATTCAGGAAATAGTTAATGACGAGTATTATTACCCCAAAGAAATTTATTTACGTGGGTCTTAATTGCTTCACTTAATGTTGATCTTTTCAGATTATTTGCTATCCAATAACCATATCAATAATGTAATTGTTTATAAATATGACTTTTCCGATGATGAGGTACGTAGAACGGATAAATAAACAAGTATAGAATTCTCATCGAAGGTTCAGTTAATAAGGGCACTACTAATTGTTTAACGGCTTATATTTCAGACACTAGCGTACTATATTTCTATACTGAAAACTCTATCTTTAAAATTGGATCAAGACACAATCCATTTCTTCTACAATGAGGTACTCACAATCGATATTTCATAATAATACTACTATACTCGTATTCTGTATAACTTGGATGCAATTTCAATTAAAAATTACATTGTAACAACTAGTTTAACCTAATGTCATCGTTACTTGTGTGAATGTTACCTATTTGTATGCATTATAATAATAGTCAACTGTAGACGTAAATCTGAGAAAATAATATACTCTTTAATAATATGATACCCCACTTCAATAAACGACATATTCATACATAGAATATTATGACATACATTTTCTCTATCACCCTTTATACGTATACACCACCTATAGTATTTCATCTGTTCATGAAGTATTATTTGAGCATTACGTAAGTTGGCTTTTTTTGTATTACATATGTTAGCATCAACAAAATTTTCCTTTATACACCGAAGCAATCAAGTTTTTTGATCACAGCGAGAGTATGGTCCGTACGGCCGTTAGAACACTCACCTTAAATGTTTTCAGAGGTACTACATCACTTACGAGTATATTTACTGGATACACCCTGTATGCTGTATTGTATGTTATTTATATATATCAAACGCATGTATAGAGAGAATTGCAGCTATTTTCATTTTACTGATTATAATGTGTTTATGCTATACACAATTTGTTTGTTACACTTAACAGTTGCTGATCCTCCGATGTTACGATTTATTCGAAATCGAACCGCTATTCCGTACTTTTCTAGCTTAGCATGGTCGATTGGAAATGTAACTTTGCAGATTGATACTTATCGCATTAAATCTAGGTTAGTCAAAAATCCTTCTTGCTTTCTTTAGATCAGATACTGTTTTCTTTTTCAGGACCATAGTAAATATTATAAGGATATGTGCACTAATATATGCGTCATAATTTTTGATATAGTTTATCAAATTGTTCAAGATTAAAAGATCTCGTTGCTGAACATGTGGATCATTTACACTATATCAACGACATTTATTGTCTTAATATCGGCTGCTTAAATAGTATCTTAACAGATCAACTACTCAATCGATTGATAATTCCCTTGTATGTTAATTCCTTGCTTACTCAAGAAATGCCAAGAGACGATGGCGACAACGGCCAAGTAAGATTTAATCTAACTTATTATTTATACATTTATTGTACAAGTTTAATTGATTGTCGATTTAACTGTAGTTGAGTTCAAAATTTTAAAAACTCACAATAAATGTACTATTTTAATCTTCCAGAGCGCGAAAACTAGAATTCATCCTGCCATTGCCATTTATTTACTCTCTCAGGTAAATGCTGGACATTGTTTTTATAGTTCTTTTTATTGGCTAACTTACACTACAGTATATTATCATGTAAGCATAAAAATGGATCACAGTTCGAGTGAAGTATGTCTTTATACTACAGCTATGCAATTATTATATATCTTCAAGATACAGTCTAGAATATTTGCAGTTAACATAATTGGTATTTTTTGTTATTAACTAAAAATTATATTCCTTATATATGATTATATTTTGTTATAGATATTCTATATTATTTCCTATCGACCGCTGATCTCTTGCCTTTGCGATATTGTACTGTATGGCGAGGAATCTATTCTAATGACGAAAGCTCATAAATCGTCAGATGCTAGCAGTAATACTTCTTCAGGCTTAGTATGTACAAAATTTTATTACAATATAGTTATTTTTCATTGATCATTTGACAGCTATCGAAGTAATTACTTTTAACATTCCCAAAGATGAAAAAGAGAAGCGTATCATTACTTGGCTGTTACCGCGTCTTTGGGCCTCCACAACAAGGCTTAAGTCAGACATTATCTGCATTCAAAGTCAAGACTACTACAGCTACCGTCAATACTAGCTTCGACGGAGATCAGTTTCTTTTTCCAGAAAGTTCTTCTGATGAGCTTAGTGTTTCTTCGGACAGTGAGAGTAGCTTTTCCGACGTTGGCACTAGCACAACAACAGAAATTGAGCAGCGGCAAGATGAAGAAAATTCTAATAACCAATCAGATGCAAGCTCATCGGCGATGTCGAAAATTGACAACCAACTGGATGAGAACTCCTTATCAACACTGAAATCTACGTCAACTTTAACTGCTGATTCTGGATGGCCTTCCGAGATCAACACAGAAAATGGATCGTTGATCGATTCAGCTGTTGAAAAAAATTCGAACATTTGCGATGACGCAAATTCTGAATGTAAGTTATCAACTATGAACCTATTGCAAATGCATAAAGTGGCTCATCATCTTTATCGAAATTTTTTTTTATTATTAGCCACTGAAGCGACGGATAATCTATCTACTGTCGAGGTAATTAAATAGTCTTGCATTTTCTATGTTCTAAATATTTCTATACTTATTCATATTTTTTGATTGTTATGCAGGGACAACTAAATAATAGGTACGCCAATTATACTGTACTAATGTTGAATGCGACCTTAAATTGCTTCAATTAAATATGCGCTTCCTCTTTAACTGTGCTACTGCGTTTTGCTCGTATCAATCGCTATACTGACTGTAACTATCAATTTTGCAGAAGCTCAACGCTGTTCTGGAAAGAATTGCTAAAGTATATTGAAAGTAGCGATGAAGATACTGCTATACTTTTTATATTAATTTTAGTAAATGGCATTTTGGAAACTAAAGGTAAGATATTTATTCTACTTTATTTAATAGAGCTTTTTATACTGAAATGATTGTGTTTATACTCTATCTCTACTACAAGGTATATCCCCAAGTTTGTTAAAAAACCTTCTACCGTTAGGAGAAACGCCTAAAGCGGTAATAAATTTTATGTGCTCATATTGTTGAAAAAATATGAATGTATCTTCTCTAATATTTTATACGCAAGGAGGCTCCTCATCATTATGAACTTGTTGAAAAACTATTCAGCATTACTGAAATGTCTTGCTCTCAAGGTTACAAAGTTATACTTGAATAATAGATGTAACGATAGCTGTAATGCCAATTTAAAGCTATCACTTAATATTGGTTTTTATCCCATTAAACAGAAAGCCATACCCGTCTTGTTACCTTTGAAGTTTTAATTAGAACTTTGGAACACCTATCTATAAATCCTCATTCAAATGCGCGATTGCTTTGTGAAAATCATGTGCAATCACTTTACGTTAGTTTTAACATTCAATAAGTATTTAATTGCTAGATTAACTGTTTAGCAAATCGATAATGTGGATGTTGGCAGCTTATGTTGATATTGCATTTCAATCTGTTGTTATTGCATAGAGGGTACTAGAACTTTCTGCTGAGCAACTAAGGGTATTTTATACGGTAATTCCGAATTCTAACTAAATTTTTAAAACATTCTTGGTTACTGATCATACGAAACTAACAGTAGTACTCTTTTGTAATATGATGGCGTTAAATAAAGGTGGAAGATGTATTCTTAGACATGTTTGAGGATGAATACCGGAGTTTAAAGGTTTGCCGTATGAAGATATTACACTCTTGAAATGTACTATTAGGGTTTTAAATACTTAATAATCAATGTTTTTAATAAATTGCGTATACTAGAATAACAAGCCTATTGGAATTAGTAAGCTAATCATGGACGGATCGTTGCTACTTCCCTACAGCCGCTCCTCAATTACCACTATAGAATTTTCTAAACGTTTACCTTGTAATTCAATAGAAAGGGCACGCCGAGTAAGCTAATAACATTGCTAACTATCATTAAATGATGAGATCCTTGAATTTAATCTTAATTTATACTCTGCTATATGCTTAAGGCTATGAGAATCTACTTAATGACCAGAAAATTAGTTAACAAGTTCGAAGGAACAAGAAATAACAATCTATCGTTATTTGATATTATTGGATCAATAAATGTTAAAGATGTTTTGGAATTAAGTTAGTAATATATCCCCTCACACAGTATCTTCTATGTGTGAGCGTATCATTTGAATATTTCTTTCTAACAAATCAAGAAATAATTGCGTATTAACGCGCAAATAACGTTTGCTTCTTATTTTAATACTAGGCAATATCGATTTAATAGCTTGCCATGTCATAACGAGCGAAAAGTAATACTAAGCTGAATTGATTTTGTTTTATTGGTATTATTTGTACCATTAACGTTAAAAATTTCTTAAAATTTAATTTTTAGAATGGTCCGACGCTTTCTAGCTATTAGAGAAACACAGTTTATCTTGGTTGATACAGATTCAACGAAATATGGATGGGGTATTGTTCGTTTTGTTGGAAACTTGCAGGTATAATGATAAATCCTTCAAATTGTTGATGGATTTATATATTCTTTGCTTTAAGTTTCATTCAGTTCAAGATATTAATGTAATATAAACTATAACTTTGTCGGTGTCGTTATTTTTACTAAAGGACGTGGAAGTGTCCAGCGAACGTGATGACAACAAATCTCTTCAAATTAGTATACGGCAAACCTCAACTGCAACTGCTATTAGTCGCGGTACTTTGTCCATGTTAACGGCAAAGTTTGTTTTCACTGACCATATCAACTGTATTGTTGCTAGACAGCGTTTAAAACGAGGTCGACTTATCGTCAGACAGAAGAAATTATATCAACTCGGGCAAGTGCTAGGCATTTCATTTTCAGCAGCAAACCAGGCCGCAAATGCCGATGATGCTGCTAATATTATAAAAAATGATTCCACATCCGATTTGCAAATGAAACCCGCTGTAACTGAAGAATTTTCTACAATTATTAATGAAGCACCGAAACCTCAACATGAGTTGAAACTGGATGAATCCACCATCGATAATAGTCGCTCTAATAATGATTCAGTTACAGATGAAGCAACTGTACAAACACAAAGCAGCAACAGCGATACCTTTGTCAACAAAGCAACAGATAAAAGTGAAATTTCCGCTTCTAATGTACAACTATTACCTCCTTCCCCTGTATTCGAAATAACGTCTGGAAATGAAATTAGTGAAGATATGTCTTTGAAAGGAAGTCTAAATCGCTCCCTAGGAACTGCAAACTTAGGTAATAATGATTCAGTTAGGTTATTACCTCCTTTAAAAGGTAATTCTGCACAAAAAAATGCAGTAGATGGTGATTCAGACAACAACATTGAGGAGTTAAGAAATGATACAAATTAAATTTTTAGTGCAGTTTTACTCAATCTTGGCTAATACGTAGAAGGCCAGGTATACTTGTACAGTACATAAAATTTTATATAAAATCTACCCGTCTTAATATCTCGGAAGAAAAATTATTTATATCTTATATTGATATTCACTGGAATAAAACCTGTATTTATAACATCAATGAATTACATCTAACGATGTATCTTTCGTTATAAATTTACAACGAAAGCTTAAAGTAACAATGCATATCATCCTGATAAAGATGAGTTTAAGATTTATCTAAATTTTATATTACACCACAATTATGTACTTGCACGAATGCAGTTACGAACTAGATATCTATTATTTGTGATACGTTTACGTGGATATTTATTATATCAATGCCTTTGAAAATTAATATACACCTAATGTGACGTTAATTAAACTTAGACGTGTAATGGCTAATCAGTCGATATTATTTATGTACATCTTGCTTATATAGACTAGTTTTTTACAACCGTCCGCATGCAACACACTGCCGTTAACACAATTTCTCGATGTATATTTGTCTTCTAAATAATAAGCTGAATGACATCAATGTGTTCACTTGCTAAACAAGTTTGGCCTGACATCAGTATACGAACATGTACAATTTTTTAAATTTCAAGTGATTTCCTAACGGTATATTTTGGTTAACACTGTATCTATGTATAATATAGCTGTATATATTTACAGCATATGTATATATCTAAGTACGTATTAACTAGAGATGTTTAATAACGTTATTTAAGTTAGTGATGATTGAAAATAATAATCAATGCATCTTGAGAATATGATCTTGAAATGAAATTAGAGCTTATAACATTTATAGTAATCTTGCAGTGCAATTAAGATGACATTATAAGCATATTACGAAATTTGTTTAATTGAATAACACACTATTACGCATTATAAGATGTAAATTAGGAATAGTAATAATTAATATTTCACTAGTGCAATATATTTAACTGATTAAACTGCTAAATATTGTAATAACTATAAAGTTTTCTGTCCTCGAGCCAATTCAATTTGACGAATTTAGCGAAAGGTAATTGTGACTGCATTTCATAGAAAAAAAACACGGTATATCTTGATGCCGTGACCTGATGCTGCCATGTGAAAGCGTGTTTGTTAATTATCACTTCTTTATTGATCACTCTTTATATATTATAATTTTTCAAGTACTACAGAAGTAGTTTGGGTAAATTTTATGCTTAATAGTGCTTCGATATTAAATGATCTAAAATTGGAGTTGATAACGTTCACAACTATAATTCATTGATACTATATAAAAATTATAACTTATAAAAGGTATATACTGTATATATGTGCAGTATATTTATCTATATATATATGTATACATATCATTCATTATACGGGTATAAGCTAACACGACTGCCTCGTATGAAACATAAATTATTAAATTTATTGCCAATGTTGTCTTGATATATTACTAAACAAGAAAACGTTGCACGTGATAGTAAAAGCATATTTTTAATGTTTTCCTTTCTTATATTTAAATTGGTGATGATCGATTTCTGATACAATAAAAAATGCCTTATACAAATATCAATGAAAAGATTTCCGCTATGCTCTGGACAGATATTTCTGGTCAATAGGATTTTAGTATCGATTGGATTCTCCTATTCACTTAGGGATGTAATGGCACACAATGTCCTGTTTATCAGCAAGATATTGTATATAAATGTCATCCATGATCTGTACAGTAATTGAAATTGAATGAGTTCATGCATGAGTAGTTATTGCAGTCCTTTTTTTAAATAGTAACTTTCAACATTATTAAACGGCTTTTTTTAAACCTTCAATTTTCTGATATTGATTACCGAGTGCATAAAGAGTAAGTTATCATTATCGTCTGAACATCATATATTGTAAATACGAGACACAATGTATTCATCCTCTGTGGATACATGAAATTTAAATTGGATTATTTTATTATTCTTATGTTGCAAAGTGATTAGCCCTTTCAGCTCATTCTTAGTTAATCTATTATGGATAACTAAATGTGACATGGCTACATTAAAGTGAAATAATTTAGACTTGTAGCGCAAGACGGTATCATCGATGAGACCTAGACAAGTCAATACTGGATAAGTGGCAATGATCAAGTCAAATTCAAAACTATAGCATTAGCATCGTCATTTTAAGTCTTGAGAATACAAAATAATTAACTTACATAAGGCATATTTAGAATTGTACTGATGAAGTTCATTTCAACACGTATAGATATCATTAACGCGTTCATGTTGCGTCCTGAGCGGTGAGTTTACGCAGTATAGATTGCCTAAACGTAAAATAGGCAAATTCTGAAAGTCGCCCTGTTATGCATTTCCTTGACTAGAATTACTCTCGATTAACTTTTCGGCATCAATCATATTACAGTATGTTATTTGTAACAAAACACTTGCATTTATCATCACAGATTATTTATTTTCGTTGTAGATTGCATTTGGATGATGGACGCTAAAATATATCAATGACTCTTATAGGATTATTTCAACAAATTGCACAGCTTGATAGCGTATACCAGAGTCTAGTGAAGGCGTATACCGAAATATAGAACCAAAATATGCATTATCACTGATATAGCTTATACAGCACAGTGTAATTTCTATGGCTTATAGTACGTATGAATTAAATGTTTTTTAATGGTACGACTTATTAGTGATATACCACAAAAGACAACTATGCACGATTTACTATACTAAACTTTTGATCTATTTTTAGGTATTCATTATGACTACTAATCTATTATATTAAAATCTTTTGTGGTCTATAGTACGTGAGAAACATATAGACTACGGACGAAAGTATACTATATTTCTTAATAGTAAGTTACATCACGAAAGTTAAGTGAATTATATGAGACATATCTCACTTTATTAGAAATACAGTATGCTTAAAGTCCTTTATTGAGCTTTACTGTACAATGTATTTTTTCGCAGCTTAATAATGGTTACTAATTGAATATCAGCTAGGAGTAGAACCTAACAATCTAAAAACTTGAGCTGGATTACCTGTCTGTATATATATATATAATCTATTAGGCAATTGTAAATTTGCCATTCTATCTATTTACTATCATTTATGGCACTAAATTTGAGTCAGTTAGCCTACATATTTTACTAATGGCAAGGCCTAGTCAGATATGATTGCTACAGTCTGCGTTATTTGAACTGTAACTACTAAATTTCTCATTCAACAATATTATTCAATATCATTCTATATCCTTACTGTACAATCTATCATCAATATGACCAAGTGGACCTACGGTATTTGCTTGCATCTGCCACACTTTCTAACTGAACTTGTACATCTTATAATAAATTAACCTCAGTAGTTCACCAACGGAGCATTATGCGTAACAATACATGAATTAGCAGTCTAAAATTAGACCTAGGTACATACGATAGTGAAAATCTGATCAACGGAATCAAATATCAGCATTTTATAGTGTATCTCTGTAGCCTGTATAGATATTTCGCAATATGTAAGAAACTACTTGTACAAAAAGTTGAGAATGAAGAATTACCGGTACTCTGTAATATGTACATTATTGCTCTATACAGGCCAATTTACATCATCTACTGTAACTTGTACTATTTTTTATGCTATGATAAATTGATGAGGTGGTGGAATAAGATCTTAATACTGAACATTCAAATTATGGGCTACTAAAACAAAATGTAAGATTGTTCTCTAGTTGTTCATAATTCAAGTATAGAGATGGTAAAATAAGCTTTTAACCCTTACTATTCAAGTTATGGACCATTAAAAGAAAATATAAGATTTTTCTTTAGTTTTCCATAAATCAAGGGTGCTATCATACATGAATGAACGGTATTTAAAAAGTTAAAGAACTAGCAGAAACACTCTAAAGAGCAGCCTATGCTATATTATTGTATTCAATTAGAATTTAAGAAGATCTATATCCATATGCCATGAGAATGCTAATATACTTTCCAATTGGAATCTATTAATTTGCAATATTATTCATGGTAACGGATAAAGTAGTGAAATCCAAATTAAATTTAAACTATTCGAGACATGGACTACTAGAAAATAAAAAGTAACATTTATTTGTAGAGAACTAGTGATCCATGATTTAAGTTGGCTATTGAAAATAGTGAGAAAGCGCATGACACCTATGAAGAATGTTTAAAAATTCAAGACTACAGGACTCGAATGAGGGCGGTCTTTCCCCATGCTATTACATTAATTTTATTTTAAGATTCATTCATTTATATACAATATGTGTCTAAAAGAGCGATTGTTGAAGATCTTTTCATCCCTATACTCCATTATTACTGTATACAGACCAACTTCCTCTAACTATTTTATAATGCACACACCATTCAGAGCAGATGATGCAGTAATGAAATACTCTTTCTGTAAACAACAAGCCTAGCACAATTCTTAAACCTATATCCAAATAAAATGAAACAAACATTATATCAAATAAACTATTGTAGACCACATACTGATTTACTAGAAATGATCATAGTTAATGGATATCACGTCATCTCATTATAATCTCTCATTTTATTGTTCATTAGATTAATAGCACTGTCGGCTGCATCATTCATTATTCAACAGGATAATTTATGAAGAGAAAAAATATAATTCTTTATCCTGACAGTACTTTTGTCCCCATAGTTATTACAATGATATGCGATTGATAGATATTGGTAGAATGAGAGAAAATTGATCGCAAAAATCAATTTAATAGAAGCCGCGAGAAATAATTGCAGCTATAACAGGATGTTACTAATCAGTTAAAATATTCCTATTCGCATTACGTAACCCTTCACCTTTTTTATTCTTAGCAATATTATTCTTACTGATGTCGAGATGAAATACCTTGACCACTCATTTATACAACTGTCTTTTTTGCTAGCCAGCTGACGTGGTGATATAGAAAGATAGAAAAAAATTGGAACTGTAAGATACAATATAATTGCCTACTGTTAAGA